GAAATTTTTAAAATTTGACTAAGAAAAACATGGAATTTAAAATCAGAAAAATAATCACCTTCTTTGAATATTTTTTATTTAAATTCTTCTTCTTTGATAATATTGAATAAATTTAATTTAAATATCGAAATATAAAGAAAATAATATAATAAAAAACAATTCACATTCTTTCCAAATTTAAAATTGTTTTAATAAAAATTTCTAGTATCTGCCGTGCAGTGAATTCAACCATATCAATAATATTTGGTGAGGACAAAGTTGTGGAAACTGGTGACATTTATTTTGATTAGTCTTCCCTGTTCGAAACCGAGGATGCGATCAACAGTCATCTAGCTACATTTATTAAATTCGATTCGAATACAAAGAAATGAAAAAGCACAGCATTGGCGAAATTAAACAACCGAGATCTTAAAAGGGTCCACGGACAACCAACTTTATACAACTTGTATGAGGTCCTTTAACCCATTAACGCCCATGATTAGACAAATGAAAATATCATCAAAATTATTATTGGAAACAGGACTGCGGATCAAATAATGACTTTTGACGTCAAAAATTGTTTAAAAAATAATTTGTTTATAAAAATTGTTATAAACAAATGAAGAAAATTGATAAAATTTTAAAAACTAATAGCGCCATTCGATTCTACGTGAAAAATTACTAAAGGAACATGTATGACTTTTTAAAAATTTTCACTCGATTTGTTGTAAATAATTTATAAACAAATAGTGCACTCTCATGTACCTATTTGAGCCCATCATTACACAACTAAACATTTCATCAAAATTATGATTGGAAACAGGACTGCGGATCAAATAATGACTTTTGACGTTAAAAATTGTTTAAAAATAATTTGTTTATAAAAATTGTTATAAACAAATGAACAACAGTGACAGTAATTCTAAAGGTTAAATATTTCATACGAACAAATGCAGGCAGAATTTGTTGATTCATAATTTTTTAAATTTAAAAAATATTCTAGTAGTCTTTTCCCTTAGAATCGAATGGCACTATAAGTTTTAAAAATGTTATTAATTTTCTCTATTTGATTATAACAATTTTTATAAACAAATTATTTTTCAAACAATTTTTGACGTCAAAAGTCATCATTTGATCCGCAGTCTTGTTTTCAGTAATAATTTTGCTGAAATTTTTAGTTGTGTAATGATGGGCTCAAATAGGTACATGAGAGTGCACTATTTGTTTATAAATTATTTACAACAAATCGAGTGAAAATTTTTAAAAAGTCATACATGTTCCTTTAGTAATTTTTCACGTAGAATCGAATGGTGCTATTAGTTTTTAAAATTTTATCAATTTTCTTCATTTGTTTATAACAATTTTTATAAACAAATTATTTTTTAAACAATTTTTGATGTCAAAAGTCATCATTTGATCCGCAGTCCTGTTTCCAATCATAATTTTGATGAAATGTTTAGTTGTGTAATGATGGGCTCAAATAGGTACATGAGTGTGCATTATTATTTGTTTATAAATTATTTACAACAAACTGATTGAAAATTTTTAAAATGTCATACATGTTCCTTTAGTAATTTTTCACGTAGAATCGAATGGCGCTATTAGTTTTTAAAATTTTATCAATTTTCTCCATTTGTTTATAACAATTTTTATAAACAATTTTTGACGTCAAAAGTCATTATTTGATCCGCAGTCCTGTTTCCAATAATAATTTTGATGATATTTTCATTTGTCTAATCATGGGCTTTAATGGGTTAAGATCTGTTAGAATGTCGAGAAAGAGAGAGTGAAAAATCAGAAATTGACAATGTGATGATCTGATTTCTGATTGTAACGAACATTTTCTTTGAAATGATTAAAACTACAGTTTTTGACAAATTATCAACTAACGCTATTATACTAGTTAATCAAAGTTGTCACAAGTCAGCAAAAACAAAAAAGTCATTAAAATTTCAGGGATAAATTTTTTGTTAAGTAAATTTTAAAAATTTAGTTTAAACTAAAATGTAAAGTTAAAATTAGAAACTAAAAAGTAAATAACAATATTATTATATTAGTTCTCTTAAAAATTTTTTTGTGTAGAGTTTTACTTCGTACATTTCATTAATTAATACGAAAAAATTCAAAATTAAATAAATAGCCAAAAAAAAATTCTACAAAATAAAACTCTACAAAAAAATTTTTTCAGACAACAAATATATGTTTATTTACTTTTTAATTTCTCATTTTAAATTTACACAATTCTATTTGAAGTAAGACGAATAATTGCGTAGAGTTTTTCAAATAATTGACAATATATTTGTTGTTTAACAAATTTGTCGTGCAGAGTTTTTTCGTGTTTAATTTAATTTTTAATTAATTTGTTCCTGAAAAATTTATTTGCGAATCGCTACCTTAGAGTACTCTTAGAGTAGTATATTAAAAAAAAATACAAGTAATTGTAGTAATTTTTTGTATTAATAAACCACTTGTCTGAATGTATTCGTGTAATTTTTTTCTTACTATTCTAATAAAGAAAAACAATTTGTGGAAATTGTGAAAAAAAAATTAATAAAATATTAATTTTTTTTTTATTTTACCCTTTTCCAAATAAAAAAATTTTGAAAATTTTCTTATAGCATTAATAATTAATTTATTTAAAAAATTACCAAAATTTTTTTATTTAGTTAAATTTAAAAAATTAAAAATTTAAATATTATAATTTAAAATATAATAATTATAATATTATTTAAAATATTATAATTTTTTAATATTAGAATCTGAAAATAAAAAATTTCTTATTAAAAATTATTTTTAACAGTTTATTATTAATTACTCAATATTTTAGAGTATTTGAAAATGAAAAATCATAAATTTAGTTCATTCAATATCCACTGTCGGTAAGTTAAAGTCTCATTTTTCAGGCAAGACATTACCAACACTACTATGTTTTCACTGCTTCTAAACTAGTTAATAAAATAATCGTTTTTTTGCATAAATGCATATTTCCCTATTAAAAAAAAAAAATTTATTTAACCTTTTCCATTAATTTTCATATGTTTATATATCAATTTAAGTGGTTTTTACATACTTAAAAGTGCAAAAAACATTTTCCGTTTACCAGCAAGAGCTTGTAATCGTAATTTCTCAAATTCCGTTTACCAGATTAGGAGCTGGTATACAGAATCCACGGGTCTTGTATATTTTTTTTTTTACTGGGTCGGCAACGACTTTAGTCGAAATATAATAGAATGACTGACTCATAACAAGTATTAATTAGATGTATGCGATAATAATATACCTTTTTTCCGCAGTAGGAGATTTGCTTCCTCTTTTGAATGTCAATGCTGGAATTTAAAAATGTCCAGCTTTCTAACCATGTCTATACTCCATGTTTCTAACGAAACGCGTCGCTACACACGCGCTTCCTCTTCGTCATATAGTGAGTCCCAGACGTACTATATACTTACGAATGCTCCAGGTAATTAGACGCGATCGATAAGGTAGAACGTCAATTTAACTGTAAGGTTGTAGTTCAGTAAATAATTGTCAAGAGACAAACTGCTATTATTCCGTAATTGTTATTGGACGAAGTTAAGAATAATAAAAAAACTGAGAGAGATAAAAAAGCAAGGATTACAACAAGAATTTATTTATTTTCTAAACTTATTAAGAAAATTCGACAATTAAATATATAATTAATAAGTTATTATTAGATACAAATTTTTCGTTAAAATATAATTTATTACTTTCAATATAATTTTAATAAATTTTTTTTGAAAGGACTGAATTAATTTTAAATTTTTTTATTACATTTTTCTTAAAAATATTGAATGATTTTAAGTAGATTATTTTAATTTTTATCTTCAATTTCATTAGAATTTTGGAAAATAATTTTTTTTGATAATTATTTATATAAAAATAATTGAATTCTTGACAAGAATTTTATCCGAATTGTATTTAAAAAATAATTTAATTCATCTAAAGAATTTTATCATTTATGAAAAGAATTTTCCCAAAGATTTTTTATTAAACATTTTTAAAAATAATTAAATTCTTTGAAAGAATACTTAGAAAATACTTTTAAAAATAATTAATAATTTAATAATTATTACATAAAAAACTGTTAATAACATTCTTTATGAGCATTCAATTTTGAGAAACATTCAATTATTCAATAAGTTATTTATTTTCGTATTTTAATAATATTGAATTCTGGTAAAAATATTCTAAAAAAATTAATTTAAAAATAAATTTTAGTTTAAATTCTAAATAATAATTGAATATTAAAATAAGCATTATAGCATGAATTTTTAGAAGTAACTGAATTTTGAAAAATTTTTAAATTAAAATATTTGAAAATTTGAATTATTAATTTTTTTGAAAAAATTTAATTCTGGAAAATAATAATTGAATTGAAATTATGAAAATAATTTTTATGAAGTTAAAGTAACAATATTCTTGATTTTATCACTCGGTCGTCCTCGGAAGATTAATGGAAAAATAATAATATTTAAATATTTATTTTAAAAAAAGTTATTGATGTTTTCGAATAATTTTACAATTATAGAAATTGATAAATAAATGTAACGGAACATTTTTTTAATTAAAATTGTTTCCTTTATTTTCTAAAAATTTAAAAATTTTTAATTTTATTTTCAATTAAAATTTGTAATATTGACAAATAGAATTTATAAACATTTTTTTCCTTTATTTAAAAAAAAACTTTGAATTTTATTAAAATAATTGTAATTAAGAAATTGAAATGATGCAAATTATTTTCTTTTGAAAATTGAAAATTTTCTACATAAATATTACGAAAAGTAAAAATGACGGTCATTTAGCAATTTTTAAAAAGCGCGCGGAAAAAAGATTAATGGAGCACTCACAGCTCTGCCTGCCTGCGCAGGCAGTAATTGGAGTAAGAGAGAAAGTCAATTAGAGTGAAAGAGACAGTAAATTCAAATTTGTATTGCTGCCTACTAGCTGTGAGTGCGCCTTAAGTTTTTATTTTTATTCAACACGCATGTGAACTTGACATAAAAGAAGCGGCAGATGTCAGCCATTTTTGTGGGCAAACTTCCAACACTCCGTTTTGGGAAGATATGTTTACACTGGATTACATATCTTAAAAGTTTGAATTGTAAATATAATGTGCAACAATTCTAGACAAAAATTGACTGTAAATAAAAAATGCGTTAAAGTGAAACTCCATGAATTATAAGTACAAGTGTTTGGAATGTTTACAGACTACCTCAAAACGCTACTCCTTGACTCAGTGAGAATTTTTATATTGTATATTTACAGTGAATTTTCCTGGATATAACTAAACTCGAGGTATTAAACAACCAGTGATTTATTAATAATAATTTTTTTTCACTTTTAGATGTGAGAATTCGTTTTCAAAGTAATTTTATATTCGCACATTTCTTTACCTTCCGACATGCTGTCTGTCCGAAAATCTCGCCTGTGTTTTCTGTCACTTTAATCATTTAGACGCATCATAATTGACCCGGAGGCTGCTAATTATCAGTGAAATTTGATAAGTGGAACAGGTTTTAAAAAATGGCTGCTACATTCGATCAGTATGATAAATCTAGGTATTGTCTTTCACGTAATTCTATGTTAACCTTGTAACTCGTACGACAGTTTTCTAACTCTCACAGTGATTATTCTTATTTAATATTACTTCACGACTCACTCAAAGACTTTGAGATATTCTTTGCAGTAACTTTTCTTCAAAACACTTAGAAAGATCGTTAATGAAATTGGTTAATTCTTCTGTCAAACTTGTTGCATGAATTTTGTTTTAGTTTTGAATAGACTGTCAGAAATTTCTAAGAGACTGACTACATTATTCAATTCTATACAGGCTTCGCACTCATCTACTAAAACCTACTATTTACTACTTTTTTACATTATGCTACTATTTGGGTACTTTTTTTAGATTTCAGCCACTAAAAGCTACTATTTCTGTTTTTTTTTTTTGAGAATTTTCACTACTTTAAATTCTCTAATACTAGAAATAAAAAAAAACTAATCTCAAAAATTAAACAAAATTTAAAACGATTCAATTATTTTCAAAAAATATTCGAAACTCAATTATTTTCAAAAAATATTCGAAACTCAATTATTTTCAAAAAATATTCCAAATTCAATTATTTTCAATATCTAGTATTTTCATGAAATTTAGCAAAAGAATTCAATTATTTTTTTTAAAAAATTGATAAAATTCATCAAAAATTCAATTATTTTCATAAATAATATAATTTCCACAGGAATTCAATTAATTTAGAATAGCATTTTCAAAAAAATTTCGAAAAAATCAATTATTTAACAAAATTTGTATGCAATTCTTCAGAATAATTAAATTACTTTCATTGATAATAATTAATTCGCTAATAAATAATTTCATGGATTTTCAATTATTTTTAAAAATTTGAATAAAATTCCTTGCAAGAATTCGATTATTTTCATAAATAATAAAACTCATCGAAGAATTTCAATTATTTTTAATATACTATTTTAAATTAATTAAACGAAAAAGTCAATTAATTTTACAAATAAAGTTTTCCACAAGAATTCAATTATTTCAAATAAAATTTTCACAATGTTTATTATATTTCGAAAAAATTAATTATTTAAAACAATATTTATAAAATTCTTATGAAGAATTATTATTATTATCAATTATTTTCAAAAATAACAAAATTTTTCAAAGAAATTCAATTCTTTTTAAACATTTTAATAAAATTTTTCGCAATAATTCAATTATTTTCATAAATATTGAAATTCTTCTCAGGAATTCAATTATTTTTGAAAATTTTAATAAAATTCTTAGCAACTATTCAATTATTTTTATAAGTAATAAAATTCATAACAGGATTTCAATTATTTTTAATACAATTTTATAGGAATTGCTCAAAAAATGTAATTATTCTTAAAAATTTAATTTCAATTCCTTGAAAAAATAAATTATTTAAAAAAATGTCTTTTTAAATTCTTTCGAAGAATTCAATTATTTACAAAATTATTAGAATTCTTCACAGGAATTCAATTATTTACAAAAATATTATAATTGTTCGAAAGAAATCAATTATTTTAAATACTTAATTAAATTTTTTCGAAATAATTCAATTATTTTCTTTTAGATTTTAATAAAATTCTTCCCGAGAATTTAATTATTTACATAAATAATTCTTTAATAGAATTCAATTATGTCGATAAATAAGAAAATTATTCCCGAAAATTCAATTATTTGAAGCATTTTAGCATTTTAATAAAATGCTTTGCAAAATTCAATTATTTTCATAAATAACAAATATTCGTCACAAGAATTCAATTATTTTTAAAAGTAATAAATTTCTTCTTGTAAATTCAATTATTTAAAAAAATTCTAATAAAATCATTTGCAAAAATTCAATTATTTTCATAAATAGTAAAATACTTTTTATGAATTCAATTGTTTTAAAAAAATTTTAATAAAATACCACACAGAAATTCAATTATTTTGAAAACTTTTAATAGAATTCTTTGTAAATTTAATTATTTTTAAAAACTTTTTGCAATTCAAATGATTTTCAATATCTACTGTTTTCATAACATTTTCAAACAGAGTTCAATTATTTAAAAAAAAATTTGTAAAAATCTTCGTAAAAATTAAATTATTTTGAATATATAATAAAAAGAATTCAATACTTTAAAAAAAAATTTATAAAATTCTTTGCAAACATTCAACTATTTTCATAAAATTTTTCGAAAAAAATCAATTTTTTAAAAAGATTTTTATCAAATTCTTTGCAAGAATTCAATTATTTAAAAATAGTAGAAATAAAGTTCTTTGTGAGAATTCAATTATTTTTACAAGTAATAAAATTTTTCACATGAATTCAATTATTTTTAAAAATTTCAATAAAATTCCTTGCAAGAATTCGATTATTTTCATAAATAATAAAACTCATCTTAGAATTTCAATTATTTTTAATACTATTTTACATGAATTCTATAAAAAAAGAAAATTATTCTTAAAAATTTTATTAAAATGCCTCTGAAGGATTTAATTATTTAAAAAAAATTTGATGTAATTTATTTTTTAGAATTTGATGAAATTCTTTATAACAATTCAATTATTTTCAAAAACATTTTAGTAAATTGAATTGAAAATTTGATAAAATTCTTTATAAGAATTGAATTTTAAGAAATATCCAATTATTGAGTAAATAAATTATTTTTGTATTTAAATAATTGAATTCTCGTACGATTTTTTAATAAAAATTGATTTAAAATTGAATTAAAAATTTTAGATAATAATTAAATATTAGAAGTAGCGTTATAGTGTGAATTTTTAGAAATAATTAAATTTCAAAAGATTTTTAAATTGAAGTTTTGAAAATTTTAATTGTAAAACTGTAATAATATATTAAAATTTTTATTTTGAAGTAAAATGATTAAAGTTTTGAATAATTTTATTTAAAACTGTCAACAAAAAAATGATTGAATTTCGGAAGAAGTACAATTTTAAGTTTTAGAATTAGTTAAATATTTCAAAAAGGCTTTACATTGAAGTCATTTAAAATATTTTGATTCCTGTGGGAAAATAAATATCTATTTAACTATTTATTTTAAAAAAATTATTTTATTCTTGAATATAATTGAATTTAGAAATTATGAAAAAAATTGTGTCGTCAGATTTAATTTTTTGATAACTAATTTTTGCTACTTTTTTAAAATTAATTAACGAGTACGAAGCCTGAATTTGACTTTATTTTTCTCTAAAATTTAATTATTCAATAGACTTTTAATGAAAAAACAAATATTTCAGTTGGTATTTTGGAGCGATGTCGAGGCAGGATGCTTCAGACTTGCTAATGAGCGAAAAGGAAGGCGGTGTTTTTCTAGTTCGAGACAGCAAGTCCATACACGGCGATTTCGTACTTTGCGTTAAAGAGGACAGCAAAGTTAGTCATTACATCATAAACAAAATGCAACAAGGCGATCAGATTCGATATCGAATAGGCGATCAGACATTCTCCGATATTCCCAATCTTTTAGCATTTTACAAACTTCATTACCTTGATACAACGCCACTTATTAGGCCAGCACTCAAAAAATTGCACAGGGTAATTGCAAAATATGACTTTGAAGGAAACGATCCTGATGATTTGCCTTTCAGAAAAGGTAATTTTTTATTCTTTATGAAATAACTTATTATTTTTATCATTTAAATTAATAGAAAACTACTGAAACTTAATATATTATGTATTTTATGATCTAAATTAAAATAATATTCTTTTACAAGAATTAAATAGTTTAGAATTTTTTAAAAATTAGAATATTAACTCAATATTCAGTTTTATTAATTAAAAACTTTACTTTCTTTGAGAAAGATGTTGAATATTATAATTTGAACACTTAAAATTGATAACTTACTACAAAATAAAATAAACTATTACAGGCTTCGCACTCATCTACTAAAACCAACAATTTAATACTTTTTTACGATTCGCTGCTATTTGGATACTTTTTTAAACTTGTTCCACGAGCAGATATTCTATTTTAGCAAAATGTTGATAAAATTTTAAGCAAACATTAAAATATTTTTATAAACAATAAAAATTTCAGAGAAATTCCACTATTTACAAATTTTTTATAAATTTCTTCACAATAATTCAATTATTTTCATAAATAATAATATCAGGGAAAAGTCAGGGAAAATTAAAATTAAATATTTGTGGCAACCCTAAATTTGGAATAAATTTTATATTTTAAACAATAATTGCCTTCCTATTATTTTTAGTTGCTTTTAAATGATTTAACATTGTTTGTTATGCTTAATTGAAAACAGGAGACATTTTGACGATAATATCAAAGGACGAGGAACAATGGTGGACAGCAAGAAACAGTCTCGGTCAAGCGGGTTCAGTGCCAGTTCCCTATGTACAAAAATACGACGAAGACGGACCCGTTGAAAGCAAACGACCCGAAAGTGGAGGAAGTTCCAGTTCTAGTTCGAATTTAGGTCTGTCGACAACTCAGGCCACACATCCGGAATTCTCAGTGACACCGACAAATCGTCGAGCGAATATTCAAAGACCACTGCCTGCATTCGCAAAAGTGAAACAAGCTCGAGAGCCGAACGCTTACGATAAAACGGCTCTGAAACTTGAAGTCGGCGACATAATAAAAGTAACAAAAACCAATATTAACGGTCAATGGGAAGGTGAATTGCACGGGAAAGTTGGTCATTTTCCTTTCACGCATGTGGAATTTGTCGACAATGACCCCAATGAAGAGGCGCAGGAAATTTAACAAACATCATTTTAAAATATACTCGCGATTATATTTTAACTCTAGCAAACGTTGGCAAGTATTTATAAAAGTAATTTTTCGCTAATAAGCCTAGAAGAAGGAAAAATTGTGAAAGTTATCGAAAAGACTAAAAAAAATGTGTGATGGAAATGTTCATTAGTCAGTATAATTTTACCAGCACACATTATGAGAGGGCATATTTGTGATTAACAACATATAGATAGTATTGTGTGGTAAATGCAAACTTTATTTTGCTGAAAATTTCGAGCCTTAAACAAACATTGACGAACGTCAATTTTTAATTAACAACACACCCAGCCTAAAAGAGTGATTTTTAAACGCTTCCCCAGAGATCAATTTGTAGATCTTCCAATAAAAAGCGAGCACAATATTAGGATTAGAGAAACTTTCATATCAATAATAAATGTGCGCAAAATGGATTTTATTTAAGCGGTGTTTTTAAAAAAAAAACAGTGATGATGAAATTTTGGCAGTTATGTTGAGGCAGCATTTAACGGAGAATTTTAGCCATAAACGATGATTGTATAAAGGGAAAGGAAGTGAAGGTGCCATTATTGTACATTTTGTTAATTGAATGTCAAGAATAATATCTTGAAAGCCAAATCACCAAATAAAATGAGTTAGAGAAAAGTCACCTCATTATAATTTAATGCATAACTGTACATTAATTTAATTTTTTTTTTTTTTGAAGATTTTTAACGAATTATTGACCACAGTTGTTACGATACACATCTGTAGTTTGCATTTCTTTGTATTCGATATATTATATATATTATATATATTTTTTAGACTAGGAATTATAATAATTGTATGTGTGATGTATACATGAAAAAAAGATAAACAATTGTATGATCATTAGGACAATGTATATTTTTCTAAGCATGGATTTTCTTTTTTATAACAAATCAATTTTATTGATAAATGATTAATTTTTAATTAATCTCCGTTACGTCGAATAGTCGTATTATATATAACAAATGATATTACAATGTAACGGAATTCGTCTCGTATATAATAATAAAATTTACAGTTAATATGTAAACAGCAGTATTCCGCGCTATAAGTACACACAACTTTCCAGGATTTCAAAAATTTTAATTAATGCAATATTATTATTATTAAAAAGCAAACCTTTGTAAAAAAATAAACAAAGAAAAAACAATAAAACAGCTATTAAAAACTATTTACAATAGTGTTGCGCTACTTGAGGGAAAAAATTTTTGGTAACTAATACAATTCTTTTTAAATAAAATCATATGTTTGACGCAATAATTTTGCCTTTGATAAATGAGTCAGAATTTATCAATTATTAACAGGGATTTTTATTCAAAGTACTCAGGGCTCGAACCAGTAAAGGTATTTTAAAATACGGACCTAAAAAATAAAATTAAGAACTAAAAATGAAAAACTACGGACCAATTACAGACAAAAATATAACCAGTCCGATCATTTCAATTCAATTGTTATTTTCTAGAACTTTTAACTAAAATTCTTCTTCGAATCAATTAATTTTAATAATTTTCGAAAAAGTTCTTTGACAATTTTCAAATTCATTTGTTTACAATATTCAATTTGGCGAAATTTCGCAATTATTTGTAAATTAGAAAATAAAAACTTCAAATGATATAAAAAAATTCAATTAAACTTTTCAAAAAAATTAATTTCAAAATTAAATTATTAAATTATTAATAATTATTATATTTAAAATTAAATTATTAAATTCCTTTTAATATTCAATTATTACCTAAAAATTTTAGTTTAACTAGAATTAATTTTTAAATCAATTTTGATTAGAAAATTCTACGAGAATTCAATTATTTAAAAACAAAAATAATTTATTGAATAATTGAATGTTTCAATGTAATTCTTATAAAGAATTTTATAAACAAATTTTTAAATAAATAAATTCTTTCGACGAATTTTAATAAAATTTTTAAAAATTATAATTATACATTTTTCGAGATTTGTGAAAATAATTGAATTCATAAGAACAAATTTCATTATTTTTAAACTTAATTAAATTTCTGCGAAAAATTTTTATTACTCTTGAAAAATAATTGAATTTCTGCAATAATTTGAAACTTCTCCAAAATTAAATTTCTTTGAATGTTTTCAACTAAAATTCTTCTATAAATCCATTATTTTTGGTATTTTTTCTTAAATTCTTTGACAGCTATCCAATTCAATTTTACAAAATTTCAATTATTTGGAAATTCTTCAATTAAATATATATTAGAAAATAAAAACTTTAAATGTATTCAAAAAATCTGCAATTAAGCTTTTTCAAAAAAATTAATTCCACAGAATTGTTAGTTACAAAAATGTGAAAAATTCAGATTTTCAAAGATTTTAATATGAAACCTTTTCAAAATTCAATTATTTCTAAAAATTCACGTTATAATGTTTTTAATATTCAATTATTATCTTAAAATTTGTATTCTTTTGACGAATTTTAATACAAAAATTTTTAGAAAAATTACCTTTTTTTGAGAAATTTGATTAAAATTGTATTAAAAATAATTGTAATTTTGCAATCAGTTTTATTATTTATGAAAATAATTGAATTTCTATAATAAGAATTTTATTATTTATGAACACAATTAAATTTCAGCAAAGAATTTTATGACTCTAGAAAATAATTGAATTTCTGCAATAACTTCTCCAAAATTCAATTTTTTAAAATGTTTTTTAACTAAAATTCTTCTATAAATCCATTATTTTTAATAATCTTTAAAAAAGTTCTTTGAGAATTTTCAAAATTTATTTATTTACAATTCTATTTTCAGAAATTTCGATTATTCGCAAATTAAATATATTTGGAAAATAAAAACTTGAAATAATTAAAAAAAAATATTCAATTAAACTTTTTCAAAAAAATGAATAATTCTACAAAATTGTTAGTTAAAAGTATGTAAAATTCAGATATTTAAAGATTTTAATTTGAAACTTTTTTAAAATTCAATTATTTCTAAAAATCCATGCTATAATGCTTTTAATATTCAATTATTCTCTAAAATTTTAATTGAATTTTATTTTTAAATCAATTTTTTTTAGAATATTTTTATGAGAATTCAATTATTAAAATACGAAAATAAATAATTTATTGACTAATTGAATGTTTCTTAAAATTTAATTCTCATTAAGAATTTTATCAACAAATTTTTAAGTAATTGAATTCTTCTGACGAATTTCAATAACATTTTTAAGAATAATTACATTTTTTGAGGAATTTGATTAAAATTGTATTACAAATAATTGAATTCATAAAAAGAATTTTATTATTAACGAAAATAATTGAATCCCTAGGTAAAAATTTTATTTTTTATGAAAATAATTAAATGTTTGCGTAGAATTTTATTAAAATTTTTGAAAATAATTTGAAGAAGAATTTGATTATTTATAAAGATAATTGAAATTTTGATGAGAATTTAAAAAAAAATTGAATATAATTGAATTTCTGCGAAGAATTCTATTACTTTTTAAAATAATTGAATTTCTGCAATTATTTGTATTTTCTCTAAAATTCTCCAAATTATATCGTACAATTTACGAACTTTTCGTCATTTTTCAATCAAATTGCGGACTTTACGGTTCTTTTTTAAAAAAAGATTGACTTTTACGAACTTCAAGCAAATTTTCGGAGCTTGACGAGATTTGCGGACCTAGTTCGAGCCCTGAGTACTGTAAAAAATTAAATTTAATTAGAATTCATAATAAAATTCTGAATTTTGGTGTCTTTTTTGTTTGTTTTATGTTCTTATAATAAGTTAAAATTCAATATTTAAATATTGCTATCAATTTGTTAATATACAATTTTTCAAAATAATTAAAAACAGAAATGAAAGGTCACGATAAATTCTGATTCAAATGAGAATATTGTGTAAGATTAAGCCTATAAAAACCTATGTACATGAAATAAGATGACTACTGACTCGTAAAATACTTTTTTTTTAAATTTTCTGTTCATTATTATTTTGCTTAACCGACACCCCTTTTACCTAGTTTGTAGTTTGACTTTTATCGAGCCAGTTGAGTAATTAAAGCAGCACACATTTCAAAAAACTCCATTGTGTGGTGACCAGTCGCTTGTGGAGGGGGAAGAGTAGGATCTAAAATAAAAAGAAGATAAATAAATATAATAAAATATAAATTATTATGAAATAAAAAAAAAGAAATGAGTTTAAAAATTTTGATTGACGATTTAATTTCACCTAAAATCATCATGTCTTCGCTTTCTTCGCTCGAAAGTGATTTAAAATCTAAAAGATAACTTTTGTAATCTACTTGGTACAATTGAAGAGACATTTTACTGTATCTGTCTGCGACTTGATTCTTTTGTCGGACTCGAACACTGTATGCGTTGATAATCTTCCACTCCTGTGATTGAATAATGCAATAAGATTATTATTAGTGTTAAAGAATTGAAAGTTCACAAAAATCATCAAAATTTACTCTATTTACAATATTTAGAATTTGAGAATTTCTTTTTAAGAATTATTTAGTGTTTAAATCAGACTTCGCACTCATTAATTAATTACAAAAAAGCTTTGAAACTTAAGAGAAGTAGTAAAAAAGTAGCTATCGAAAAATTAAAATTAACGACTAAAAATACTCGTTTCAGTCGAAAAATCGAAAAATCCAAGAAAAAAAAGTTCAAAATAAATAATGAAACATGTGAAAAAGCCACGTTTTTACATTTTAAGCTATAAAATCGGAATTTAAAATGTTAATGTTAAAATCGAAGGATTTTATTTATTTACATAAATAATAAAATTTTACACAAAAAAATAAGTCCAAAGTGAAACTATTTTTTTTTTTTACTTTTTTGGATTTCATTTACTTTCGATTTTTTGGTTTGGACTTTTTGCCTTGGACTTCTTGTCCGGATACCAATTTTATTATATATTTCCATAATTTTCAAAAAGAATATTTACTTTTTCCCTCATCCTGGAAATAACTTCAATTCTAAATTTTTACAAATTTTTAGTTACAATTTTTGAAAAAATGTTTAAAATTTAAAAAATAAAATTCTTTAAAGTGTAAAATTTATTTCAATGGCAACATTTACAATTGTTTCAATTTTTTAAAATTATTTACAGATACTCAACTATTTTTAAACAATTTTAATTACCATTTTTCAAAATCCTAAATTTTTCAGAATTTCTAAATTAAATTATTTAAAATTTAAATAATTTTTAGTAAATAAATATTTAAATAATTTTTAATTTGGTATTTATTTGTACACAGGAATAAAAATTTCAAAATAATTTCACTGTAAATCCTTCTGAAACTTAAATATTTCAAAAAATTACAAACTATAATTATTCCAAAATTAAATTTATTTTTTAGAATCTTTAAGGAAAATTATTAAAAACTTTAATAATTCTTTAGAATTATAATAAATTAATAATTTTTTGATATTTAAATAATATTAATCTTGAATTTATTTTGTTTGCCTCATAAACTTTAAAACTACAACGAATTTCAATACAAAAACCTCTAAATTCTTTCTATTTCTGACAATAATTGAACTTTACAGAATTGAAATTGAAAAAGAAATTATAAAAAAGTGAATTTCGAAAATATTTTAGTTGACATTCTTCGTCAAATAATTGAATTTTTAAGTAGCTTTCTCAAAAATTATTAAAAATAATTGACTTAGAGAAGAATTGTAGTTAAAACTTCCAAAAGAAGACAAGTATTTTTTTTAAAAATGAATAAAATTCTACACAAATATTTAATTATTTTTATAAATAACACAAATTTTACAGGAATTAAATTATTAACAAATTTTCTAATTTTCTTCGCAATAATTCCATTATTTTCATAAATAATACAAATTTTTACAGAGATTCAATTGTTTTTATAAATAATAAAGTTCTTTTTAAGGAATTCAATTCTTAAATAATAAAAACTCATCACAAAATTTCAACCATTTTTAATACAATAATTAATCTAATTCATCGAAAAATGTAATTATTCTTAAAAAATTGTTTAAATTGTTTAAAAATTCATCAAAAGAATTCAATTACTCAAAAATTTGTTAATAAAATTCTTTGCGAGAATTAAATTTTAAGAAACATTCAATTATTCAGTAAATTATTTATTTTTGTATTTAGATAATTGAATTTTCGTAAAATTTCCTAAACAATTTTTTCTAATTTAATTACATATTCTAACAAAAATTTTGGATAATAATTGAATATTAAAAGTATTAATACATAAATGTTTAGAAATAATTGAATTTTGAAAAGGTTTCAAATTTTTGAAAATCTAAATTTTAATTAAAAATTCTATAAAACTAATTTTTTTGAAAAATTTTAATTATAATTCTTCTAAAATCAATTGAATTTTTTTAATACTTATTTAATTATTACAAATAATGGACTTATAGAAGAATTTTAGTTAAAAATACTGAAAAAATTTAATTTTGTGAGAAGTTACAAATGATTGCAGAAATTCAATTATTATTTTCAAAAATTTTTCGAAATTTAATTATTTACAAAATCTTCTATTTTAAATTTTAATAAAATTAACTAAAAGAATTCAATTATTTAAAAAAAAATTTTCATAAAACTCTTCGGAAGCATTCAATTATTTCCATAAAAAGCACAATTTTAACTGGATATCAATGACATAATTGAAATACAATTTTTATGAAATTTAAAAAAATATTCAATTATTTAGCAAATGTTTTATAAAAATCTTGTCAAGAATTCAAATATTTTCACAAATAATAAAATTTTTCGATAATTTTAAGGAAATTTTTGCGCAAGAATTTTATTTATATATTATAAGAATTTTAATATTTATAAATAAAATTGAATTGTTTTGAAGGATTTATTAAAATTTTAGAAAATAATTGAATTCTTTTGAAATACTTTATAACGAAAATTGAATTTTTATTGAAATTGTTTTGAATATAATTGAATTTTTGCAAAGAATTTTACTATTTATAAATATAATTGAATTGTTTCGAAGAATTTATTAAAATTTTAGAAAATAATTAAATTCTTTTGAAATTTTTTATAACAAATTATAAGAAAAATATTGAATTCTTTCGTGAAATTTTCTTGAAAATAATTGAATTTTTGCAAAGGATTTTACTATTTATAAATATAATTGAATTCTTTCAAATGATTTATTAAAATTTTTAATAATACTGGAATTTTTTCGAAAAATATAAAAAATTAAAAAAATTGAATTCTTTCATGAAATTTTTTTAAAATTGTATTCAAAATAATTGAATTTTTGCAAAGATTAAAACACAATTTTTATAAAATTCTTCGCAAGAACTCAATTATTTTCAAAAATTTTAATAAAATTCTTGTCAAAATGTGAATTAATTTTTGAAAATTATCTTAAATTCATTGATTTTCAATATTTACTATTTCAGTAAAATTTTCTTTAAAAGAAGAGAATTAATAAATATTTAATAACAATTTTACATAATAATAAAACTCATCGGAGAATTTCAATTATTTTTAATTCAATTTTATTGAAATTCGTTAAAAGAATTCAATTAATTAAAAATTTGTTGATAAAATTCTTTATGAGAATTAAATTTTAAGAAACATTCAGTTACCTTTTTAATAAATAATTTTTTTTGTATTAAAATTATTAAATTCTCGTAGAAATTTTTAATAAATATTGATTTAAAAATGAATTTCAGTTAAAATTTTATAATTAAATATTGAAAGCATAATAGCGTCAATTTTTAGAAATAATTGAATTTTTAAAAGGTTTCAAATTAAAATGTTTGACTAATAATTCTGTAACTAATAATTCTGTAGAATTAGTTTTTTTGAAAAAGTTTCATTGAATTTTTTAAAAAAATTAGTTAAATTAATATAATTATTTTAAAGAATTTCAAAATTGTCAAAATTTTACATAAAATTGAATTGTAAACAAATGGATTTAAAAAATTCTCAAATAACTTTTTCAAACATTATTAAAAATACTTGATTTTCAGAAGAATTTTAGTTAAAATATCTAGAAAATAATAATTGAATTGAAATGATGAAAATTATTTTGAAGAAATTACAGTAACAGTATTCTTATAATATAAAATAATGATTTTATCACTCGGTCTTCATGTTTTATGTATTTTATGGTAATGAAAAAATTTAATTTATAGTTTTAAGTAAAATTTTCTCTTATGTGACTCGGACGGTTATTTGAAGAAAATAAATATTAACTTTCTTATTTCAACTATTAGTGGATTTAAACTAGTGCGAATTCCCCAAAAATGAAAAAAGTAGCTTTTAGTGCCACAAATCTGAGAAAGTACCAAACTAGTGTTTAATCGTAAAAACGTAGTAAATCGTATGTTTTAAAAAATGAGTGCGAAGTCTGAGGTACTTAAATATTTTGAAAAAATTATTAAATAGGTACAAAAAAAAGTAAAAAGAAAAGAGTAGACTTACAAAGTTAAGAGCCTTCATCGCTCGGTACACTTCGTTCATAATGTCATGAGGTTTAGATTGAGACCTGATTCCTAAATGCCATTTCGCTCTCTTGACGGGAGTGTTCCTGTTTCCCGGAACTTGAGCCGTAGCACTGCCTAAAGAACCTTGACGATCGCGGAAAGCTTAGATGAAAATAAATATATTTTGCACAGAAATTTAAGAATTTAAAAATTATTATCAACTTCATGAAAATTCTACAGGAAAAAAATAAAAATTAATGGAATTCAGGTTTCGAAAAAAAAATTTGTTTAATTTCAAATAGAAGGGAAATTTCTTTTTTTTTCAACACTTACGAGCAATTCTCTCAGGATGAGGCCGCAAGGGACTGTTGTTGGACTCACTGGGACTGAAGGCAACAGGCGGAGGACTTGAGGCAACGTAGAAATCTTTCAATTCGGCTTTTGCAGCTTCATCCGCAATTCTCTTATTATCAATGATAAGATGATAGGCGATTGCCAGTTGATCGTGAGGATCACAGCTAAGCAATGCAGAGTGCACTTCTGATTCTTGGACGTTGAACTTCTCACAAACCTCGTTAACGGCATCAATATCTATCACAGACGAATCTTGCTCGACGGGCGAAGGGAATAAATAGGTTGGCAAATCTTTTTGGAACCATTCATGTTTCCTGAAAGAGAATTAATTGTTTTTATTTACTTCATCAACTGTCTAGAATTTTATCTCATTAAACTTACTTGATGTCCTCGATTGTTGCTCGTTTCATTGGATCCACTTGCAACATATGGCAAAGAAGACTCACGACGGTTTTGTTCAAATATTCTGGTATGGGAAAAATACCGGCTGAAATTTCAAGACAAAAAATACGGTCATTTTTTCCTCTGATAAAAATATGTCTTATTTTTGCTTCATAAATATCTCGAATACTATAAGAACTAAAACAATTAATTTTTCCTGCTTTTCTTAATTTTTCAATTTCTCCGAAACTAATTAATATTTTTTAACCTTTTTGGATTCATTTTCAGGATTGCCATAATTTAATTTTGTTTTTCCCTGATTTCCAAATAAAATTTTGACTTTTTTACCTGACCCTAAAGAATATTCTGATTCACTCTAAAAATTATTAGATACTCAAAAAAATGTCCCATTACATTTATTTACGAATTTCTTCAATTGTAAAATTATTCGAAAACATCAATAACTTCTTTTTTAAATAAATATTTATTAATTATTATTATTCTATAGAATAAAGATTTTCGAAAAATTTCAAATTCAAACCATTTAAAATTCAACAAACTTATAAAAATAATTATTATACCTACATATTATAAAATTCGTTGCAAGAATTCAATTTTTTTCATAAATAATAATATTCTTCATAGAATTGCAATTATTTAAAAAAAATGTAATAAAAATTCGTTGCAAGAATTCAATTGCTTTCCTAAATAATAAAGTTCTTCACAGGTATTCAATTATTTTTCATAAAATTTTAAGTAAATTCTTCCAAAAATGTAATTATTTCAAAAATTTTATTAAAATTCTTCAAAAGAAATCAATTATCAACTATTTCTAATAATTTTTTGCAAAAGTTCCATGAGAATTTTCAAATCCATTTGTTTCAAATTCAATTTTACGAAATTTCGATTATTCAGAAATTCTCCAATTAAATATATATTGGAAAATAAAAACTTGAAATAATTTTTAAAAATATTTAAACTTTTTCAAAAAAATTAATAATTCTACAAAATTGTTACTTAAAAGTATGAAAAATTGAGATTTTTAAAGATTTAATTTTAAACCGTTTCAAAATTCATATATTTCTAAAAATTCACTCTATAATGCTTTTCATATTAAATTATATTATCTAAAATTTTAACTGAATTAATTATTAAATCAATTTTTATTTGAAAATTCTACGAAAATTCAATTATATAAATGCAAAAATAAAAAATTTATTGAATAATTAAATGTTTCTTAAAATTAAATTTTCATAAAGAATTTTATCAATAAATTTTTAAATAATTGAATTTTTTTTAACGAATTTTGATAAAATTTTTAAAAAATAATTTTATTTTTTGAGGAATTTGGTTGAAATTTTTATTAAAAATAATTGAAATTGTGCAATGAGTTTTATTGTTTATGAAAATAATTGAATCTCTGTAAAAAAATTTATTATTTATGAAATTAATTGGATTATTGTGAAGAACTTTATAAAAGAATATACGTAAATCATTAAATTCCGACTGTAAAATTTTTATTGTTTATAAAAATAATTAAATATTTGTAATAAATTTTGTTAAATTTTTTATTTAATAATTGTCTTCTAAATCTTATTAAAATAGTAAATATAGAAAATCATTGAATTGAAGAAAATTTTCGAAAATAATTCAAATTTTGCCAAGAATTTTATTAAAAGTTTTAAAAATTATTCAATTCCGAAGAAGAATTTTATTATTAATGAAAATAATAAAAATTTTGACAAAAATTTTAACATAATTGAATTTTTCGGAAGAATTTTATTACTTTTGAAAATAATTGAATTTCTGCAATCATTTGTAACTTCTCCAAAGTTTAATTTTTTTGTGTTTTTAACTAAAATTCTTCTATAAATCCATTGTTTTTAATAATTAAATGAGTATTAAAAAACTCAACTGACTTCAAAAGAATTATAAATTTATAATTATAAATTATTAATTATAATTTATTATTATTATTAATTATTAATTATAATTATAAATTATTAAAATTTTCCAAAAAAATTAGTTTTACAGAATTTTTATTAAAAAGTATGAAAAATTCAGATTTTCAAAGATTTTAATTTGCAACCTTTTAAAAATTCAATTATTTCTAAAAATTGACGCTATTATGCTTTCAATATTCAATTAGAAAATTTTAATTAGAAAATTTAATTAAATTAGAAAAATGTTTGTTAGAAAATTCTACAAAAATTCAATTATCTAAATACATAATAAATTTATCTAAATTCTCATAAAAAATTTTATCAAAAAATTTTAAAAAATGTTGAACATAATTGAATTTCTGCAATCATTTGTAACTTCTCCAAAATTCTATTTTTTTTTGTGTTTATAACTAAAATTCTTCTATAAATCCAATATTTTCAATAATTAATTAAATATATATTAAAAAATTTAACGAATTTCAGAAAAATTTGAGTGATTAACATTTTTCAAAAATCTCAGTTGTTTAAAATTTCTAATTAAATCCATTCAAAAATTAAAATTCTATAAAATTTAAAATTAATCCTTTTGAAGTTAATCTATTTCTGAAAATTGTGAACGAAAGTCTCTTAAAATTCAATTAATTTTGAAATATTGAATTAAGATTATTCATTAAATAATTTCTAAGTAATAATTTTATGATATTTCTTTAGGAATTAAGTTATTTAAAAAGAAATTATTGTCAGAAACAGAAAAAATTGAAGGTTTTAGATTAGAATTCGTGGTAATTTCATAGTTTAGGAGGCTAACAAAAAAGACACAAAAATTAAGAATTTTCTTTTGAATTCTAAAAATTTAATTTTTTGCATTACTTTTAATAAAAATTCCTGACTTCCCTGACCTGTGAAAACACTGATTTTAATCTTTATTGAATGTAGAATTCAGTTTATTAATCAGTATTTTGGTAAAAATTTTTCTTTACCAGAAAAATAATTTTTTAAAATCAAATAAATACATTTTTAAACATTTTTTTTTAATTTTTACAATATAAAATTCATCTATTTTACCGAACCATTTTTGACGTCTTTAAAAAAATTGTGGAGTAAAAAATTTGAATCTTACTACTTTTGAAGCATTTAAAAAAAAAAATTGTGATTGTGCTAAAAATAGTAAAGAGAATACCACTGTTATTCAATTTTTGTTATTAAAAAAAACTTAATCTGTTTATTTTTTTAATTTCAAATCAATTATTCTTAATTAAAAGTTAAGTAGATAATTCCCTTCAAATCGGCACATTAAAATAACTAAAAATTGGAATTTCAAACTATGAAAATCGAAATAATGAAAATGGTAGCTTACACTTAATTTTTCGAAAGAGAGTAGGTACGTGTTCGTCGTCAAATGGCAATGTGCCGCACAATAGCGCGTATAAAATTACTCCACATGACCAAATGTCCACTTCAGGACCTGCATACAACTTTCCAGAAATTACTTCCGGTGCGGCGTAATTTGGAGATCCACAAGAAGTTCTCAAAAATTCCCCATCCATCATCATGTTTGACAAGCCTTTAAAAAAAAGAATATTAATTACATCTGAATTATTAAATCATTCCTAAAAATTAAAATTATATATTTTTTCATCTTGAAAAGTAGTTCAAATAAAATATTTGAAAAGTAGTTCAAATAAATTATTTGAAAAGTAGTTTAAAATAAAGCGTTTGAATTTGAAAAAACACTTGTGAAGTTTACCGAAATCTGCAATTTTAACATGTAAATTGTGATCGAGGAGAAGATTTTCAGGCTTTAAATCCCGATGCACAATCATGTGACGATGACAATAATCCACTCCAGAAATTATTTGTTGAAAAAATCTTCTCGCCTCGTATTCTTTTAGTTTGCCGTGCTTTACAATATAATCGAATAGTTCACCACCAGAAACATATTCCATTATCATAAATATATCTGTCGGTGTACTGATCACCTGATACCTGTTTTAATTTAAATTCAAAAATCCAATTGTATCTTAAAATCTTTAATTTCATACGACTTGACAATATAATTTTTTTCAAATATTTTCATCATCTTTCATATTAATAACATTTTTTTATTGCCCTACTACAGGCTTCGCATTCGATAATTAATTTTAAAAAAGAATCAAAAAGTATTTTTAAAACAGAAAAAACTAGTGGAAAGTAGCGAGCAATAGAAAAATTAAATTTAATGACTAAAAAATTTTAGTCGATTCACAAAAATTTGATTCAATATTTCCTTGACTTTTTCCTGATTTCCATAAAAAAATATTCACTTTTTTTCTTATCTTAATCTTTAAAATATAAGATTTGTTACAAATAAATTTGACAAAATTTCTAATTGGATTGAAAATTTTATTTACTCTTTTAATTTTTTTAAAGGAATTTAACTAAAAAAATTTTAATTACAATTATTCGAAAAAATAACTTTTTTCTAATTTCTAAATTAAATTATACAAAACTTGAACAATTTTTGTTGAATAAATATTTAAAAACACTTGTTTATTTTTCCACAAAGAATAAATATTTTAAATTCAATCATTTTTCTTTTTTTAATTTCCAAATAAAATTATATTCAAAACTTTCATGGAAATAATTCAATTCTTGCAACGAATTTTATTAATTTCTTTAAAATAATTGAATTCCTGTGAAGAATTTTATCATGTTTTTAAATAATTCAATTCTTTTGGGAAATTTTATCAACGTTTTTTAAATAATAGAATTTTTTGAAAAAATTCAATCACCTATATTTATAAAAAGTCAAATTCTTTGCAAAAATCCCATTACTTTTTATACAATTTTAATAAAATTGCATAAATGAATTACATTTTTTTGAAATTTTTAATATTTTTAAAAAATATTCAATTATTTTCTAAAATTTTAATAAATCCTTCAAAACTGTACTATTTTATTTATAAATATTAAAATTCTTTGCATAAATTCAATTATTTTCAAAAAAATCTGCGCTACAGAAAAAAGAATCCAATTTTTTTCTTCGTTATAAAATTTTTCAAAAGAATTCAATTATTTTCTAATATTCTAATAAATCGTTCAAAACAATTTAATTTTATTTATAAATAGTAAAGTTTTAATTAAATTTAAAAAAAAATTTTAGTGATATTTTTCGAAAAAATTTAATTATCTTCTAAAATTTTAATAAATCTTTTGAAACAATTCAATTATATTTATGAATATTAAATTTTTCGCAGAAATTCAATTACATTCCAAACAATTTCACTAAAGAATTGAATTTATTTGTTTTTAAATTTGTAATATTTTTTGAAAAAATTTCATTATTTTTTAAAACTTTAAATAAATTCATCAAAACAATTCAATTATTTGTAAAAAATTTTCTTAAAATTTTCAAAATAATTTTATTATTGCGAAAAATTATTTATTAAAATTTTTTTAAATAATTGAATTCCCGTGAAAAAATTTTAATCGTGAAAATATTTGAATTCTTGAATTGAAATGGAATTTTATAAAAAAATTTCTAAATAACTGAATATTTTAGTTTAGTTTATTTACGGTATAATACACCTTTTTTCATAATTAAATTTTCTTATATTTCATAAAAATTGTATTTATATTACTCTTCAAAGGGCCTTTGAGCCCGTATATACATTAAAATAAAAATAAAAAATAATATAAAATAAAATTTCAAATAAAAAAAAATTGAAAATCCTGTTAAAATTTTGACATTTATGAAAATAATTAAATGCTTGAAAAGAGTTATATCAAAATTTTTATAAAATTTTTTTATAAAAAAAAAAAAATTTTTTTTTTTTTTTTTTTTTTTTAGAAATTGAAATCCTGTTAAAATTTTGACATTTATGAAAATAATTAAATGCTTGAAAAGAGTTATATCAAAATTTTTATTTTTAAATAATTGAATTCTTTTGGTAAATTTTATTAAAATAGTAGATATTGAAAATAATCGAATTTCGAAAATTTTTTGAAAATAATTGAATTGTTTGAAAGAATTTTGTTAAAATTTTAATTATTTTTTAATTATTTATAAGAATTATGTTACAATTGTTGAGAATAATTTTTTATTTCATCTATTAGCGAATTTAAAGTATGTAGTGCAAATTTTCAGAAAAAGAAAAAAGTAGCTTTTAGTGTCTAAAATCTAAAAAAAGTATCCAAATAGTAGCAAATAGTAAAAAAAGTCAATAGTAAATTGTAGGTTTTAGTAGAAGAGTGCGAAGCCTACTATTACCATAAATAAATAATAATTTTGAATTTAATTAAAAATTCCAACTCACAATTTAATAATGTGCGGATGCCTAAATAATTTAAGATTTTGTATTTCTCTTCGTATTTTTCCAACGACATCTAAGCTCTTGATTTTTTGCCGATTGAGAATTTTCACTGCCACTTTGTGTTTTGTCAACACATGCTCTCCGACTAATAATGGAGAAAATTAACAAAAATAAATTTTTAGTTTCTTATAGAATTTTTCTAGTTTCAGTAAAAAAAAATTTTACTCACTTTTTACTTTGCCAAAAGTCCCAACACCAAGAGTCTGGCCTAAAGTATAATGACCAATTTTAACAATTGGCTGAGATTGACTACTTTGCATTTTGTCCGTCATTTTTTATTATTTTCTGTAAATTTGTAAAAATATTAAGAAAATTATTAAAATTATTCCAAGTGAAATTGCTTTTAATAGACTAAACAATTCGTTTTGCCGTTAAAAAATTCCTCTCAAACTCATGTTTGTGGATTAATGTATATATATGTAACTAGATTGAGAAATAGTTCATTCATTCATTCATTAAAATATGAAAAGTGTCACTTCTAGAGAAATTTAAATAAATATGATTCACAAAAAAACATATTTCTCAATAACTTTTTTTTTTTAATAAAAATTCACTTTTTTACATAACGCGGAAAATTTTATAAAAAAAACGACAGAAAAAAATTATTCCCTTCTTTAATTAAATTATGAATTCGATTTTTTTGAAAATGTTTTTCTATTTCTGATTTCGATGAAGTTGATTCGTTAAATTTTCTCTTACGATAAACGAAAAACTGTTTTTTAATACCTAAATCAACACTTCCTGAGAAAATTTTAATTACTGGCACTTTATTTACATGTTTTTTATAATCATATATACGAATTCGTCATAAACAATGAACAGATGTTCGCCACAAACATGACATTTTCTCAAGTACTAAACACCCTAACCTCAAAAAGCAAAAGAGACGAATCAATGTTTTTTCATCCGTATGTAACTTATAGAATTTTTTGACTAAAATTTATTTCGCTGGAGCACATTTAAAGATAGACAGTATCAAATGGAGAGCTAGTTTTATTTTATATTTTTATTTTACACTTAATTGTTTGTCCGGACGATCAGCTGATCAGTAACAAGCGTTAACAAGAATTGTCGTAAGGTGTTTCGTATGTTTACTTTTGTTATTCATTTTTTATTGATGCACACTAGAATGCATGAATTAAATACACGTGACACAAATTATATTTTCATTGCGGATTTTCTAGTCAATAAGTCTCCTAATAAATGAAAATAGACGATATTATTATTATTATATAATTTAATTTATAGGTTAACAATTTTACGGTTGAAATTGAAACGGTTCAAACTAAAATCTTAGGATTTCTTTTAGTATTTGTTTGCTATATATAAATAATACACATATATTATTTGCCTTTTATTTAAGTACTAGCCAAATTATGTTGGAATTGTTGTATTGCGCTGATTATTGTAAACAATTTCAAGTCATTTTAATTTAAGTAATTTTTAAAGAAATAATTATGATACAACAGAAAAATTATTTAGAATTAAATATTCAATTTATATTATTTTAAAAACTTTAAAGTATACAATAAAAAACTTTAACAAATTTTTATTCTAATTTCAAATTTGACATCAAATTTTCTAAATTCAAAATAATTGAACTTTCTTGTTGTACAAGGAAATAATCCAATTTCGCAAAAATATTGTTATTTGATACTTTCATTTTCAAATTAAAAATAATCTTCATTACGAAAATTTTAATTATCCTAAAGAATAGAAAAAGTAAAAAAAAATGATTATACATTCAACTTTTTGAACAAAGAATGTAAATAATAATTTTTTTAGAAAATTTCCACTACTACTTTAAATTCGCTAATACTAGAAATCAAAAACCTATTCTCAAAAATTATAATCAAATTCTTTAAAAAGATTTAATTATTTTCAAAAAATATTGGAAATTCAGTTATTTTCAATATCTAGTATTTTCATGAAATTTCGCAAAAGAATTCAATTATTTAAAAAAAAAAATTTTTAAATTCATCCAAAATACAATTATTTTCATAAATAATAAAAAATTTTCACAGGAATTCGCAATTAATTAAAAATTCCATTTTCAAAACAATTTCGAAAAAATCAATTACACAAAATTTTTATACAATTCTTAACAATAATTCAATTACTTTCACTAATAATATCATTTTTCATGGAAATTCAATTTTTTAAGAAACATTTTTGATAAAATTCTAAGCAAGAATTCAACTATTTTTATAAATAATAAAACTCATAAAATAATTTCAATTATTCTTAATACTATTTTAAATTAATAGAAAATTTCAATCGCATATTTTCACAAATAAAATTTTCTACAAGAATTCAATTATTTTCAAAAATAAAAAAAAAATTTCACAGAAATTCAATACATTTTAAACATTTTAATAAAATTCTTCGCAATAATTCAATTATTTTCATAAATAATAAAATTCTTCTCAGGAAATTCAATTATTTTTGAAAATTTTAATAAAATTCTTTGCAACTATTCAATTATTATTTTCAAAAATTGTAAAATTCATCGCAGGATTTCAATTATTTTTAATACAAATTTACAGAAATTTCTCAAAAAATGTTATTATTCTTAAAAGTTTAATTTCAATTCCTCAAAAAAAAATCAATTATTTAAAACAATATCTTTTTTTAAATTCTTTGAAAGAATTCAATTATTTATCAAAATATTAGAATTTTTCACAGGAATTCAATTATTTTCAAATATTTTATTAAAAATTTTTTTGAAATAATTCAGTTATTCTTTTAGTTTTTAATAAAATTTTTCCTAAGAACTCAATTATTTACATAAATAATATTCTTCAAAAGAATTCAGTTTTTCTATGTCGATAAATAACGAAATTATTCCCGAAAATTCAATTATTTTAAGGCATTTTAATAAAATTCTTTGCAAAATTTAATTATTTTCATAAATAATAATATTCATTACAAGAATTCCATTATTTTTAAAAGTAATAAATTTCTTCTTGGAAATTCAATTATTTAAAAAATTTTAATAAAATACTAAACGGACATTCAATTATTGTCGAAAATTTTAATAGAATTCTTAGTAAAATTTAATTATTTTTAAAAACTTTTTGCAATTTAATGACTTAATATCTACTATTTTCATAAAATTTCCAAACAGAATTCAATTGTTTGAAACATTTTTTGTAAAAATCTTCGTAAAAATTCAATTCTTTTCATGAATAATGAAAATTTCTCAGGAATTTAATTTTTAAAATTAGAATTTGCATAAAATTTGTCGAAAGAAATGAATTATTTAGAAATTTTAATAAAATTCTTGGCAAGAATTAAATTATTTTTATAAATATTTAAATTCTTTCGTGAATAATAAAATTCGATGCAGGAATTCAACTTTAAAAAAATTTTAGGAAGACAAATGAAGAAATTTTTTTTTCAATTTTTAAATAACATTTATTTTGCATGTTACAGTAAAATAAAATCACATATGTTTTCGTTTCTAGGACACAACTGAGAAAAACATATATATTTTTTTTAAATATTGTTATAAAATAAAAAAAACTTAGTAAATTTAAGTTCACTCGTATATTAATTTTAAATTAAATTCTTTTACTTTTCGTCCTTTGTTTTTGTTTATATATTTTATTATTGATCAATCTCAACTCATTTTTAGTTTGAATATTTCTTTGATTTCGTTATGGAAATTGACAAAAAATGTCTCAAAAAATGTAAAGTTTAAGAAAAATAAAATTTTCCATTTCTTGCAATTAAAACAATATTAATGCATTTTTTACAAAGACCTTTAAAAAAATATTGTTTAACGAAATGAAGAATTTGTATTTTTGTCGTAATTTTAACATTTTTATTTTTTGTTCAATTACATTTGATTATCGGCTTTAATTTTAATCAAGTAATATTCAAAACTAAATAATTGTTTAGATTTCTGTTTATTAATATATTATTTTTTTAACATATACTTCTTATTCTATTTTTTTTCGTTAATTTTTTAAATCTGTTTTCTTTTATTCTATTCTTTTTTAATTTTTTAATTTTATTCTCTTTGATTCAAATTCTTTTTGAAACCGTTTTACATTGAGAAAACAAATGAATTTGTAAATTTACATTCTTAATTGCATATATTTACAATTACAAAAAATTTTGGTACCGTAAATTTTTGTAAATTATAATATTCTTGCAATTTAGAGTGAAAATTGTATCAAAAACCGCATTTTTTTCTGAATTTATAAATATATTTATTTAAACCTAATTTATTAAAAATATTTTTTTATATTTTGTTTGTTTCTTTCTTTTTTTCTAGTTTGTAAAATAATTTATCTTGTATAACTTTTTTGACAGGGGAAAAAATTTAATGCTTCCTTGCAAAAGAACTTTTGGTGTCGATTAATGTAGCCTAATTTAAAATCTTTTTGACAATGATTACATTGTTTCATTTCATGAAGCATTTTTTTATGTATCTTCAATTTTTGTTTCGATACATATTTTCTATCACATTTTTCGCAAGCGAACATTGTTATCATTAACCTTTCTCTTTTTTGAATTTTTAAATCGTCATCATCATCTTTATTAATATTATTATTATTATTACTAAAAATGGAATCAACTTCTTCTTTTTTTGGGGGAAGGTTTGCCGTCAAATTACCGAAAATATTTTGGTTCACAGTTAACTGGAAAATAAAAAAAAATAGAATTTAAAAAATTTTATATTTCAATTCATTTTAATCAATTAATATACCAGTTTAATGAATTTAATTTATTCAGTCCAAAGCCTGAATTTATTAAAATAAAAAAATTAACTAATAATTAACGTAAATTCGTAAATTTTTTTCGTATTTTTTTTTTTTTAAATTTTAATTTAATTTAATTTTTAATTTTTTTTTTCGTAAATTTTTTATTTATTTCTTGGTATAAATTTTAATAAATTTATTTTACCAAATAATAAATTAATTAATCAATTAATCTGGGCTCGAACTAGGTCCGTAAATCAAATAAAGGTCCGTAAATTTTCTTGAAGTCCGTAAAAGTCCGTTTGTTTTAAAAAGGTCCGTAATTTGATTAAGAAAAGACGAAAAGTTCGTAAATTTAACGATATAATTTAGAAAATTTTTGAGAAGTTACAAATAATTGCAAAAATTTAATTATTTTCAAAAGTAATAAAATTCTTTGCAAAAATTCAATTCTATTACAAAATTTTTTTAAATTCTTATCAAAATTTCAATTATCTTTATAAATAACAAAATTCTTCTCTGAAATTCAATTATGTATTTTTAAAAATTTTAATAAAATTCTTGAAAAAATTCAATTGCTTAGAGAAATAACAAAATTCTTTAAAGGTATTCACTTTTTTTATAAATAGAAAAATTCTTTGCAAATATTCAATTGTTTTTAATACAATTTTAATAAAATGTCATGAAAGAATTTAATTTTTAAAAAATTTTTAATAACATTTTTCGAAAGAATCCAATTATTTTCTAAAATTTTAATAAATCCTTGAAAACAATTCAATTATTTTTATAAGTAGTAAAATTCTTCGTAAGAATTAAATTATTTTTCATAAATAATAAAATTCTTCCCAGGAATTCAATTATTTTCAATACAAGTATTAACAAATTATTAAAGAAACGAAAGAAATAAATTGTTTTCTAAAATCATTTAATAAAATTCAATAATTTAATTGTTTAATTTCAATTATTAAGAAATACGATTATTTTAAAGACTTGTAAGAAATTGTTTATAAAATTCAATTACTGTCACAATTTTCAATTAAAATTATTAAAAAAACTCTATTCTCTAAAAAAAATTTAAAGAAATTCTTCAAAGTAAAGTACATTATTTAAATTTTAATAAAATTCTTCCCAAACATTCAATTATTTTCATAAATAATAAAATTCTTCGAAGAAATTCAATTATTATCAAATTTTTTGAGAAAATTCTATGAATATGAATATGCAGAATATAAATAATATAAAATTTTTACAGGGATTCAATTATTTTCGTAAAATAATAAAATTAATTTTAGGAAATCAATTATTTTCATAAATAATAAAATTTTCACAAAAATTTAATTATTTTTAAACACAATTTTCATAAAAATTTTTGAAAAAAATCAATTATTCAAAATAATTTTTATAAAATTTTTTGCTAAAATTCAATTATTTAAAAAATCTTTAATAAAATTCTGCGCAAACATTTAATTATTTTCATAAAATAATAAAAATTTCACAAGGAAATCAATTATTTACAAATTTTTTATAAATTTCTTTGCAATAGTTTCATTATTTTCATAAATAATAAAATTTTTACAATGATTCAATTATTTTCAAATAATAAAACTCATTGCAAAATTTCAATTACTATATATTGTTAATAATTTTAATTAATATTCAAATAATTATTCTCAAAAATTGAATTGCATTTCGACAAAAGAATTCAATTATTATTTAAAAATTTGTTGATAAAAACCTATATGAGAATTAAATTTAAAGAAACATTCAATTATTCAATAAGTTATTAATTTTTGTAATTGAATAATTGAATTTTCGTTGAATTTTCTAATAAAAATTGATTTAAAAATGAATTTCAGTTAAAATTTTATAGATAATATTTGAATATTAATAATTGAATATTATAGGATGAATTTTTAGAAATAATTGAATTCTGAAAAGGTTTCAAATTAAAATCTTTGAATTTTAAAATTTTAACTAACAATTCTGTGAAATTAATTTTTTTCCAAATATTTAATTGAATTTTTTTTTAAATAAACGAATAATCCAAATTTTTGGTAAAATTGAATTGTAAAGTTGTAAACAAATGGATTTGAAAATTGTCAAAGAACTTTTTCGAAAATTATTAAAAATAATTCGATTTAAAGAAGAATTTTAGTTAAAAATTCTTGAAAATAATAATTGAATTGAAATGATGAAAATAATTTTGAAAAAGTACAATATTCTTATAATATAAAATAATGATTTTATCAGTCGGAGTTATTGATATCTTCATGTTTTATAGTTATGACAAAATTTAATTAATAGTTTTAAGTAAAATGTTGTCTTATTTGACTCGGACTGGTTATATTTTTGTCAGTAATTGGTCCGTAATTTTTAATTTTTGTCCGTAAAATCCGTATTTTTAAATACTTTCACTGGTTCGAGCCCTGATTAAATAGTCACTTAACTATTTAATTATTAAAAAATTTATTTGTTAAAAAAATAGAAAATATAAATAAAACAAATTAATAAATAAAAAAAAATTGTTGGAACGAAAATAATTTTTTGAAATATATTTACCGGTGTTTGACAGAAATTGGAATTTCCTTGAAGTCTGGGACTAATTGATGACGTTAAACAATTGTTTGCAATTAATATTCCACTAGATTGTTGATAATGGTGATTCATTAAATTCTCCAATGGTTGCGTTTCCATTCTCATCTGAAGAAATTGGTTTTTAACATTTTCCGTTTCTTGTTGAAGACAATTATTATTAGAAATTTCCTCAAATTGCGTTTCCATTTTATGATAATCATCAAATTCTTCGTGTTGATTATGAATTTCGTTGGTCATTTCAACAGTTTGTGTTTCCATTTCAGTTTGATGATATTCATCATTTGAAATTTGCTCCGATTGAGGAACAATTTGCTCTTGATGATCATTAAAAATTAACGTTGAATTATTTGATGCTTGACCATCATCATCATCATCATCATTATCTTCGTTTTCATCATCATCATCATCATTTTCTTCATTATCATTATCGTCATCATCACTATTGTCGTCATCAATTTCCAAATCAGTTTGAGTAAATTTTTCGTCATTTGATGATTTTTGTTGTAAATTTATAATTGCCATGCACATGTGAAATTTCCAAATTTCGGTAATTAATTTTATTCCCAATTGTTGTTCACATTTAATTTCTTTGATTTTCCTATCAAAATTTTCTCGAAAGTCTGAATTCATTGTAATTAAATCATTTTTAAGATTTATGATTTTCTTTTCAATTGCATTTTGCTGTTGAATTTGACTCACTTGCTGATTAATTGTGTTCTTCAAATTATTATTTTCTGATCTTAATTTTTCAATTTCAAGGTGTAGATGAAAATTGTTTTCGACTAAAAAATTTGCGTTTGGCGCTGGAAAAGAGGAATTTTTATTTTTTTGGGGATTTTTAGATTTTAAGTTTAAAAATTAAATTAAATTAAATTAAATTAAATTAATCAAGTTACCTAATTCAATTAATTAAATTAATAATTTTACTTTAGTTAATAATTGAATTAGAATCTTTTATTTTTCATTGTAATTTTAAAAATTAAATTAAATTTTTTCATTATAGGTAATTAATATTGCAAATTATTAATTATTTAAAAAATTTAATAAAATTTACTAAATTTATAAATATTTATTTATTTTTATGAATTTTTATAAATTTATCAATTTTATTTATATATCTATTTTTACATTTTCATATTTTTATATTTTTTTTTTCTTTCAAGATAATTTATTAAATAATAAAACATTTTTTGATTACTTACGAAAATTGCCAGGTCGTGGAAAATAATAAGTCATTTTGTCACTTTATCTTTTTTTAGTTTCAAGAAATAATTTTAATTTTTTTTTTCACACCCTCAAATTACAATTTTATTATATAAATAAAAATAGAAAGTAAAAATTTCAAAAATTTTCATCACAAAAAAAGAAAAAAAAATATATTATAAATTTAGAAAATTTCCAATAGATTCAGCGATCTTTTCTAAATCCAAGGAAACATTAAACTGATTATTATTTTTGTTTTCACAAATTTTATCAACCTTTTCAAAATATGAGGTGAAACAATAACAATAAACTTCAAAATAAATCAAATATATTTCATCAATTGTCGAATAAATTTAAAAATAATTTACTATTATCATATAGAACAGAAAGAATTCTTTTTCGTAACATCAAATTTTAATTAATTCACTGCAAAAATTGAAAATATTGTAATTATTTCGAAAAATAAAATTATTTCAATAAATTAAATATTTAAAAAAATATTTATAAATATTCAAAAGGTTAAAACTAATATTAATTTAATTTTAATTAAATTCAAATTGATAGATTGAATTGAATTAAATTGAAAAGCAAAAAAATTTGGAAAATTAAATTTACAGTTATTAACAATTAAAAGAAAATTGAATTAAGTCTGGTTTTGTTGATTACAAATTATATTAAAATAAATTTGAATAAAATTAGAAAATAGAAAAAATAAATTTACTTTACAAGAAAATTAAAAATGACAAAAAATTTAATTAAAATTTTTTAGAATAAAAAATTGAATTGAATGGAAAAATAAAAATTTATATAAAATTGAAAATTTAAATTTACAAGGTAATTAGAAAATAAAAACAAAATTATATTAAGCTCGGAATATTGTTAATTGAAAATTGAATTTAATAGAATTAGAAAAAAACATAAAATTGAAAAATTAAATTTATATTTTACAAAAAAATTAAAAAATTAAAAAATCCAATTATTTTCAACTTGCTAGTTTGGCAAATTGAATTAAATTGAATTGAAAAACAATTGAAAATTAAGAAAAAATTTAATAAAGTTCGGTTTTGTTATTTGAAAATGGAATTAGAAAAAAAATCGAAAAATTAAATTTACTTTAAAAAAAATTAAAAATGAAATAAAATTTATTAACGTTTAAGGGCATTTGAACCTTGATGACGTCACACATGCTTTGCACAATCTGTAACGTCATCAAGGTTCAAATGCCCTTAATTTCAATTTTTTTAATTTGGGTAAAAAATTGAAAAATTATATTTAGAAGCAAACTGAAAATGCAAAGAAGAAATAATTTTATTGTTTTGAAGAATTTTTTTAAATTTTCTTGAAAATAATGGAATTTTTATTAATAATTTTTACAAAAAAGTTTGAATGTATTGAATTTTATAAAAGATTTTCCTTTTAAGTTATTAAAATAATCGTGTTTATTATATTAATTGTAATTAACGATTTTCCTATTAAATTATATTTAAATTATTCATAGAAAATTAAATTCTTTTAAACAATTGTATTATACTTTTTGTAAATAATTAAATTTTTTTAATATTATTAAATTAAATATTTTTTTTAAAGAATTTCATTAAATTTCGTAAAAATGATGTAATTTTTTAAAGTAATTTTAATTGAAAATTTTGAAAATAATAGAAATTTACAAAGAATATTATTAAAAACTTTTGAGAACAATTGAATTGTTTAGAAAAATTTTATTACAATTTTTAAAAATAATTGAACCTGTTAGAGAAATTTTATTAAAATTATCTTGAATATAATTGAATTATTTCCAAGAAATTTTATTAAAATGGTATTGAAAATGATTGAATTTCTCAGAAGAATTTTATTATTTTCAAGAATAATTGAATTTTTGCTAAGAATTTTACAATTTATAAAAATAATTGAATTATTTAAAAAAAATTGTAGAAAATAATTGAATTTATATATTACAATTCTTGAAAATAATCGAATTTAATTATTATTTTTAAAAATAATTGTATTCTTTCGAGAAATTTTATTAAAATTGTATTAAAAATAATTTAATTTCTCAGAAGCATTTTATTATATTATTTAAGAATAATTGAATTTTTCCTAAAAATTTTACAATTTATAAAAATAATTGAATTGTTTCAAAGAATTTTATCTGAATTTTGGAAAATAATTGAATTTTTTGTAGGATTTTTATTAAAAATTTTGAAAAATTAATTTTTTAAAAGAATATAATCAAAATTGTCGAAAATAATTGAATTTATATTACAATTCTTGAAAATAATCGAATTTAATTAATATTTTTAAAAATAATAATTGAATTGCTCTATAAAGAATTTGATTATTCATGGGAATAATTAAATTCTTGCGACAAATTTTATTATAATTTTTAAATAATAATAAACAAGAATATTTAATATTATGTACTTAATAAGTGAATTTTTTAATATTATATCAGGTAATTTATTACATAAAAAATATAATTTTTTTAACTTAATTGCATTATTTCTTCAAATTAAAATCTTTCACAACTTATTAGAATTTTATAATGCGTATAACAAATTCTCATAAATTCTCTTGAAGAATTTTGGTCGGTTATATTCTCGTTCTCGTTACCGTTCTCCGGTCCAGGGGTAATATTACCTCTTCGCATCTCTAGGCCGAATAATTTTTTTTATTTGGCTGACGGGCCAAATATTTATACCTTCGTAAAATTTATTTTTATCTCTAAAAATATTAACAATTAATTGGTTTATCGAAAGAAATGCAGGTATAGGAACGGAATGATTTATTTACACTAGGCGTACATGTATTACAAATTATCTGAAAAATGTAATACAATGTTGTAGGTTATATTTAAAATAAACAGGCAATTTTGCACAGAATAATAATAGAAGGAATATGCAAATTTTGTTTCCCTTTGTCAATTCAAGTACATATCAATTGCTTCTAATAAAAATGAATGAAATATGTGTTACAGAGAGGATAATCAACTCAATATATTACAAATGGACTTTGACCGTCAGAGGAGAGGACGTACTGCAAATATTCTATGCTCTCTTCTGGCACACAACTCACAAATAGTGAAATAGTTATTGAATTGTAGCGGAGTTTTTTAATTTCCACTATATTTTTATTCATTCTTTTAAGAAATAAAACAAGCAGGAAAAATGTCTGAAAACGTGAGCCCTGTGAAATATTTTTTGAGTGGAGGATTTGGAGGAATCTGTACAATTGTAACAGGTCATCCTCTCGACACAATAAAAGTGAGGTTATATTTTAATTATACAAATTTTAATTGCGATTTTAATTTTATTAAAGATTTAATTTATATCGATATTTTCTTTTGGTTGTTTCATAATATTTTGCTGCCTTTTTTCAATTTATTTCTATTTATTTAATTTATATATAAATTATTTATGGCTATATTTTAATTACAATTTTAATTATTTTTTATTTTATTAATTTTATTAAAAATTCAATTTATTATATATTATTAATATATTAATATATTATTAAATATATTTTTTGTTTGTTTCATAATATTTTGCCGACTTTTTTCTATTTACTTGTAATTATTTAATTTATATAAAGTCTTTTGATCTTTAATTTATGTAATTGATTCATTAAAAGTTAAAATAAATATTGTCTGACAGTTTCTAAAAATTTTAAAAATGTATTCTTATTAGGTTCGACTGCAAACGATGCCGAAACCAGGTCCAAATGAATCTGTCCTTTATAAAGGAACTTTCGACTGTGCTAAAAAAACGGTTACCAAGGAAGGGTTTCTAGGTTTATATAAAGGTGTGTTAATGAGTTTACTGTTGACATTGTTTTCTGCATGCTTTTGTTTTGCAAAACAATGTTCTTTCAGGTTTGTTTAAATTTTTAAGGGCATGTGGAACCAGCCAACTTCAATTGACACTTATACAGAGTTGCCAGAAAAATTTAATTTTCTTTTTCTCTGATTTCCAGACAAAATTTAGACTTTTTCCCTAACTCTAAAGAACATTCGGATTCATTCTAAAAATTATTAAATACTCAAAAAAAATGTTCTATCGCATTTATTGACGAATTTCTTTCATTAGAAAATTATTCGAAAACATCAATATCTTCTTTTTTAAATAAAAATATTTAATTATTATTATTTTCCCATTGGAATTCAGATTTGCGAAAATTTTAAATTAAAATCTTTTTGAAATTCAACAACTTATAATAATTAAAGATGATCAAGTGATAAAATCATTATTTTGTATTATAAAAATATTGTTACTGTAACTTCTTCAAAATTATTTTCATCATTTTAATTCAATTATTATTTTCTAGAATTTTTAACTAATTTTTATTTCTCAATAACAATATCGTTCACAAACTCATTCTTTTATTTTGGGGAAAAAAAACATTACATATTCCCGTTTCTTAATATTCTTGTAGAAAATTTTCAATTTTCATAAGGGAATAATTTACATTATTTCAATTTTTTAATTACAATTGTTTTAATAAAATTCAAAGTTTTTTTTAAAAATAAACGAAATTCTATTTGTCAATTACAAATTTTCATTGGAAATGAAAATTTTTGAATTTTTAGAAAATAAAGGAAAAAATTTTACTCAAAAAAAAATGTTCCGTTACATTTTTACGAATTTCTTTAATTGTAAAATTATTCAAAAACATCAATAATTTCTTTTTTAAATAAATATTTCATTATTATTATTTTTCCACAGGAATTAAGACATTCAAAAATTTCAAATTCAAACCTTTTTGAAATTAAACAGTTTATAAAAGTATTTTGTTATAAAACATGAAAATATTGATTGCTCCGAGTCGAAGACTCGGAGTGATCGATTTCTTTATGTTTTATAATAATTTATAATAATTAAAAATTTATGAAAATAATTGAATTATTGCGAAGAAATTTATAAAAAATTGTAAATAATTGAATTCCTGTGGAATTTTTAATATTTTTGACAATAATTAAATGTTTGTGTACGATTTTATTAAATTTTTTTTAAATAATTGAATTTTTCTCTGAAAATTTTATTAAAATAGTAGATATTGAAAATAATTGAAATTAGGATAAGAATTTTATTGTCATTTTTGAAAATAATTGAACTTTGGGGAAAAATTTTGTTATTTACAAAGATAATTGGGATTTTGACGAGAATTTTTTTCTAATTTTAAACATAATTGAATTTTATGAGAAGAATTTTATTACTTTTGAATATAATTGAATTTCTGCAATAAATTATTTACAATTTCTCCAAAATTGAATTATTTTAGTATTTTAAACAAAAAATTGAATTTAAAATTTTTAAATTCTATTATTTTTAAAATTATTAATTTTATTTAAAAAATAAAGTAAAAAATTAGCCGCGCGCTTTAGCGCGCGAATTGTTGCTAGTATGTTAATAATCGTTGTATTCCGGTAATCTGTTCGCAGTTTGAAGTGAGTTGTTTGTTTTTTCGATTCTTAACTTTTTTAATAATTTTTCTTTTTAAATAATTTTCAATTTTAAAATTAATGTATTGAACATCATTGAATTGTTGCAAAGAATTTTATCAAAAACTTTGATAATAATTTAATTTCTTCAAAGAGTTTTATTATTTAGAAAAATAATTGAATCTTGTTTTTTTGAATTCTTTTAAAATAATGGAGTTTCTTTAATAAATATAATTAAAAATTTTGAAAATAATTGGATACTTTCAAAAAAATTTAATAAAAATAAAAAAAATAATTGAATTGTTTCGAAGAATTTATTAAAATTTTAGAAAATAATTGAATTTTTTCGAAAAATATTATTAGCTATTTTTAAAAAATTGATTTCTTTCTTGAAATTTTATTAAAATTGTATTAAGAATAATTTAAAATTTGCAAACAATTTCACTGTTTACAAAGAAAATTAAATTGTTTTTAAGGATTTTATCAGATTTGTTGAAAATAATTGAATTCTTTTGAAAAATTTTACAACGAATTAAGAAAAATATTGAATTCTTTCGTGAAATTTTTTTGAAAATAATTGAATTTATGCAAAGAATTTTACTATTTTTATAAATATAATTGAATTGTTTTGAAGGATTTATTGAAATTTTAGAAAATAATTGAATTTTTTCGAAAAATATTAGAAATAATTGAATTGTACATAGGTATTGACATTTTTTATGACGAATTAAGAAAAAAAATTGAATTCTTTAGTGAAATTGTTTTGAATATAATTGCATTTTTGCAAAGAATTTTACTACAGTCAACTCTCGATAAGACAAAGCGCGATAACTCAAATTTTTCGGTAAGTCAAAGTAATTCTTGGGTCCCGTTCATTCCTTATAAGCATTATTAACATTTGATAACTCAAACTTTTCGATAACTCAAAGTTTTTTCGGTCTCCCTTCGAGTTTGTCTTATCGAGAGTTGACTGTACATATTTTTAGAAATACTTGAATTATTTCGATGGATTTATTAAAATTTTAGAAAATAATTGTATTCGCTCATGAAATTTTATTAAAATTTTGTTTAAAAATAATTGAACTTTTGCAAAAAATTTTACAATTTATAAAAGTAATTAAATTCTTACGAGGAATTTAGCAAAATAAAAACTTCAAATGAATTCAAAAAAATTTTATTAAAACTTTAACATAAAAATTAATTCGACAGAGTCGTATGAAAAATTCAAATTTTTAAAGATTTTAACTTAAAACCTTTTCAAAATTCAATTATGTCTAAAAATTTATGCTATAACACAGGGATTTAATTTAATTTGATTAAATTTTATAAGAAAATTTTACGAGAATTCAATTATTTAAATACAAAAATAAATAATTTGTTGAATAATTGAGTGTTTCTTAAAAATAAATTCTCATACATAATTTTATCAAAAAATTTAATATTTGAATTCTTTTAACCAATTTTAATAAATTTTTTAAGAATAACAACACTTTTCGAAGAATTCGATTAAAATTGTACTAAAAATAATTGAATTATTGACGAGAATTTTATCAAAAAATTTGCAAATAATTAAATTCTTTCTTGGCATTTTATTAAAATTGTATTAAAAATAATTGAATTTTTGCAAAGAATTTTACTATTTATAAGTAAAATTGAATTCTTTTTAAGGATTTATTAAAATTTTAGAAAATAATTGAATTCTTTTGAAATAATTTATAACGAATTAAGAAAAAAATTGAATTCTTTAGTGAAATTGTTTTGAATATAATTGCATTTTTGCAAAGAATTTTACTACATATTTTTAGAAATACTTGAATTATTTCGATGGATTTATTAAAATTTTAGAAAATAATTGTATTCGCTCATGAAATTTTATTAAAATTTTGTTTAAAAATAATTGAACTTTTGCAAAAAATTTTACAATTTATAAAAATAATTAAATTCTTACGAGGAATTTAGCAAAATAAAAACTTCAAATGAATTCAAAAAAATTTTATTACACTTTAACACAAAAATTAATTCTACAGAGTCGTATGAAAAATTCAAATTTTTAAAGATTTTAACTTAAAACCTTTTCAAAATTCAATTATGTCTAAAAATTTATGCTATAACACAGGGATTTAATTTAATTTGATTAAATTTTATAAGAAAATTTTACGAGAATTCAATTATTTAAATACAAAAATAAATAATTTGTTGAATAATTGAGTGTTTCTTAAAAATAAATTCTCATACATAATTTTATCAAAAAATTTAATATTTGAATTCTTTTAACCAATTTTAATAAATTTTTTAAGAATAACAACACTTTTCGAAGAATTCGATTAAAATTGTACTAAAAATAATTGAATTATTGACGAGAATTTTATCAAAAAATTTGCAAATAATTAAATTCTTTCTTGGCATTTTATTAAAATTGTATTAAAAATAATTGAATTTTTGCAAAGAATTTTACTATTTATAAGTAAAATTGAATTCTTTTTAAGGATTTATTAAAATTTTAGAAAATAATTGAATTCTTTTGAAATAACCCCAGTAGCACGTAATATTACAGCGATATTGGGAACATTGCCTTAACATTACCAATATTGCCTCAATGTTGTGGCATATTGCTGGGATGTTTCAAATATTACGTGCTACTTGGGAATTTATAACGAATTAAGAAAAAAATTGAATTCTTTCGTGAAATTTTTTTGAAAATAATTGAATTTTTGCAAAGATTTTACTATTTAAAAATTATTTAAATATAAAAATAAATAATTTTATGAATAATTGAATCTTTCTTAAAATTGAATTCTAATAAAGGATTTTATCAACAACTTTTTATAATTGAATTCTTTTGGAAAATTTTATTAAAATAGATATTGAAAATCATTAAATTGAGGAAAATTTTTGAAAATAATATTCAAGTTTTGCCAAGAATTTTATTTAATTTTTTGAAAGTAATTGAATTTCGGAAAAGCATTTAATTATTTTTAAAGATAATTGAAATTTTGACAAAAATTGTTTCAAAATTGTGAATTTAATTTTTTTTCAAAGAAGATTGAGATAAAAGACAAAAGTAATCTATTTTCCATATAAAATTGAAAAACTTATATTTTATTTCTTGGAGAAAAATTATATTAGTCTTCTGTAATGTTTTTGTGTTTAATTAATTAAAATTAATTAATTAAAATTAATTAATTTTAATTTTTTTTTTTATTAATTTTTTTTATTAATTAATTTTTAATTTTTAATGTTTTTGTTACTTACTTACATTACAGGAATGGCAGCGCCACTTGTTGGAGTCGCTCCAATTTTCGCGATGAGTTTCTTGGGTTACGGATTGGGAAAAAAATTACAGCAACAAACACCGGATGAAAAATTAACACTTGCTCAATTATTCTACGCCGGGGCTTTTAGCGGTATTTTCACAACCATCATCATGGCTCCTGGCGAAAGAATTAAGTGTCTTTTACAAATTCAGCAGGGAGAGGCGAAACCAAAGTATAGTGGTCCAAAGGATGTAGTTAGACAATTGTACAGAGAGGGAGGAATTCGAAGTATTTATAAAGGAACCTGTGCTACACTTTTAAGAGGTACGTGAAAAAGTTTCTCGTTTATATTCTAATTTATTTGATAATTTTTCCTATCAATATTGAGACTTACTGCTAACTTATGTGCTAAGGAAAATTAACTAATATTATTCTCCTCGTAGTTTGGTAGTTTAGCCAATTTGCGGATGTGTCTTCTCTTAAATCTTTTGCACGCAAGTCCACCTTTGCGTAGGGCGTGAAAAACTCCCCAGTTCTGAACTGCTTTCGGCGTGAAACATCTCGGAGTTGTCTCTCGAGTTTTATTTACCTGCAATAATAAATTATTTAAATAATAATTCCAGGCCTCGGATATTTTATGACTTTTATGACTTTCTCGACTATCTTCGACCATTTTAAAAAAATGCGACTTTTTTCGAATTATTTTCAAAAATTTCGACTTTTCTTCCAATTATTCCAACAAATTACCATATTTTTAGTATAAAATGAAAAATACAAATTCTATTTTTATATAGTGTCAAAAATAACTATAGACAAATATTTCAAAAATTATTTTTGAATAATTTTTTTAATTCAATTTTTCAAAAACATTTTGAATAACTGAAATTCTGTAAAGTTTAATTGAAATTAATTGATTTCTTTCAACACTTTCAAGTATTTTATTAAAATTTTTGAAAATCAACATTTGAAGAATTTTAATTGCAAATTTTGAAAATAAATTATTACAGGTTTGCTACAGGTCAGGGAATTCAGGGAAAAGTCAGAGATTTTTATTAAAAGTACTGGAAAAAATTAAATTTTTATAATTCATAAGAAAATTCGGAATTTTTGTGTCTTTTTTGTAATAAACTATGAAATTACCACGAATTCTAACACAAAACCTTCAATTTTTTCTATTTCTGACAATAATTTCCTTTAAAATAACTTAATTCTTGAAGAACTATCATAAGATTATTACAAGGAAATTATTTAATGAATAATTTTCAAAAACAATAAAATTCTCAGAAATTCAATTATGTTCAAAAATTTTAAAAAATTATTTTCAAAATTCCAATTACCTTTATAAATAATAAAAATTTTCTCTGAAATTCAATTATTTTCAAAAATTTTACTAAAATTCTCGTCAAAATTTCAATTATTTTTAAAACTAATAAACTTCCTCTTCGAAATTGAAATATTTTCATAAATTTTAATAAAATGCTTGTCAAAATTTTAATTATTTTCAAAAATTTTCCTCAATTCAATGATTTTCTATATCTAGTAATTTAATAAAATTTTCAAAAAAATTCAATTTATTATTTAAAAAAAATTCTGATAAAATTCTAAGAAAACATTAAATTATTTCCATAAATAATAAAAATTTCACAAGAATTCAACTATTTACTAACATTTTAGGTATAAATTTCTTCGCAATAATTCAATTATTTTCATAAATAATCAAATTCTTTTTAGGAATTCAATTGTTTCCATTAATAATCAAACTCCAACGCAGAATTTTAATGAATTTAATTAGAAATTTTAAAAAACTTAGATTTTTGAAAAATTTTAATAATTCAAATTCTTCTGAAATTATTAAATAATAATTTTTTTACAATAAGTCAATTATTTCCATAAATAGTAAAAGTCATCGTAGAATTTCAATTTTTTTTAATAAAATTTTAATCCAATTCTTTGACAAATGTAATTATTCTTAAAAATTTTATTAAAATTCGTCGATAGAATTCGATTATTAAATTTGTTGATAAAATTCTTTATGGCAATTCAATATTAAGAAACATTTAATTATTTAACAAAATATTAATTTTTGCATTTAAATAATTGAATCCTCGTAGAATTTTCTAATAAAAATTAATTTAAAAATTTTATTTCAAATTATGATTGAAAATTAAAAACATTATAACGTGAATTTTTAAAAATAATTAAATTTTGAAAAGGTTTCAAATTAAAATCTTTAAAAATCTGAATTTTTTCATACTTTTAACTAACAATTTTGCAGAATTAATTTTTTTGAAAAAGTTTAATTCAATTTTTTTTTGTAATTATCTGAATTTTTTATTTTCTAATAATAAATTTAATCTATTGAAGTAAATTTTAAATATTTACAATGAAACTATTTCTTAGAATTGTTTTATCATATTTTTTTAAGATTTAATTGTCTTAGAACGAAGTAAATTGAAATTTGTAAAAATTTACTTTTTTAGACTTAATAAAATTTTTTGAAAATCTTGTTCATGTTTATAATTAAAAGTTCTTAAACACTTTTATTATTTTTTTATATTTTTTTCAAGATTTAATTAATTATAAATAATTAATTTAGCAAATTTTAAGTGTTTGGATCAATAACTTTAAAGACACATGGACAATAATTGTTACAATTTTATCATAAAAAAATTTAATTTTTGTATTTAAATAATTGAATTCAAGAGGAATTTTCCGAAGATTATTAAAAATAATTGATTTAGAGATGAAGTTTTGTTAAAAATTGTAGAAAATAATTGAATTTTGTAATAGTTATAGTTTTAATTTTTAGAAATTATTCAATTTTAAAAGGTTTTAAATTTAATTTCCCGTCGAAAAACAAATAAGAAGTATTTAAATATTTATTTAACAAAATTATTCAAGTTTTGAATAATTAAAATTAGAAATCAGTGAAAAGTCAGAAAAATACGAGATAAAATTTTTGTGACATCATTGAATTAAACAAACGACTTTTTCGACTTTTTTGTATTTTTAATCGACTAAAGCGACTTTTTTTGCTCCTTAAAATCGATCCGAGGCCTGTAATTCTACTCAACTTGAAAATTTGTCTTTATTTTAAAATTATTTTTCTGTTTTTAGGACCTTTATTTTTAAAATTGTAAATTTTGAATGTTCGCAAAACTTACAACATGAGGATTCCAGTTTTCCATTGCACAGGAACAATCCCAGGGATTTCCGTCCAAGCGAAGATTTTGAATTTGCGTCTGTCTGTTAATATTCCTTAGGGCTTTGAAGAAATCGTGTGGCAGTGTAGTCAGTCGATTTTTGCTGAGAATAATTTCTTTGAGACTATTTTGCTGTTGAACGGCAAAGAGACCTGGGGGAATGAATTCCAAGTCATTGTAGGACAAATCGATGCGTTTTACATTCTCTAGACCGTAAAAAGCGTCCATCGAAATTTGCCTTAAATGACAATGTCTCAAGTCCAAGTCGATGAGTTGAATTAAATCGATAAACGCGTCGAATTCTATTTTCGAAATGTTTCCTCGTACTTTGAGTTCCTTGAGGGCGGGCATCCCTTGCAGATAAAAGCGTTCGAGACTCTCCATTTCGAGATTGAGTAGATGCAAGACTTCCAGCACTCGTAGACCCAGGAACGAGTTCTTTTGAAGTTTTAACTTTGATCCATCGCCTCCAACGTAAAGTTGTAAAGTCGTGTTCATTATTTCAAAAGTGCTGAAAAAATCTTGAAAATTAATTTTCTTGATCAGAGAAATAATTTATAAATTTCAGGCTTTCTAAATTTCATCTACTAAAACCTACTATTTACTATTTTTTACGATTTGCTATTATTTGAATACTTTTTTCGATTTGAGACACTAAAAGATACTTTTTTCTTTTTCTGAAAATTTGCACTACTTTAAATTCGCTAATAGATGAAATAAAAAAATTATTCCCAAAAATTTTCACAAAACTCTTAGAAATTATATTTAAAATTAAAAATTCTTTCAAACGATTCAATTATTTTCAAAATTCAATTATTATCCCTATCTATATTTTTTAAATAAAATTTACTAAAAGAATTCAATTATTTAAAAAAAATTTTCATAAAACTCTTCGGAAGCATTCAACTATTTCCATAAATAGCACAATTTTAAATGGATGTCAATTACATATTTGAAATTCAATTTTTATGAAATTTAAAAAAATATTCACTTATTTAGCAAATATTTTATAAAAATCTTGTCAAGCATTCAAATATTTTTACAAATAATAAAATTTTCACGGGAATTCAATAATTGAAAAAAAATTTAATAAAATTCTTCGCAATAATTAAATTATTTTCGATAATTTTAAGGAAATTTTTATTTGTAAAAATAATTGAATTGTTTCGATGGATTTATTAAAACTTTTTAAAATAATGGAATTTTTTCGAAAAATATGAAAAATTAAAAAACGAATTGAATTCTTTCATGAAATTTTATTAAAAATGTATTAAAAATAATTAAATTTTTACAAGGAATTTTAATATTTATAAATAAAATTGAATTGTTTCCAAGAATTTATTAAAATTTTTTAAAATAAATTGAATTCTTTTCAAATACTTTATAACGAAAATTGAATTTTTTATTGAAATTGTTTTGAATATAATTGAATTTTTGCTAAAATTTTTTTACTATTTATAAATATAATTGAATTGTTTCGAAGGATTTATTAAAATTTTAGAAAATAATTAAATTCTTTTGAAATATTTTATAACAAATTAAGAAAAATATTTAATTCTTTCGTGAAATTTTCTTGAAAATAATTGAATTTTTGCAAAGAATTTTACTATTTATAAAAATAATTGAATTCTTTCGAAGGATTCATTAAAATTTTTAGAAATAGTGAAACTTTTTCAAAAAATATGAAAAATTAAAAAAATTGAATTCTTTCATGAAATTTTTTTAAAATTATATTTAAAATAATTTCATTTTTGCAAAGAATTATTTTTAACACAATTTTCATAAAATTTTTCGAAGAAAATCAATTATTTAAAAAGATTTTTATAAAATTCTTAACGAAGAATTCAGTTAATTGAAAAAATTTTTTTTTTCAAAATTCTTTGTAAACATTCAATTATTTTAATATATTTTGCAAAATTTTCAAAGAAATACAAATAATTAAAACACAATTTTTATAAAATTCTTCGCAAGAATTCAATTATTTTGATAAATAATAAAATTCTTCACATAAATTCAATTATTTTTTTTTTAAATTTTAATAAACTTCGTTGCAAGAATTCAATTATTTTTATAAATAATAAAACTCATCGTAGAATTTAAATTATTATCAATAGAATTTTAAATGAATTCCTTGAAAATTGCTCGAGGGAATTCAATTATTTTCAAAAGATTTTGAAATTCAATTACTTTTAATATCTACTATTTTAATAAAATTTCTCAAACGAATTTAATTATTATTTAGAAAAAAATACTATTTTAAATTAATTTTTCTAAAAATGTAATTATTCTTGAAAATTTTATTAAAATTCTTGAAAGAATTCAATTATTTTTAAAATTTTTGATAAAGTTCTGTAATAGAATTTAATTTCCAGAAATATTCAATTATTTGATAAAATATTTATTTTCATTTTTAAATAATTGAATTCTCGTAGAACTCTGTAATAAATATTGATTTAAAATTGAATTTCAGTTAAAATTTTAGATATTAATTCAATATTAGAAGCTTTATAGTTTGAATTTTTAGAAATAATTAAATTTCAAAAGATTTCTGAACTGAAATCATTGAACATTTTAATGGTTGTAAAACTGAAATAATATTTAAATTTTTAAAATGAAATCATTAAAGTTTTCATCAATTTTATTTACAAATTTCAAGAAAAAAAATATTGAATTTTGGAAAAATTATAGTTTTTGTAAAATAGTTAAATTGTTAAATAGTTTTGTTAAATTGTTAAATTTCAAAAAGGCTAAAATTAAAGAATTTTATCAAAGAATTTTTAAATAATTGAATTCTTTGACGAATTTTAATAAAATTTTGAAGAATAATTACATTTTTCGAGGAATTCGATTAAAATTGTATTAATAAGTAATTGAAATTCTTGAATGAGTTTTATTATTTTTTAAAATAATTGAATTTCTGAAAACAATTTTATTATTTATGAAAATAATTGAATCCTTGTAAAAAATTTAATTATTTATGAAAATAATTGAATATTGCGAAGAAATTTATAAAAATTTTTTAAATAATTGAATTCCTATTAAGAAGAATTTTATTATTTTTGAAAATAATTGAATCCTTGTAGAAAATTTTATTATTTATGAAAATAATTAAATATTGACAAGAAATTTATAAAAATTTTATAAATAATTGAATTCCTATGAAATTTTCATTATTTATGAAAATAATTAAATGTTTTCGAAGAATTGTATTAAAATTTTTGAAAATAATTGAATTCTTTAAGAAGAATTTTATTATTTTTGAAAATAATTGAATTCCTGAGAAAAATTTTATTATGTTTGAAAATAATTGAATTTCTACAATCACTTGTAACTTCTACAAATTTCAATTTTTTAGTGTGTTTAACTAAAATTTATTAAAATTTTTCAAAAAATTTATTCTATTGTATTGTCAGTTAAAAGTATGAAAAATTCAGATTTTCAGAGATTTTAATTTGAAACTTTTTTAAAATTCAATTATTTCTAAAAATCCATGCTATAATGCTTTTAATATTCAATTATTTTCTAAAATTTTAATTGAATTTTATTTTTGAATCAATTTTTATTAGAATATTCTTAAGAGAATTCAATTATTAAAATACGAAAATAAATAATTTATTGAATAATTGAATGTTTCTCAAAATGGAATTCTCATAAAGAATTTTATCAAGAAATTTGTAAATAATTAAATTCTTTTGACGAATTTTAATAAAATTTTTAGGAATAATTAAATTTTTCGAGAAATACGATTAAAATTGTATTAAAAATAATTGAAATTCTGCGATGAGTTTTATTATTTATGAAAATAGTTGAATTCCTAAAAAGAATTTTTTTACTCGTTCGACGCTCGAAAATTTTTCGAGCGTCGAACGAGTTGTTGCATTGGAGCGCTCAATTTTATTTCTTTTGGAAATAATTTTTTTTCTTTGATTTTATAGTCTTTTGGATATTCCGTCCCTTGGAACTTTCGGTTTTGATATTTTGATTCGGACATTTTGTACTATAATCGAAGCAACTCTGTTAATAAATTTTGCTTACCTGGGAAAAATTGAGTCCAGTGGATTTCTTTCAAAATTTGCCACTCGAAGATTTGGAAATGGAGGAAATGTCAACTCTGACAGAAACGTTAGATTATTCCCACTTAAATCCAAATGTTCGAGAGTCAAAAGTCCCGCGAGATCGACACTGGTTAGAGTGAGTAGTTGATTTTCGGCGAGAGACAATTTTTTCAAATTCGGCGTTCCATAGAAGCAAAATTCGGGAATTACTTTCAAGTCATTCTTCTCCAACGAGAGATAAATCAAATTCTCCAAGCCATCAAACATGTGCCAGGAAATGTCCGTGAGTTTGCAGTCGTAAACTCTCAAGTGAGTTAGGGTTCTCAGTCCAGTGAAAAGTCCACCTGAATCCGTTCGTCCTTCAACTTCCTGTTTGTAGATGTCGTAAGGAAGAATTTCCATGTCATCCTTACTGTCGTTCACTTGCTGACTGAGGAAAATCAGTCTATGTCCTGCGAGGTTCGAACCATTTTTTGGAAATAGTCCATCAGTTGAGTCCTCATTGGGAGGAACTGCTGGTTTCACTACTAAATTCGCTTTATTTTTGTTCGTCAGGCTTAAATTTGTTAGGGTCACTCGTTCAAGATTTAGATAGAGTAGTGTCATTCCTAATGGTAGGAGAGTGTCTGCCGAAAGGACTATTCCTCCTCGTTTTAAAGGATTCACTGTTTTTGTGATATTGACATTTTCCAGGCCCTGAATTTCAAGGGAAATTAAATACTGAAAACGCTCAAAGTCCGAAGAGTGGAGAACTATATCTGACTCTCCATTTCCAGATTCCAATATTGTGAATACCTTCAAATTGAAAACATTTTTTTGAACGTAAAAATAAATGTTAACTGCAAAAGAAACATGATAACTATCGTCACATTATAACGTCCAAGAAGAGAACAAAATTTTTCAAAAAATTAAAATTAGAAATTTATTTAGTACATTTATACGTAAATTCAGGCTTCGCACTCATCTATTAAAATCTACTATTTACTACTTTTTTTTACATTATGCTGCTATTTAGAAACTTTTTTAAAATTTCAGACACTAAAAGCAACTTTTTTTTTTTTAGAATTTACACCACTTTAAATTCGTTATTAGAAATCAAAAAAATATTCGAAAAAATTATAATCAAATTCGTTAAAACGATTCAATTATTTTCAAAAAATATTCCAAATTAAATTATTTACAATATCTAGTATTTTCATGAAATTTCGCAACAGAATTCATTTACTTAAAAAAATTGATAAAATTCATCGAAAATTCCATTATTTTTATAAATAATAAATTTTCAACAGGAATTCAATTAATTTAGAATAGCATTTTCAAAAAAATTTCGAAAGACTCAATTATTTAAAAAAAATTTTCATAAAATTCTTCACAATAATTCACTTACTTTCCCTAACAAAATTATTTCAATTATTTTCACAAATAAAGTTTTCCACCAGAATTCAATTATTTCAAAATAAAATTTTCATAATATTTATTATATTTCGAAAAATTTATTTATTTCAAACAATGCTTATAAAATTCTTATAAAGAATTCAATTATTTTCAAAATTTTTCACAAAAATTCAATTATTTTCAAATATGTTAATAAAATTGTTCGAAAGAAATCAATTATTTTCATAAATAATACAATCCATTGCAGGATTTCAATTATTTTTAATATAATTTTACAGTAACTGCTCAGAAAATGTAATTATTCTTAAAAATTTAATTTCAATTCCTCGAAGAAATCAATTATTTCAAAAAATATGTTTTTAAAAATCTTTGGAAGAATTCAATTATTTACAAAAATATTAGAATTTTTCACAAGAATTCAATTATTTGCAAATATTTTAATAAAATTGTTCGAAAGAAATCAATTATTTCAAATAAAATATTAATTAATTTTTTTTAAATAATTCAATTATTCTTTCAGATTTTAATAAAATTCTTACGAAGAATTCAATTATTTACATAAATAATTCTTCAAAAAAATTCAATTATGTCGATACTAACAAAATTATTCCCGAAAGTTTAATTATTTTAATTGAATTTTTTAAATTTTAATTATTTTCATAAAATTATTTGCAAAATTCAATTATTTTTATAAATAACAATGTTCTTCAAACGAATTCAATTATTTTTAAAAGTAATAAATTACTTCTTTGGTGTTAAATTATTTTAAAAAATTCTAATAAATGGTTCGAAAGAATTCAATTATTTTTATATTATAATAAAATGCTTTTTAGGAATTCAATTATTTACAAAAAATATTAGAATTTTTCACAAGAATTCAATTATTTTCAAATATTTTAATAAAATTATTCGAAAGAAATTATTTTAAATACAATTTTAATTCAATTTTTTTGAAGTAATTCAATTATTTACATAAATAATTCTTCAAAAGATTTCAATTATTTCGATAAATAACAAAATAATTCCCGTAAATTCAATTATTTTGAGGCATTTTAATAAAATTATTTGCAAAATTCAATTATTTTTATAAATAACAATATTCATCACAAGAATTCAATTATTTTAAAAAATTCTAATAAAATCGTTCGCAAGAAATCAATTCTTTTAAAAAATAACAAGATTTTTCACAGAAATTCAATTCTTTTTAAGCATTTTAATAAAATTTTTAGCAAAAATTCAATTATTTTCATAAATAAATAAAATTCTTCTCAGAATTTCAATTATTTTTGAAAATTTTTTTAAAAATTCTTAGAAACTATATTCAATTATTTTTATAAATAATAAAATTCATCGCAGGATTTCAATTATTATTAATACAATTTTACAGGATTTTAGATTTTAATAAAATTCTTCAGAAGAATTCAATTATTTACATAAATAATTTTCGACAGAATTCGATTATTTTGAGTCATTTTAATAAAAATATTTGCAAAATTTTCAATTCAATTATTTTAAAAAAGTAATAAAATCGTTCTCAAGAATTAAATTAATTAATTAATTAATTTAAAAAATCTAAATTAATTAATTAATTAATTTAAAAAATCTAAATTAATTAAATTAAACTAGTAATAAAATTTAAAAAATATTGTATAATTAATACAATTTTTAGAAGGGATCACGTTTTTATTCTTACGCTAGAGGAGCGCAATTCAGTTCAAAAATTAATTTTGAAAAAGTGTCATTTCTAGAAATTTCACTGATTAATCTTCTATATTAATAATCTTGTCTTCCGGATGTCTGTTCGCAGTTTGAAGTTGTTTTTGTTTCCTAATTTTTTGATAATATTTCTTTTCAAACGTTTTGAATTTTGAAATTAATAAAATTTTATTATTTACTGTTTTGAAGATTAAATAATAACTGTAATTAATTAATATTTTGAATTAAAAATCATAATTTAATTTTAAAATTCACTTAATATGAAAATAATTCAATTGTTATGAAGAATTTTATTTTTTATCAAAATTTTTGAAAATAATTAAATTCCTCCGTCGAATTTTATTATTTTATAGAAGTAATTCAATTGTTGCGAAGAATTTTATTAAAATTTCTGGAAATAATTCAATTCTAGTAAATAAATTTTATCGAAATTTTTGAAAATAATAATTGAATTCTTTCGAGAAATGTTATTAATATTGTTTTGAAAATAATTGAATTCCTGCGAAGCACTTTTTTTTAAAGAAAATAATGAAATAAAAAATAAAAAGAAAATAATGAAATTTGTACAAATATAAATTCAATTATTTCGAAGAAGTTTCAATTCTTTTGAGGAATTTAATTTACATTGTACCAAAGATAAAAAATTTAGATGGGTTGAAATTTCACTGCCCCCCTTTTTAAAAGTTTTGTACCTATTTCATTTTCATGTTTAGTAATTAACTTTTTTGAAAAATATTTTGTGTCAGAAAATTAGCACAGTTTAGTACATATTTTCTTTTTTGTCGAAAGTAAAATGGCACTGCCAACTTCTTGGACGTTTGTAGAATAAAACTAGATTAAAAAATCGTAAAAAATAATTAAATTTTTCAAAACAGAAATTATCTATAATTTTTAGTAGAATAAAAATTGTATATTTAAAACCTGAAATATAATAGATATTAATAATTGAAGTGACAAAAAAATGAAAAAGTAATTGAAGGACCTGCAGATCGGAGGGTAGCTTGTGAAGAAGTTCCGACGGATTTTCCGATACGACACACGTGGCCACTTTGAGTAATTCATTGGCAAAAATGGAGTCGGCATCCTTGTCCGCATCGTCCACCGCCTAATTCCAAAAAATAGATTATGTATTTCGAGAAACGAGTTTCGGCTATTCCTTATCCGTACCTGATTTTGTGACCTCGGATCGAGCCACTGATGAAGAGATAGGTCAGCGAATTTCAGAATTTGGCAGGAGCATCCCTGTGGACATTTTATTTCCCAAACGCCACCGATATCAACTACTTGTGCTGCATACTGTCCCTAATCGACACATGCAGTCAACACTAAATTTATTTCCAATCTTTTTCACTTATCAACAAACATTTTTCATTTTTCTTATAATAAACTTTAGTTAGATTACAAGTGAAAGTGGTTTACATAAAATATGAATATCATTTTTTACATAAAGATAATAAGAAGAAGTAAAATCAACCAAAGAATAAGATAATCTAGTTTATTAAACTGAAAATATTTACAGAATAAATAAGAAACTTTACAAAATTTCTTTAGCGGAGGAAAAAAACTGAATCAATTGTTATGAATTTTTGCAAAATTCCACCCACATTTGAATGGATTTTAAAGTTTAAAATTACTATCAAAATTTTTGCAAATTAAAATTTAAAAAAAAAAAATTAAAATTAAAAATTGAAAAGTTTAAGAAAGTGTTTCAAAAATAACTACATTTCTCGAAACATTTCAATTTCTTATTTTCAAAATGCGATAAATTTTTTTTATTTCACTAAATAAACGAAAAAGAACTATTTTTCAATTTTCATTGATTGGCAAAAATTTATAAAATAGAAAAAAACTACGAGAAATAGAGTAAAATATTTATTAGTTTTTTGAAAAAATTTTCAGTTTTAATAAACTTACAATTAGCATTTAGGTGAATTTATAGTTTCAGAATGTCAAAAAAAAAAAAGAAATGAGAAGAGAAAATGAAAGCTTAGGAGAAAGAAAAAGAGAATTTGATTCATAAGACGTACCAGTGTGAATAAAGTAAAGATGAAATAGAAAATTGCCATATTTCCAATATTTGGACGATTAAAAGACGAATTTCATGACTTTTCGATTATATGAATGTAACTAAAGAGAAACTGAGTTTTGTTGACTCTTATCTGTCTGCCTTGATGTTTCCTATCAAGCAGGATGTCAAACTATCTGTTCAACCCACACGCATTTACTCTCTATTATTAATTCCCGAGGAAAATAGTAATGGTAAAAATTTTCTTCTTCTGTTTTTTTGGGGGGGATTTTTAGATATGCCAGCGTCAGGAATGTATTTTATGACTTATGAAGGACTCCAGAGACTGATGACACCAGAGGATGGAAAACTTAGTTTACTTTCAACGATAATCGCCGGAGGTTTCGCTGGAGTTGCCAATTGGATTATTGGAATGCCTCCCGATGTTTTGAAGAGTCGATTGCAAACAGGTAAATTTAAAGTCAATTTAAAATTTTAAGTAAAGAAATATACTAAAAAATTGACGAAAATAACTTAATCCGTTCGAAAATTCAACTAAACACAAATCAGCTACCGGATCAAAGAACTCGATTTCCGTTCGGACAGAGAATTTCCAGGCCAGTCAGGACCCCGTGAAAAAATAAAGAAAAATAAAATCGAAAAATTTTTCAAATACGTATCCTTGCAGAGAATGAAAAAGTGAAACTCCTTTTTGCTTAGAAGTATTTTTTTTTGAAACTGAATATTTTACATAATTTAAGCCGTCCTAGCGGCAAATCGAGTTTTTTGATCCGAGAGCTCAAATTTGATAAAAATAATTTCAAATTATAAAATTGAGTTAAACAAAGTTCACAAAAATCATTATTCGATGATTTTAGGATCGCCGATTAGGAATTCAATGTCAAATTTTTGAAATTCAAAATGGCGGATCCAATATGTCGGACCGAGTTTCAAAAAATTTTGCCATGCTCATGAAATTGACGATTCTTGCGAACTGTTTAGATCTATGCTTTCGTACTTTTGATCGACATTTTCAATTCTGAAAAACTAGGGTTGCCACAAATATTTAATTTTAATTTTCCCTGATTTTTCCCTGATTTCCAGACCAAATCAATAACTTCTTTTTTAAATAAATATTTAATCATTATTATTTTTCAGTAGGAATTAAAATTCTTCAACACATTCAAATTCAAACCTTTTTGAAATTCAACAACTTATAAAAATATTATTACAAAACATTATCACTCCGAGTGATAGCCTTCTTCATGTTTTGTAATAATTTAAATTACCATAAAATTATTCAAAAAAAAATTAATTATTTACAAAAATCCTAATAAAATCCTTCGCAAGAATTCAATTATTTTTGCAAGTAGTAGAATTTCTTAAAAAATTCAATTATTTTTAAAAAATGTAATAAAATGCGTTTGCAATAATTCAATTATTTTCATAAATAATAAATCCATTGTTCGGTAATTCATTTTTAAATCAATTTCTATTAGAAAATTCTAGAAGAATTCAATTATTTAAATTAAAAAATAAATAATTTATTGAATAATTGAATGTTTGTTAAAATTAAATTCTCATAAAGAATTTTATCAACAAATTTTTAGACAATTGAATTATTTTGACAAATTTTAATTAAAATTTTTAAGAATAATTACATTTTTCGAGGAATTTGATTAAAATATTGTATCAAAAATAATTAAAATCCAGCGATGAGTTTTATTATTTATGAAAATAATTCAAATTTTCCCAAGAATTTTATTATTTATAAAGATACTTGTAATTTTTTCTAGAATTTCTTTTTAGTTTTTGAATATAATTCAATTTCTGTGAAGAATTTTATTATTTATATAAATAATTGAATTCTTGCAATGAATTTTATTCAAGTTTATAAAAAAAATTGAATTTCTGTGACAAATTTTATTATTTATATGATAATTGAATTCTTGGGACGAATTTTATAAAAATCTTTTTAAATAATTGATATTTTTCGAAAAATTTTATGAAATTTTGTATTTTAAATAATTGAATTCCTGTGAATGTTTTATTACTTATGAAAATAATTGAATTATTTCGAAGAAATTTATTAAAAATTTTGAAAATAATTGAATTTCTGGAATCATTTGTAACTTTTCCAAAATACAATTTTTTTAGTGTTTTTAACAAAAATTCTTGTATCAATCTAGTATTAATGAAAATTGTAAAAATTATTCATTAAATAATTTCTAAGTAATAATTTTATGATAGTTCTTAAAGAATATTTAAAAAAGAAATTATTGCCATAAATAGAAAAAATTGAAGGTTTTGTATTAAAATTCGTGGTAATTTCATAGTTTACGAGGCAAACAAAAAAAAGCATCAAAATTCAGAGTTTTCTCATGAATTTTAAAAATTTAATTTTTTCCAGTACTTTTACTAAAAATCTTTGACTTTTTACTGATTTCCCTGACCAATTTTACTTTCCTTGACCTTTGGCAACCCTGAAAACATTGAATTCCTAAAATTGTATTACAGGACAAAAAATCCAAAATAAAAATGTCCAAAGGCAAAAAATCCAAAATAAATAAAAACGTCCAAAATAAATAATGAAACATGTGAAAAAGCCACGTTTTTTACTTTTTATGCTATAAAAATTGGAATTTAAAACGTTATTGTTAAAATTGCAAGATTTTAAATTAATTACATAAATATTAATATTCTTCACAAAAATTCAATTATTTTCATAAATACAAAAATTCAATTATTTTCTTAAATAAAAAAATTTCAATTATTCTATACAATTTTTATAACAATTATCCCAAGAAATACAATTATTTACAACAATTTTCAGAAATTTAAAATTCATAAGTTTACCTACTTTCGATTCACAGTGATCGAAATGAGCAACTCAAGAAAAGGACAATTTCATTCAAGGCAAACATTTAAATTTTTATATTATCTCAATTTTTTTTCATTGGATTTTTAATTTCTTTGGACTTTTTTGACAAAAAATTTTTTGTTTTGGACTTTTTGTTTTTGGACTTCTTGTCCGGATACCCTAAAATTGTGCCATTTTAAATTAAAAAATAAAAACCTCGATTTTATATGATAGTGTTAAAATTTACTTGTCCGAAACGAGTTTTTATCTCATTTTTCAAAAATAAACAAACACGCTTAAAATTTTTCAGGGTTACCACAAAATTTTCGTTTTGTTTCTTCATGACTTTGTTTTCTGATTTCCAGAGAGAATTTTGATTTTTCTCCAGATTCTAAAAATATTCTGATTCATTCTAAAAATTATTATTAAATACAGAGAAAATGTCCCTGAAGAATGATAAAAACCACTCGAACGTTAAAATGAATTTTGAAAAACTAACATCAGATTCGTAATCAGTGACCCCAAAAACCCTCGCGAGTATCAAGTTTCAAGCTAGTTCAATGAATTTAAGAAAATTGTTCGCCATATTGGATCCGCCATTTTGAATTTTGAATTTCTGAAAGTTAAAAATCAGTATGCATTGAAATTGATATTATTATGTATTAATTGTCATCGTATTTTTTCAGCGCCTGAGGGAACGTATACAAGAGGAATTCGTGAAGTCTTTGTTAAATTGATAAAAGAAGACGGAGCTCTTGCCCTTTACAGAGGAGTTGTTCCTGTAATGTTGCGAGCATTTCCGGCAAATGCTGCGTGCTTCCTTGGCTTCGAAATGGCCATGAAATTTTTAAATTGGGCCGCGCCTAATTTATAAAAAAAAATTCTGTAAATATTATACTAGTTTTTTCGAACAATTAATTTATTCCTCAATGAAAGAAGGCTTGTTTTTTACTATGTCTATTTCCAAAATGTCGATTATTGAAATTTAAAAAAATTATTCATTACTTGTGTAAATAGAAATTTTGTTTTTAAATCACTGATTCATTAATAATCAAATATACTCGATTTATTTTTTATTTTCAATTTTTGATGTCTAACTATAAAATCTTTACTAAACTGTAAAATTAATTTTTTCCTTAGATTAAGATTTTTTTATTCATAATATATTTGTAATTGAAAGTAAAGATCTGATGAATTTTTTACGCTTTTAAATAAATTTGTTTAAAAATACGATTTTATTTAAAATCGATAAAATCGTATTGAGAAATAAATATTTAGAGAAAAAGTTTTTTGAGAGGATAAAATTTAAAATAGTCGGCAGACTCTTCTTTAAAAGAAGAAGGATTAATAGTGAAACATTCCTTCGTCAGATGATATTTAATTACCATTTGTTAAAATGAAATGTATAATTATTAAGAATTGGATTTTATAAAATTTTAATGGATAAAAATTGCTATTGAAAGTATTTGAAAGTATATAAAGTTTTGTAATATCAAAAGTTTATCTATTGTTAATTAGAAAATGCAGGCTTCCTAATATTGACATACACTGAGAAACAATTATTCTTATTCTTCTTAATTTAAAAAGAAATTTGAATAATTGTGTTTAATTCGATTTATAGGTTTAATTTTAAAAGATAGAAAATATTTGCCAGTTTAGTATAAAAATGTACGTTTAAATTAAGTGTTAAATCAACCACAAAATGTGTTCGAAGCAAGTTTAAATTAGAAAAATAAAAGAAAATCGAACTAAATATAATATTTTTGATCCAAGAAAATAATTCTCTCCGTGTATGTACATATTTCAATTTAGGTATTAAATTAAAATATGTAATAAATAATGTACATACATACATATCAACTTACGCTCAGAAACATTTCGTAAAAAATTGTTTCCTCATTTTAAATTCGAATATAAAGGCTTGTGTTATATATTAGTAGTATTTGCAACAAAATTACATTTAGAATTTAAGGAAATTTAATTTTGATTCATTTTATTAATTCATTATTATAATGCGCAAATTATTTTAAAATTTTGATATTGAACAATTTTTTAAGAACTTAGACTAATAAGTTTATAATATGCTAAAGTAAATGTAAATTATAATTTTTGTGTAAAAAAGACAATTATGATTTAATATTTCTACTGCCTGCGCGCATGTAATTTATGAAAGTAAAAAATGAGATTTTTTTACTAATTTGTAGTTACCTTTTTCCATACTCTTAACACCTTTGATGGTAAAATTTTTGAAAAACGTTCTATGATTATAGTGTTCAAGAGACTGATTTCTAAATTCTTCGCAAAAAATCAATCATGTTAAAAATTTTTTAAAAATTCTTGTCAAATTTTTAATTATATTCAAAAGTATTAAAATTCTTCTCCGAAATTCAATTATTTTCGAAAATTTCCTTCAATTCAAAGATTTTCAATATTTACTATTTTAATAAAATTTTCCAAAAGAAGAAAATTATTTTTAAAAAATGTAATAAAAATCTACGCAAACATTTAATTATTTTTATAAATAATAAAAATTGTACAGGAATTCAATTATTTACAAATTTTTAATTTACTTCGCAATAATTCCATTATTTTCATACCTAATATTACAAAATTTTACAGAGATTTAATTGTTTTCATAAATAATAAAAGCTTAATAATTTTAATAATTTTTAATACAATTTTAATGAAATTCCTCGAAAAATGTAATTATTAAAAAGTTTTTTTTTAAATTTGTCAAAAGAATTCAATTACTTAATAATTTGATAAAATTATTTAAGAGGATTCAATTCTAAGAAACATTCTATTATTCAATAAATTATTTAGTTTTGTATTTAAATAATTGAATTCTCGTAGAATTTACCAATAAAAATTTGTCTTATTTAATTAAATTTTCTAATTAAAATCTTAGATAATAATTGAATATTAAAAGCATTAAAATATAAAAATTTAGAAATTACTGAAGCTTTAAAAGGTTACAAATTAAAATCTTTGAAAATCTGAATTTTTCACACTTTTCAATGAGAAATTGTGTAAAACTAATGTTTTTGAAATATTTTAATTATAAATTCTTTTGAATTTAGTTGAATTTTTTAATACTTATTAATTTATTAAAAATAATGGATTTATAGAAGAATTTTAGTTAACAAAACTAAAAGAATTGAATTTTGGAGAAGTTATAAATGATTGCAGAAATTAAATTATTAATTCTAAAAATCAATTCTGTTTAAAAATTTTTTAAAATTCTGGCCAAAATTTCAATTATCTTTATAAATAATAAAATTCTTCTCCGAAATTCAATTATTTTCAAAAATTTTAACAAAACACTTGTCAAAATTTCAATTATTTTCAAAAATTTGCTCAATTCAATGATTTTCAATATCCACTTTTTTAATAAAATTTTTCAAAAGAATTTAATTATTTAAAAAAATGTTGATAAAAATCTACGGAAACATAATTATTTTGATAGATAATAAAAATTGCACAGGAATTTAATTATTTACAAATTTTTTATAATTTTCTTCGCAATAATTCTATTATTAAAATTCGTCAAAAAAATTCAATTATTTAAAAATTTGTTAATAAAATTCTTTATGAGAATTTAATTTTGATAAAAATTCGAAAATTTAATATATTATTTATTTTTTTATTTAAATAATTGAATTCACGTAGAATTTTCTATTACAAATTGATTTAAAGATGAATTTCAGTTAAAACTTTAGCTAATAATTAAATATTAAAAGCATTATAGCGTGAATTTTTATAAATAATTGAATTTTGAAAAGGTTTCAAATTAAAATCTTTAAAAATGTCAATTTTTATATGTACTTTTAACTAATAATTTTGTAATTGATTTAAAGAAGAATTTTAGTTAAAAATTCTAGAAAATAAAAATTGAATTGAAATGATAAAAACAATTTTGAAGAAGTTACAGTAAAAATAGGTTACTTGTAATATAAAATATTGATTTTGTCACTCAGTCATCTTTATAATAAAGACAAAATTAAATTTATAGTTTTAAGTAAAATGTTCTTTTATTTGACTCGAATTGGTTATATTTTTTGTCAGAAATTGGTCCGTAATTTTTAATTTTTGATTCGTAAAGTCGGTAATTTTAAATACTTTTACTGGTTCAAGTCCTGTTGTTTTTAATCTACTAATTCTTTGTTCAAATAATTCTTGATTTTTTTGAATATTTAAAATTTTAAGTTCGTTATCCAGTATCGCTATCAACGTTTAACTTTAATTTTTCATATTGTCGTTTGTTAATTTCTACACTCGGGTCCATTTTTCCACCTAATTTAATTTTCAATTGTTCAATCTCTCTTTCATTTTGTTCAATTTTCTTTTTAAGTTTAGCTCTATCAGTTGTGCATTTATTAAAATTTTCTTTTTGCTGAGACGCAACTTTGCCTAAACCTTTTTTTTACCCCTTTAACTTCAAGTCCCAACTCACGCATTAATTCATCGAAATCTTGTTCAGTTTTGTTTATTATTTCTTTTTCTTCTTCATTTAATTCCACGTCATCATCATCAATTTCATCTACTTCTTGATAAATTGTTTCATTATCATCAAAAACCTCTATGAAACTGAGCCTTATGTTATTTGGAAGATAGGTTCCTTTCACCGTGGAGCGTCACATAGATAAAAATTTTAGAGCCTTTCAAAAAGATGAAAGTTCTTGATTTACTTGATCTACCATTAATTGAGAACGCTAGTTGTCTTTTCTTAACTTATTTAATACGTAAAATATGATACAAACTGGAATGTGTAATAAAGAAATTATTCCTCCCATTCATCATTATCAGGTTGTGAATCACCTTCACTGGTCGCCGAGTTCCGGTCGGAAATTTCATTTGGCTTCGGAGGTGGAGGAATCATGCTGGACATTCTTTCAAAAGCATTCATGCCGCCTCCAGCGATACCTTTCCTTCTCAGCGATAATTTCGCATGAAGATCGGCCATTAAATCCCCACCAACAGAAGCTGATGCCCAGCGATTGTTTGGTTTTTCCGTCTCTGCAGTGGGACGAAGTTTGGCTCTACCAATTCCGCCAGCATCGCGAATAGCTGCCATCAAATTTGTCCGATCATCTGCACCTTTTGAAACTTGTGCGGCTGCTGGTTTCTTTTCCGCCTGCTTCGACTGTTCTCCGTCAACTGATTGTGGAACTGATGGTGGCGGAGGTGGTGGAGGAGGTGGAGGTGGCGGCGGGGCCTGAGCAGAAGCTTGAGAAGCTATTGTCTGCTGTTCAAGATTTTGATTCGAAGGTGGCGGAGGTGGTGGTGGAGGAGGTGATGTCTTGACCTCCGAGGTGGTTGTTTTGCTGTCAGAAAAGTTTGGTAGATTTTGTGCAGTTTGATCTGACACAGAGGGAACGTCTATTTCGTCCGTCGTCGAGACTGGAGTTGGAAGATCTATTCTCACGGTGGGAGTTGCTGTTGCAGATGACGGTGCAATTGGACTCTGTGAATTTAAATCGAGAACAAATTTTTCGTCGTCGACGATTCCAGGCAGATCTGGAAGCGTTAGCGGCACGTTTATTTGTGGAACCTGCGAATGAAAAATCGTCTCATTATAAAGTGCTATTTATTTTTTTAAATTTCTTGTTTGTCAGCAGTTTTCAATGTTTTAATGATAATTCTTGGCAAAATTTCAATGATCTTCAAAAGTTTTCCTCGATTCAAATTTCAAAGATTTTCAAAATTTTCTATTTTAATAAAATTTCCCAAAAGAATTCAATTATTTAAAAAGAAATTGATAAAATTCTACGAAAACATTAATTATTTTCATAAATAATAAAAAGTTCACAGAAATTCAATTATTTACAAAATTCTTTATGAGAATTCCATTTTGAGAAACATTCAATTATTCAATATAAATTATGTATTTTTTCATTTTAAATAATTGAATTCTCGTAGAATTTTTTTAATAAAAATTGATTTAGAAATGGATTTCAGTTACAATTTTAGATAATAATTGAATATTAAAAGCATTATAGCGTGAATTTTTAGAAATAATTAAATTTTGAAAAGGTTTCAAATTAAAATCTTTGACAATTTTAATTTTTCATACTTTTATCTAACAATTCTCAAAACCTTGAATTCTTTCTATTTCTGAAAATATTTTTTTTACTATCATTAAATTAAAACATTATTTAATGAATAATTTTTCTTAAATATTTCTAATTAATTAAATTATAAAAGAGTTGGGTTTACAATTTTCGTAAAATTAAATAGATCAATTAAATAGATCAATGGTTTTAATTTGAAATTTTATAAAATTTCAATTTTTAATGAATTTGATTAGAAATTTTTAAGAACTTAGTTTTTTGAAAAATTTTAATAATTCAAATTCTTCTGAAATTAGATAAAAAAAACTTTAATTTAATTAATGATTAAAAAAAAAAATTTTCTCAAAATTTAATGATTTTCAATTATCTACTAGGTATTTTAATAAAATTTTCCAAAAGGATTCAATTATATAAAAAAATATATTTACAAAATTCTACTTAAACATTTAATTATTTTCATAAATAATAACATTTTTTTAAGGGATTTAATTATTTCCATAAATAATAAAATTCTTTTTAGGAATTAAATTATTTTCAAAAATAATAAAACGTCCCAGAATTTCAATTATTTTTAATACAATTTTAATCAAATTCCTCGAAAAATGTAATTATTTTTTAAAATTTTATTAAAATTCGTCGAAAGAATTTAATTATTTGAAAATTTGTTGATTCAATTATTCAACAAATTATTTATTTTTGTAATAAAATAATTGAAGTCTCGTAGAATTTTTTAATAAAAATTGATTTAAAAATGAAATTCAGTTAAAACTTTAGATAATAATTGAATATTAAAAGTATTATAACTTGAATTTTTAGAAATAATTGAATTTTAAAAAGGCTTCGAATTAAAATCTTTGAAAATTTGGATTTTTTTATACTTTTAACTGACAATTTTGTAGAATTAATTTTTTTGTAAAAGTTGAATTGAATTTTTTTTTATTTTATGTTTATATTAGTACTTTTTTTCTAAAAATATTTAATTGAAGAATTTCCGAAAAATCGAAATTTCGTAAAAATAAATTGTAAACAAATGGATTTGAAAATTCTCAAGGAACTTTTGCAAAAATTACTAAAAATAATTGATAATTGATTTTTTTTAAAGAATTTTAATAAAATTTTTGAAAACAATTACATTTTTCGAAGAATTTACTTAAAATTTTATTAAAAATAATTAAAATCCTGCAAAGAATTTTATTATTTATGCAAACAATTCAATTCTTGTAACGAATTTTTATTACATTTTTTTAAATAATTGAATTCATGTGAAAAATTTTATTACTTATAAAAATGTTTGAATTCTTGCGAAGAATTTTATGAAATTTTTTTCAATAATTGAAATTCTGTAAAGAATTTTATTATTCATGAAAATAATTGAATTCTTGCAACTAATTTTATTACATCTCTTCTAAAGAATTGAAATCCTGTGAAAAATTTTATTAATTTGTTAAAATAATTGAATTCTTCCAACTAATTTTATTACATTCTTTTTAAAAAGTAGAAATCTTTTGAGAAATTTTATTGCAATAGTAGATTTTTAAAATATTTTAATTTCAGCTAAGAATTTCGTTATTTGTGAAATATAATTGAATTCTTGGAAAAATTTTTTGAAAATAATTACATTTTTCTAGGAATTCATTTAAAATTGTATGAAAAATAATTGAAATCTATGAAAAATTTTATTATTTATAAAAATAATTGAATTCTCGCGTAGAATTTTATTAAAATTTTTGTATAAATAATTTAATTTTTTTTTGAAAAATTTTATGGATATTTAAATTACTATAAAACATGAACATATCGATTAGTCCGAGTCTAAGACTCGGAGTGATCGATATATTCATTTTTTATAGTAAATATTTTATATGAGTTGTTAAATTTCAAATGGTTTGAAAATTGAAATTTTTTGATAATCTTAATTCCCGTGGAAAAATAATAATGATGAAATATTTATTGAAAAATGAAGTTATTTATGTTTTCGAATAATTTTACAATTGAAGAAATTTGTAAATAAATGTAATAGAACTTTTTTTTTTTAATATCTAATAATTTTTAGAGTAAATCAGAATATTCTTTAAGGTTAGGTAAAAAATTTTAAATTTGGTCTGGAAATCGGGGAAAAACAAAATCAAAATCCCGGGTTCTTTTAGTTTAATAAAATTGCAAACTACTCACTTCTCCCAAAGCAGGCGCGTATAAATAAGAAGGTGATTCAATTTCAGAAGAGTGCCAGGGTTGAAGAATAGAGTCAGGAGCATCTTCAAGTTCCTGCTTATCACTGGTTTGCGTCAGATGAGCGGAACGATCTTGAGATTGTTTATAATTGTCGAAAAGCATGAGAGCACTCACGGAAGATGGCCCAGGCATTAAACGTCTATCATTCTTTTCGTTACTTGTTGTTATTCGTTTGTAGGGTTTCGACTTGACGTAGTAAAATTGCAATTTTTCCTGAAGATTGATATTAGAAGCGTATTGTCCGTTTTCGGTTTTAATGCCAGCAGTCAAGTGCATATCAATCGTGTCGGAAATTGGAACTGAACTTTTGTAAATTGATGGCAAAGTGTCTTTCTTTAAATTTGGTTTCATGATAGTTTCGTATTCTTTGTAGACGTGACTGGCTGGATATTTTGGTGCTGAATACATTTTTACAGCCTTCAAGCTCAAGTTTGTTTGCAGGTAATCAAGTTGTCCGTGAATTTTTTCCGCTCTTGATTTAATCGTGTCTAGTCTGTAAATTATCGGAGAAAATAAATATTTTTTTTTAATTTAACAAAGTAAAAATAGTAAAGGATTAAATAACTACTGGTTGTAAATATTTGACAAATTTAAAAAGTAGGCGAAATAGGTGTCAAAATTTAAAAAAAGGTGAAAAGATGATGCAGTCTAATCATAGACTAAGTAATCGATAGCTTCATGTTTTATAATAAGTTAAATATCTATAAAATTTTTCAGAAAAAATCAAATTATTTACAAAAACTTTAATAAAATTCTTCATTCAATTATTTTTATAAGCAATAAAATTTTTCACATGAATTCAATTATTTAAAAAAATGTAAGAATTTTCGTTGTGTAAGAATTCAATTATTTTCATAAATAATAAAATTTTCCATAGGATTTCAATTATTTTTATTACAATTTTAAATGAATTCCTCGAAAAAAGTAATTATTTTCAAACATTTTTTGCAAGAATTCAATTATATTTCACAAATAATGAAATTCTTTGCTGAAATAATTCAAATATTTTCAAAATTTACTATTTCAATAAAATTACTCAAAAGACTTAATTTTGTTTTAAAAATGTAATACAATTCGTTGCAAGAATTCAATTATTTTCATAAATAAATAAAATTCTTCACATGTATTCAATTATTTTAAATAAAATTTTAAGCAAATGCTTCGAAAAATGTAATTGTTTTCAAAAATTTTATTAAAATTCTTCAAAAGAAATCAGTTATGAATTATTTTTAATAATTTTTGCAAAATTCCTTGAGAATTTTCAAATCCATTTATTTACAATTTAATTTTACGAAATTTCAATTATTCGGAAATCCTTCAATTAAATATATATTACAAAATAAACCTACAAATAGTTTTAAAAAAAGTCAATTAAACTTTTTTAAAAAAATTCAGTCTTTTATAGAATTGTTAGATAAAAGTATGAAAAATTCAAATTAAAGATTTTAATTTAAAACCTTTTAAAAATTCAATCATTTCTAAAAATTCACGCTATAATGCTTTTAATATTTAATTATTGTCTAAAATTTTAACTGAAATTCATTTTTAAATCAATTTTTAAAAAATTCAATTTTTTTTAGTTTTGTTAACTAAAATTCTTCTATCAATCCATTATTTTTAATAATTAAACAAGTTTTAAAAAATTGAACTGATTTCAAAAGAATTACAATTAAAATTTTTCAAAAACTTAAGTTTTACAGAATTTTTAATTGAAAACTACAAAAAATTCAGATTTTTAAAGATTTTAATAAATGTAACCTTTTCAAAATTCAATTATTTCTAAAAAATTATGTTTTAATGTTTTTATTATTCAATTATTATTTAAAATTTTAATTAGAAAATTTAATTAAATTAGAAAACTTTTTATTGTCAAATTCTATGAGAATTCAATTATTTAAATACAAAAATGAATAATTTATTGAATATACTTGAATGTTTGTCAAAATTAAATTCGCATAAAGAATTTTATAAACAAATTTGTGAATAATTGAATTCCTTTGAAATTTGTATTATTTATGAAAATAATAATAGTTAAATGTTTTCGTAGAATTTTTTTTTCAAATTGAATTCTTTTGGGAAATTTTATGAAAATAGTAGATTTTGAAAATCATTGAACTGAGAAAACTTTTTGAAATTAATTTAAATTTTGCCAAGAATTTTAATTAAATTTGTGAAAATATTATATTTAATTTTTTTCAGTGTTTTTGACTAAAATTTTTCTAAAAATTCATTATTTTTAATAATTAATTAAATATATATTAACAAATTTAACTATAATTTCAGAAGAGTTTGAATTATTAAAATTTTTCAATAATCTAAGTTCTTTAAAATTTCTAATTGAATTCATTCAAAATTGAAATATTTCAAATTGAAAACTCTTAAAGTTCATCTTATTTATGAAAATTGTAAACGCAACTCTTTTAAAATTCAATTAATTTTGAAATATTGAATATTTTTCATTAAATAATTTATAAGTAAGAACTTTATGATAGTTCTTGAAGAATGAAGTTATTTAAAAAAAATTATTGTCAGAAATATAAAAAATTAAAAGTTTTGTATTAGAATTCTTGGTAATTTCATAGATTATGAGGCAAACAAAAAAGATACAAAAATTAAAAAATTTTCTTTTGAATTCTAAAAATTTAAATTTTTTCAGTACTTTAATAAAAATCCCTGAATTTTCACAATTCCCTGACCAATTCTACTTTCCCTGACTTTTCCCTGATTAGTGATAAAAATGTTATAATAATAAACGAACTTTTTGCCATTTTCGGATATTCTGTTATTGATACAGTTGAAAATATGAGAAACGGCAAATTCTAAACTGTCTAAAGCATCTGCAATTTGAATAATCGTCTCTTCATGTCTCAAGTCTTGAGGAATAACATCTGAAAATTTTTTTCAAAACATGTATTATTAAAATTTAATTATAAAATGCCTTACGAATATTTTTATAAACAAACAAATCTGAACGTATATATACCTAATTTAAAATAAAAATACATTTCTTACCAACTTCTATTTTTTCCGGCATCTTAAATTACTGTTTTTAATATTTATTAATAATTATTTTATCACAAGGTAATCAACAATTTATTATAACATTTTAAGGTCCAGTCTCTAATAATCTGCAAAATATAAATATTTCATCAAACATTAAAATTTGCACTACTGATATTACGTCAATTTTGTAATTGAGATATAAAATGTCAATATATTAATAAAAATTTTTAAAAATATTTGGTTTGGTAGGTATTTTTAGATAAATTTATAAGAATTTTAATTTAAAAAAAGTGTAAAATTGAAAAATGTGATTATAACCTATATAAAATCAAAAAGTTTATCCTGCGATTTTCGACTATAAATAATATATCATTCTTAGCATTTGTAAATATACATAAGTACTTACTGCACTCTTTAAAATTGCTTAAGAATACATAAGTGTAGCTTGATTTGTAAATTACAATACTATATTGTGACTATATTGTTTATTTGACACATATTTTTGTTAAAACGTCAAAACTAGTTTCGGAATTCTACACTAGAGGCGCGCGCACGCATTTTCGTCAGTTATCTCATAATATAAACATTAAAGTTTAAATTGTAAAATAATGTTTTAGTTTAAAAAAAGTAATGTTTATTAATTGAGTCGTATTTACTCACAATAATAAAGAACTTAGTTTTTGTGAAATTGTGCAGTTCCTGCAAGGCTTGCTAAAATGTAAAAAAACAAGTTATCCGTTTTTTTTGCAGAATTCATGAAGTATAACCTATAATAATTGTTATGTTAATTATACGTGGCATTTTAAATGTCAATACATTACTTTCCCTCGGAGGATTTGTACTGTGTCTCATGCTAATGTTACAGTTTAAGCAGATTTACAATAATCACGAGAAAAATAATCGACTTCAAGGTTATAAGCAATTTGTAAGTATTGAGGTTAAGTTATTTGCATAAAAGTTATTCCGTTATTTATTACCTTTATTACTATGTATTTCCTTCTTTTAATTTACAGGCTTCGCATTCATCTACTAAAACCTACTATTTACTACTTTTTGACGTTATGCTACTATTTGGGTACTTTTTTAAAATTTCAGCCACTAAATGCTACTATTTCTATTTTTTTTGAGAATTTCCACTACTTTAAATTTGTTAATATTGGAAATCAAAAAACTATTCTCAAAAATTATAATCAAATTCTTTAAAACGATTCAATTATTTTCAAAACATTTTCGAAATTCAATTATTTTCAATATCTAGTAATTTCATAAAATCGCAAAAGAATTAAATTATTTTAAAAAAAATTGACAAAATTCATTAAAAATTCAATTATTTTCATAAATAATAAAATTACCACAGGAATTCAATTAATTTAGAATAGCATTTTCAAAAAAATCAATTATTTTACAAAATTTTTATACAATTCTTCACAATAATTCAATTACTTTCACTAATAATAACATTTTTCATGGAAATTCAATTTTTTAAAAAAATGTTTGATTAAATTCTAAGCAAGAATTCAATTATTTTCATGAATAATAAAACTCATAAAAGAATTAAAATTATTTTCAATATTATTTCAAATTAATTAATCGAAAAATTCCATTATTTTCACAAATATAATTTTCACAAAAATTCAATTATTTAAAATAAAATTTATATTTCGAAAAAATTAATTATTTAAAACAATGTTTCATAAATTCTTATGAAGAATTCAATATTATTTTCAAGAATAACAAAATTTTTCACAGAAATTCAATTCTTTTAAAACATTTTAATAAAATTTTTCGCAATAATTCAATTATTTTCATAAATAATAAAATTCTTCTCAGGATTTCAATTATTTTTGAAAATTTTAATCAAATTCTTAGCAACTATTCAATTATTTTCATAAATAATAAAATTCATAGCAGGATTTCAATTATTTTTAATACAATTTTACAGGAATTACTTAAAAAATGTAATTATTTTTAAAAATTTGATTTTAATTCCTCAAAAAACAATTATTTCAAAAAAATCTTTTTACAAATTTTTGGAAGAATTCAATTATTTACAAAAATATTAGAATTTTTCACGGGAATTCAATTATTTTCAAATATTTTAATCAAATAATTCAATTATTATTCTTTTAAATTTTAATAAAATTATTCCCTAGAATTCACTTATTTACAGAAATAATTGTTCGAAAGAATTCAATTATTAAAGATAAATAACAAAATTATTCATGAAAATTCAATTATTTTGAGGAATTTTAATAAAATTCTTTGCAAAATTCAATTGTTCTCATAAATAACAATCATTACAAGAATTCAATTATTTTTAAAAGTAACAAATTTCTTCTTTGAAATTCAATAAATTTCAAAAATTCTAATAAAAACGTTCGCAAGAATTCAATTATTAAATTAGAATTTGCATAAAATTAATCGAAAGAAATCAATTATTTAAAAATTTTATTAAAATTCTTCAAAAGAAATCAACTATAAATTGATAGTAAATTTAATAGTTTTTGCAAAAGTTCCTTTATAATTTTCAAATTCATTTATTTACAATTTAATTTCACTAAATTTTGATTATTCGAAAATTCTTCAATTTAATATATAATGTAAAATGAAAGCTTTAAATCATTGCAAAAAAAAAATACAATTAAATTTTAAAAAAAAAATTAATTCTACAGAAAAGAGTAAAGATAAAAGAATAAAAATTTCAGATTTTCAAAGATTTTAGTTTGAAACCTATTTTAAAAATTCAATTATATTCAATGTATTATCTAACATTTTAACTGAAATTCATTTTTAAATCAATTTTTATTAAAAAATTCTACGAGAATTCAATTATTTTAATAAAAAAATAAATGATGTATTAAATAATTGAATGTTTCTCAAAATTGCATTCTCATAATGAATTTTATTAACAAATTTTTTAAAAATTGAATTTTTTTGACGAATTTTAATAAAATTTTTAAGAATTACATTTTTTGAAGAATTTGTATTAAAATTGCATTAAAAATAATTAAAATTCTGCGATAAGTTTTATTAAATTCATAAAAATAATTGAATTTCTAAAAAGAATCTTATTATATTTGAAAATAAATGAAAAATTAAAAATTAAAATGAAAAAATTAAAAATTCTATTATTTATAAGAGTAAATGAATTATTGCGAAGAAATTTATAAAAAGTTTGTAAATAGTTGAATTATTATTAAAATTTTTGAAAATAATTGAATTTTGGAAAAGAATTTTATTATTTATAATGATAATTTAAATTTGGAATTAAGATTGATTAAAATTGAAATTTTGAATTGAGAATTTTTAAAAAATTATTAACACAATTGAATTTTTGCGAAGAATTTTATCTTCCTAAGAATTCATTTCTTTTTTAATGAATAATAAAAATTTCTCAGGAATTCAATTATTTAAATTTGAATTTGCATAAAATTAGTCAAAAGAAATAAATTATTTAAAAATTTTTATGAAATTCTGGGAAAAATTAAATTATTTTTATAAAAAATTTAAATTCTTTAATGAATAATAAAATTCGTTGCAGAATTTCGTTTGTGAAATTCTGTCAAGAATTAAATTATTTTTATAAATATTTAAATTCTTTCATGAATAATAAAATGCGTTGCAGGAATTGAATTTATTAGCAGGATAAGAAAGAAGTAAATATCTTTGATGCCAATTAGGAAAAAGTCTGGAAAATAAAATATAGAATGGAATTGTTGTCAGTATTGTGAACGGTCTAAAACGAGTTTTTTTGATCGTCAAGTTAAATTTTTTCGATAGCTACTTTTTTACTACTTTTTTTAGTTTGAAAGCTACATTTTGCTACTTTTTTTTATAATTAATTATCGAGTGCGAAGTCTGAATTTCAATATACAAAGTTATATTATTCATTATATGTTGGATTTTTTCTATCGTAACATGTGGTTTATTTTAATACAGATGCACGAGATATCTGAAGAATTAAGTGAAATTGAAAAGTCTGCCAATAAATCTTCAACTTACATACACCAACTTAACGAGGCAATTTTCAAACAGCGGGAAAGGAAAGTTAAGAATATTACACAGTCTCATTTGGGAAATTTTTGAAAAATCGTCGTAAGTACTGAAAATTTTTCTGTTCTTATTAAAACTTTTGTAAAAATATTTATTAAAAAATAAGAAGTTACATATACATGCGTCGTGAAAATTTTCTAATTTCATTTATTGTCGTTATTCGTTTTCACTATTAACATTTTTAATTTTTAATTTTGTTTCATTACAAAATAATCAGAGAAAAATTTAATAATTCATATTATATAAAGGCATGCATTGAGGATTGTCCTTAAAGTCTCCAACTGATTGAAACACTCCTTCTGGAGCACAAAGCCATGGATCTTTTGTTTCTTTTTGCCAGTCGAACAGTTGTTTTTTTAATTGAGTAAAAATTGCCTGAAATGGTGAAAATGAATAATAATAATTTGCAATTGCGATTGAAAAATGGATCTTAAAAAAAAATATTTTCTTAAAAATGTTTGCAATTCAGTTTTCAGATCTTTAGCTATGAAAAATTATTATTAACGAAATTTCGATATTTTTGGTCATTAAAACTCTTTTTCTAGACGTAGCTAAAGTTTAATTGCGTAGAATCGGTACTACCCAACAAAATTGGTAAAAAAAATGAGTAAAAATATTGAAAATAAAAAATTTACCTTAGTTGATGATTTGAAAGCAATATTCTTCGTTTCTTCTGGATCAAGTTTCAGATCATATAATTCCCATTCATCTCTGTAGTAGTAAGTCTTTAATGATTTGTACCATCGAAGAGGCTGGTTTGATTGTGTTCTGTTCAACAAGTCCTATAAAGAAGTGTTAATTAGTCTTGTTTTTTGAAAAGAAAAAATTCTCGTTTTTCAATTTGAATAGTAACAAAATATTCATAAACATTTTCTAAAAATAATTGAACATTTGTACCTGGATGCATTTTTAATTTTTCAAGAAGGAAAATCGTTTATGAATATAGATTATTGGTATCAGTAAATAAAAGAACTGTATTATAAGATATTTAAAATATAAAAAGACTGACCTGGAAAGTTGGTGACAGATAGAAGTCTTGATCAATAGGGAACGGCATTTTGTAATTTATGTTGTGAATAAGTTTATAACGCTTTGTTCGAATAGCTCTCATCGGATAGTACATGGTAATTTCATGATGCGTCTGACTCGCAAATATTGCTGTTGTATTCTTTTCTTGTGGCTCTAAAAATTTTCATTTTTTTCTAACATTTTCTAACATCAGGGTTACCACCGGTCAGGGAAAAATCAGGGAAAGTAGAATTGGTCAGGAATTTTTATTAAAGTACTGGAAAAAATTAAATTTCTCGAATTCATAAGAAAATTCTGAATTTTTGAGTCTTTTTTGTTTGCCTCATAAACTATGAAAATTATCACGAATTCTAATACAAAACCATCAATTTTTTCTATTTCTGATAATAATTTCTATTCAAATAACTTAATTAATGAATAATTTTACATCAATATTTCAAAATTAATTCAATTATTTTCAAAAAATTTACCTAATAAAATTCTTGACAAAATTTCAATTAATTTCAAAAAGTTTCCTAAATTCAATGATATTCAAAATCTACTATTTTAATAAAATTTTGCAAAACGATTCAATTATTTAAAAGAAAATTTGACAAAATTCTACGAAAACATTTAATTATTTTCATAAATAATAAAAATTTCACAGGAATTCAATTATTTACAAATTTTTTTTATCAAATTCTTTATAAGAATTCAATTTTGAGAAACATTCAATTATCTATTTTTGTATTTATATAATGCAATTCTCTTAAAATTGTCTAATAAAAATTGATTTAAAAATGAATTTTAGTAAAAATTTTTAGATAATAGGTAATTGAACATTAAAAGCATCATGCTCATAAATTTTTAGAAATAATTGAATTTTGAAAAGGTTTCAATTTAAAATATTTGACAATTTCATTTTTTTATTCAATAATGAATTTACAGAAAAATTTTAGTTATAAACAAAAAAAAATTGAATTTTGGAGAAGTTACAAATGATTGCTGAAATACAATTATTTTCAAAAGTAACAAAATTTTTCTCAAAATTTCAAATACTTTTAACAATTTAAAAAAATTTTCAATTATCTTGATAAATAATACAATTTTACTCTGAAATTCAATTATTTTCAAACAATTTCCTTAATTCAGTGATTTTCGATATATACTATTTTAATAAAATTTTGCAAAAGAATTCAATTATTTAAAAAAAATGTTGATATAATTCTACGCAAACATTTGATTATTTCATAAATAATAAAAATTTCACAGGAATTCAATTATTTACAAATTTTTTGATAAAATTCTTCGCAATAATTCAATTTTATTAAAATTTGTCGGAAGAATTCAATTATTTAAAAATTTATTCATAAAATTCTTTATGAGATTTCAAGTTTGATTAGAAATTTTAAAGAACTTAGATTTTTGAAAAATTTTAATAATTCCAATTTTTGTGAATTTAATTATTATTAAAAATAATGGATTTATAGAAGAATTTTAGTTAAAAATACTAAAAATTAATTGAATTTTGAAGAATTTAAAAAATGATTGCAGAATTTCAATTATTTTCAAAAGTAACAAAATTTTTTGCAGAAATTCAATTATGTTCAAAAAATTTTAAAATTCTGAAAATTAAAAAAATTATTTCATAATTTAAATTATCTTAATGAATAATAAAATTGTTCTCTAAAATTCAATTATTTTCGAATTTTAATAAAATTCTTGGATAAATTTAAATTATTTTCATAATATTTTCAATTATTTTCAATGATTTTCAATATTTACTACTTTAATAAAATTTTCCAAAAAAAAATCCAATTATTTAAAAAAATTTCTTTGCAATAATTCAATTATTTCCATAAATAACAACATTTGGATTTAATTATTTTCATAAATAATAAAACTCATCGCAGAATAATTGAATTTTCGTGGAATTTTCCAATAAAAATTGATTTTAAAATTAATTAAAAATTGAATATTAAAAGCATTACAAGCATGAATTTTTAGAAATAATTGAATTTTAAAAAGGTTTCAAATTAAAATCTTTGGAAATTTGAATTTTTCCTACTTTTAACTAACAATTCTGTAGAATTGACTTTTTTTGAAAAAGTTTAATTCAATTTTTTTTAAATTCTTTGAAGTTTTTTATTTTCTAATTTTAATTTAATTGAAAATTTTCAGAATAATCGAATTTTCGTAAAATTGAACTGTTATCAAATGGATTTGAAAATTCCCTAAGAACTTCAGGGAAAATCAAAATTAAATTTTTGTGGCAATCCTGATAGATACGGCAAGGTCAATTTTAAATTTTAAATAGAAAGTATTAGAAAATCAAATGCATAAAACATTTAGTGAAAAATATTAGCGAATAAGATTTTTTTAAATGAATTTAAAATAGTTGATTTACCTTCGGTCAATAATGGAAGGAGCGATTTTCCAGTTAAAGTGAATTGAGTCTGATTTGGATAACGAGTTCGATTTGGATATGAGACTTTGAACCAGTCGAGAATAGTAGGAACGACATCTAACAATGAAGTCATGCTGTGTGTTACACTATTTCTCCGTTTTTTGTGGAACGGAGAAGAAATCATCATTGGTTCAGCAATGCCTGTTAAAAACAATCGTATCATTAATCAGTTATTAGAAATTTTGGAAATAAACATTATTCTCCAACATTTCATCGTCTAGGTCATCTTCAGTTTGTACAACTTAGATGTACAAATTTATGCATCTTCTTTGTACAACCTATAATCTAAATATAAAGAAGCAAAAATATACATTAATATGACTATGTTCATTGAAAATGGAAGTAGAAAGTATTAAAAAATTAAAGTACAATTTAAAATAAAAATTAAAAAAAAAAAAATTAAAAAAAATTAATTTTAATTTTAAAATTTAATCTGTTTTTATAAATACATAGTGGAAAGTAGTTACCAGAATCGTACAAATTCGTTCTTCCACCCGGAAAAGGAATTCCATTATCAGACGAGTAGATCACCATGGTATTATTTTTAAATCCAGCATCTTCTAATTCTTTGAGGATCAATCCTACCCCTGAAGCATTTGACATTTAATAGAATTCTTTGATAATAAAAAACTTGAATTAATTTTGAACTTGAATTTTTGTTACTAAAAAAATTGGAATATAAATTATTAAATGTGTGATAACCTTGATCTAATCGAGATATAGTTGTGTATTGAGCTGCTATATCTCTTCTTGCAGCTTCAGTATCTTGCACAAAATACGGAAGCTTTATTTGTTCCCACTGATAAGAAATTGGAGACCAGTCTGGAATTGTGCCCATTCCCACATCTCCATTGCCAAACTTTTCACAAAAGTTTCCATATTTTGGATTTGTATGTCCACAACGATGAGGATCGTGAAATGCAACGTACAGGAAAAATGGTCTATGAAATTAAATGAAAGTTTAGCACATTTTAAAAAATGTTAATCATTTTTAGAAAATATTCCTATTAAGAAATAAATTATTATTAATTATTATAATAATAAGTTATTCAGAAATTAACTAAAATTACTTTTATAAAAAATTAAAGTTCAGGCTTCGCACTCATCTACTAAAAAGCTACTATTTCTGTTATTTTTTTTTGAGAACTCTCACTATTTTAAATTCGCAATTACTAGAAATAAAAAAGCTATTCTCAAATTTATAATCAAATTCTTTAAAACGATTCAATTATTTTCAGAAAATATTCGAAATTCAATTTATTATTTTTCAATATCTATAGTATTTTTATAAAATTTCGCAAAACAATTCAATTATTTAAAAAAAAATTTATAAAATTCAATTGTTTTCATAAATAATAAAATTTCCACTGAATTCAATTAAGTTAGAATAGCATTTTCAAAAAAATTTCGAAAAAATCAATTATTTAACAAAATTTTCATACAATTCTTCACAATAATTTAATTACTTTCACTAATAATATTTTTCATGGAAACTCAATTTTTTAAAAAAATTTTTGATAAAATTCTAAGCAAGAATTTAATTATTTTCATAAATAATAAAACTCTTCGAAGGATTTCAATTATTTTTAATACTATTTTCAATTAATTAATCGAAAAATCCAATTATTTTCATAAATAAAGTTTTCCACAAGAATTCAATTATTTACAATAAAATTTTCATAATATTTATTATATTTCGATAAAATTAATAATTTAAAACAATGTTTATAAATTTTTTATGAAGAATTCAATTATTTACAAATATAACAAAATTTTTCACAGAAATTTGAAAATTTTAATAAAATACTTAGCAACTATTCAATTATTTTCATAAATAATAAAATTCATGGCAGGATTTCAATTATTTTTATTACAATTGTACAGGAATTGCATGAAAAATGTAATTATTCTTAAAAATTTAATTTCAATTCCTCAAAAAAAAAAATTATTTAAAAGATTGTTTTTTTTAATTCTTTAGAATTTATTTTAAAACTAATAAATTTCTTCTTGAAAATTCAAATTAAAAAAAAAAAATTTGATTAAATTCTAAGAAAGAATTCAATTATTTTCATAACTAATAAAACTGATCAAAGAATTTCAATTATTTTTTTTAATACTGTTTTACATTAATTAATAGAAAAATTCAATTATTTTCAAAAATAACAAAATTTTTCACAGAAATGCAATTCTTTTTAAACATTCTTATCGGAAGTTCAATTATTTTTGAAAATTTTAATAAGATTCCTAGCAACTATTTCAACTATGTTTATAAATAATAAAATTCTTCTCGGGAATTGAATTATTTTCAAAAATAACAAAATTTTTTACACAAATTCAATTCTTTTTAAAACAATAATTTAATAAAATTTTTCGCAATAATTCAATTACTTTCATAAATAATAAAATTCTTCTCAGGAGTTCAATTATTTTTGAAAATTTTAATAAAATTCTGAGCAACTATTCAATTATTTACATAAATAGGTAATAAAATTCATCGCAGGATTTCAATTATTTTTAAAACAATTTTACAAGAATTGCTCGAAAAATGTAATTATTCTTAAAAATTTAATTTCAATTCCTCGAAATAATTAATTATGTAAAAAAATGGTTTTTTTAAATTCTTTAAAACAATCCCATTATTTACAAAAATATTATAATTTTTCACTGGAATTCAATTATTTTCAAATATTTTAATAAAATTGTTTGAAAGAAATTAATTATTTTAAATACAATTTTAATTAAATATTTTTGAAATAATTCAATTATTCTTTTAGATTTAAATAAAATTCTTCCGAAGAATTCAATTATTTACATAAATAATTCTTCGAAAGAATTCAATTATTAAAGATAAATAACAAAATAAAATTATTCCTGAAAATTCAATTATTTTGAGGCATTTTAATAAAGTTCTTTGCAAAATTCAATTGTTCTTAGAAATAACAATATTCATCACAAGAATTCAATTTCTTTTAAAAGTAATAAATTTTTTCTTGGAAATTCAATTATTTTAAAAAATTCTAATAAAATCGTTAAAAAGAATTCAATTATTTTCATAAATAATAAAATGCTTTTTAGAAATTCAATAATAATAGAATTCGTTGCAGGAATTGAATTTATTAGCAGGATAAGAAAGAAGTAAATATTTTTGATGAAAATTAGGAAAAAGTCAGGAAAATAAAATATAGAATGAAATTTTTGTCAGTTTTGTGAAGTGTCTAAATTTCAAGGTTCCTACAGAATCTGGAAATCATGGAAATCATGGAAATGGTATGGAATTTTTAAAAGGCTTCTGGAAATCAGGGAAATCATGGAAAATGCCTAGAATTTTTAAAAGTTTCTAAATTTTTTCTCTTTTTCATTTTTTCTCTTGAATAGAAATTCAAATAATAATAAAGCTAAATGGCATAAAAGAGAAGAAAAAACGTTAAATTTTAAGAAATTCGATTTTTCGGATTTTTGATAATTTTTAATAATTTTCGATAATTTTAGATTTTTACCAAAGAGTCAAGACTATTAAATAAGTAAAGTATTTTCCAAGAGCAAAAAAATAATGAAGCTAAATCCCATAAAAGAGAGGAAAAAATGTTGAATTTTAAGAAATTCGGATTTTTGAATTTTTGATAATTTTCGATAATTTTAGAATTTTTACCAAAGGGTAGAGACTATTAAATAAGTAAAGTGTTTTTAAAGAGCCCAAAAATATTGAAATTAGATTATAAATTCCACTGGAATTTCGTAAAAATTTGACCTGGAAATCATGGAAAAGGTATGGAATTTTAAATTCGGATTTCTGTAGGAATCCTGTAATTAAATCGAGTTTTTTTGGTCGTGGAGTTTAATTTTTCGATAGCTATTTTTGACTACTTTTTTAAGTTTAAAAACTCTTTTTTGCTACTTTTTTTAAAATTAATTATCGAGTTCGAAGTCTGATTCATGTATATCGTGCGGGAAAAAAGTAAAATATTTCATTTAAAATTTCTATTTTAGTAAAATTGGGAACTTTGCATCAGAATTTTTTTTATAAACCTCTCGCAGTTAATAAGAAAAGTTAAGAGTTACATACTGTGATTTATTTTGCGATAAAAATTCCCTAACAAGCAATTTGATCTTGGTAATATTGCGTCCTACTTGGAGTGTCGATTCATTTTCTTCTGTATGGGAAAAATCAAAGGGATAGACTTTATTTGGTCCCACGTGTTTTTTCCCAATGATACCTGAAAGAAAAAAAAAAGTTATGCATTTTTTCATTAACTTGTAAAATTTAATAATGGCAACGAAATTTCTGAAACTTACCAGTTCGTATTTTTTTACGCTTCAATATTTTAGATAAACTGGGAACATCGTCAAATGAATTAAAGTGATGTACTCCTTGGTGTAAACCGTACATTCCATTTTGGTGACTTGGTAATCCCGTCAATAGCGAAGCACGACTGAATTCAAAATTTAAAATTTATAAAAGTAATTTTATTAAGAGTAATTTGATTTTGTTAAAAATTTTAATCGATTTTAGTAAAATAAAAAAAAAATATTAAAAAAAAAAATTATTATATTATTATTATTATTATTATTTTATTATATTTTTATTTTTTTTTATTTTTTTATAACAAAACACTTATAATTCTTAGAATTATTTTTAATTAAATTATTTCAAATTGTTTAAAAATAAAAGTTTTTAGAATTATTCTTCAAATATTGGAGAAAAGAATAATTTTCAAAAAATTTTTTAGAGTTTTTTAAATAATAATTATTATTGTTTAGTTTTTTAAATTGTCCAAAAATATATATATATATATATATATATATATATATATATATATTTTTTTTAACAGTACATTTTCATAAACAATTGTATTTAGTAAGTTTTAAAGTCATTTCACCAACATTTTGAAATACATTTATAAATATAGTAAATAATTTTATAATAGAAAATAATCACAAAAATGCAGTAACTGAAGAATCCACAGTAATTGATTCCTTTATTCTACATAGATGAAAAATAATAAAAATTGAATTGAAAAAAATCACCAGTAAAATTTTCAACCAATAAAAAATACTATAGGATTATGAAAAATTATAAAAAATATTTTTGCACTTTTAATTTTAGTTTTTAAAATTTGTCATTTAAATAAAATATCTTTATAATTATATAATGTCAAAAAAAAAAAAATAAATTGATGCAAAAAATAATGAAATTATAGTATAAAATATTATTAGAAAGATGAATATTCCTTTAAAAATTAGAATCATTACCAACCTTGGGGAACAACTGCTAACAGAAGTATAAGCATTATTGAATATTAAACTCTCTTTTGCTAATTTGTCTAAATTGGGAGTTTGGCAAATATTATTTAAATAGGATCGCATTTCAAAGCCTCCATCGTCAGCTGTAATTTTAAATATAAACTATATTTTCAAAAGGTATACGGAAACAAAATTTGTTGGTATACTCGCTTAAAATACACAAATTTAAAAATTCTTCATTTAAACATTCCAAGAGAAAGAAATATATTTTTTGAAGATAAATATCCACTTGTTGAAAAAAAGAATTTTACCCAAGAGCAAAACAACATTTCGTTGTGTTTGAGATTTCTTTCCAATAGAATTTCTGAATTCCAGTAATAAAATTAAAATTAAAATGAAACTAAAGTTCTTCAACATCTTAAAACTTTCTAACTGTTGTTGCTGCACTGAAGCAGTGAAGCTGGAATTAAAAGTGAAACTCATCACTAACGTACCTGAAAAAGCTGAAAATTATTTGAATATAAAAAAAAATGGATTCTACTCCGAATGGAAAATTTTTTCAAATCCATGTAAAATGTTGAATATTTTCGAAAATGGTGGATAAATTTTTTTTTTTTTTGGTAGTGGAGTTGAAAAATGAAGAATTCGTTAACCCCTCTAAATTACGTTCCTGATGGAAGAGAGAACGACACAATACCTTGCTCAGTAGATTTCGTTTGTATTAGTACCGGCAACTGAAAGTTATAGGCCACGTCGTCTCCTGTCATTCTAAATCTCTAAGATTGATTTTTTCTCTAAAAAAAAATAAAGTAAGGTAAATTTCTGAAACTTTTAGAATTTCGTCAAAAAGTATCAAATTCTTGTTCTTGAATTTGGAAATAGATTTTCAATTCATAGAGATTTGTAGAAAAAAATTCTTTTAGCGTTAATTCACCACAGGTGGTTCTGTTGTCAATGACGTGGGGCTAGATTATTGACATTTTCTGATTTTGTCTCAGTATTTAAAAAATTGTGAAACAATTTTTTTTATTTCATATAATAGTCCAGAATAGAGGTAAGGTGAAAATATATTGAAACATATTTTAGTTGTCATACAATTTTTAACAAAAAGAATATCTCAGTTGAGATGATTGATAAAAAATAGGAGGGGTTTATAAATGACCATACAACTGGGATAAGCACGTGATCCTGTACCCATTAGTCAACCGATTGGTTATTTAGAATCTTTTAATGCTTTTAATCCTTTTAATTCGATTTTTTCGTTCAATAAAACGCTTTTGAAACGTGTCATTCAAAGCTTTTCATTCATTAAAGTAAAAAAGGGATTTTTGTTTATGAAATATTTTTCAAATTTTGATATAAAAATGCATTTTTCTGAATTCTTATTGTAACATTGATGTTTCAGGTAACTATGGCGAAAAAGATTATTTGCCTTTTCGATGTCGATGGAACTCTTACAACACCTCAACAGGTATTTTATTTTATTAATATTATTTTCTGTGATTCAAATATCGATATTTACTTATTGATGTAAATGGGAATATCTATGGAACATTTATAACTATTCGTCTATACAAATTTCTTAATGGCTATAAAAAAATTAAATCCGTAAAATTACGAATGATTAAGAAAAAAGATTACATTTTAGGAAAAAAATTTCGAATTATTTTCAATCTCAGACTTCACACTCGATAATTAATTATAAAAAAAAGTAGCTTTCAAACTAAAAAAAAAGTAGCTATAGAAAAATAAAACTTGATCAACAAAACTCGTTTTAAATATTTCACAAAACTGACAAAAATAATTTTTGTCAGTTTTGTGAAGTGTTTATTTTTTTCCCTCACTTTTTCTTAATTTTCATCAAAAATATTTACTTCTTTCTTATCCTGCTAATAAATTCAATTCCTGCAATGAATTTTTATTATTCATGAAAAAAATTGAATTCTTACAAAGATTTTTACAAAATGTTTTTTATATAATTGAATTCTGTTTGGAAATTTTATGAAAATAGTAAATATAGAAAATCATTGAAATTGCGAAAAGTTTTTAATTAAATAATTAAATTTTATAAAGAATTCTATTACAATTTTTGACAATAATTGAATGTCTGTGTGGTATTTTATTAACTTTTTTTTAAAAATAATTGAATTCCTAAAAAGCATTTTATTATTTATGAAAATAATTGAATTCTTGCAAAGAATTTTATTAAAGTGTCTCAAAATAATTGAATTTTCGGGAATAATTTGGTTATTTATCGAAATAATTGAATTCTTTGGAACAATTATTTATGTAAATAATTGAATTCTTGGGAAGAATTTAATTAAAATTTAAAAGAATAACTGAATTATTTCCAAAAAAATGTAATTAAAATTGTATTTGAAATAATTGAATCCCTGTGAAAAATTCTAATATTTTTGTAAATAATTGAATTCTTCCAATAAATGTTTAAAAATATTTTTTTAAAATAATTGATTTTTGAGGAATTGAAATAAAATATTTAAGAATAATTAAATTTTTCGAGCAATTCCTGTACAATTGCATTAAAAATACATAATTGAAATCCTGCGATAAATTTTATTATAATTTTTTTAAATAATTGAATTTCCAAGAAGAATTTTATTTCTTTTAAAAATAATCCAATTCTTGCGATGAATATTGTCATTTATGAAAAAAATTGAATTTTGCAAAGAATTTTATTAAAATTCCTCAAAATAATTGAATTTTCATGAATAATTTTATTATTTATCTTTAATAATTGAATTCTTTCGAAGAATTATTTATGTAAATATTTGAATTCTTGAGAAGAATTTTATTAAAATCAAGAAGAATAATTGAATTATTTTTAAAAAATGTAATTAAAATTGTATTTAAAATAATTGATTTCTTTCCAACAATTTTATTAAAATATTTTAAAATAATTAAATTGTTGTAAAAAATACTAATATTTTTGTAAGTAATTGAATTCTTCCAAAGAATTAAAAAAAACATTTTTTTAAATAATTGATTTTTTCGAAGAATTGAAATTAAATTTTTAAGAATAATTAAATTTTTTGAGCAATTCCTGTAAAATTGTATTAAAAATAATTGAAATCCTGCGGTGAATTTTATTATTTATAAAAATATTTTAATAGTTGTCAAGAATTTTATTTAAATTTTCAAAAATAATTGAATTCCTGAAAAGCATTTTATTATTTATGAAAATAATTGAATAGTTGCCAAGAATTTTATTAAAATTTTCAAAAATAATATTGAACTCCTGAGAAAGATTTTATTATTTATAAAAATAATTGAATTATTGCGAAAAATTGTATTAAAATGGTTAAAAATAATTGAATTTCTGTGAAAAAATTTTATTATTTTAGAAAATAATTGAATTTTTTATAAGAATTTCATAAACATTGTTTTAAATAATTAATTTTTTCGAAATGAAATAAATATTATGAAAATTTTATTTTAAATTATTGAATTGTTGTGGAAATCTTTATTTGTGAAAATAATTTAATTTTTCGATTAATTAATTGAAAATAGTATTAAAAATAATTGCAATTCTTCGATGAGTTTTATTATTTATGAAAATAATTGAATTCTTGCTTAGAATTTTATGAAAAATTTTTTTAAAAAATTAAATTTACATGATTTACACATTATCAATAAAAAAATATGGAATTAAAAAATTAATTAACAATTATAAACTCACAAGAATAGACTTTAAAGCTATTTTCACAATTTTTTCTAAAATAATTACAATTCAACCGTCTTTTGTTTTTCCGTGAAAAAAATTCCGCCAAAAAAATTTCTGTGAATTAACAACTTATGCCATTTGAAATAAGTTAGAAAATGAAACTTAAATGAATTTTGAAATAAAAAAATTGAATAATAATATTTTTATAACATTTTCAACCTAAAAATAAAGTTTAAAAAAAAATGCTTCAAAAATTATGAAAATCAATTTTTTCATTTGTCAATTTTTTTGGGTTCAAAGAAATATTTTCTACAAAATTACGGATGGATTTCAAAATTTATCAATTTTTGTACAAAATAAAAATTTAAAAAGGGTTAAAAAATATTTCCCGTCCTCTTTTATTTTATGACCACCTTTTGAACATTGTTTTTGTTATAGGTTAAAAATAATTTGCAATTTTAAATAATTAATAACTTTCTAAAGCCAATACTTTTTATTTGTCCCCTTATATAATTTTGAAAGCATGTGGTTCTTAATGTTTATATAAAAATAGTGTCAATAATGTGCTCGAAGAAAAATTATTTATATATATTTTTCTTGAAAAGTTTAATATGAAATGTTAAAGTATGTATTTCAAAAACATAAATTAAATATTTTGAATTTTATTAATTTTGAAAGTAGGTACCTACTGTTTGTTAATTGTGGCCTTAGTATTTGACAAAAATTAAGGTCATTGAAAATACCAAAATAAATTTTAAAATAAAAAAATAAAAAAAATACATTTTGAAAAATAATTAAAGAACTTTAAAATGAAAATAATTTTTTATAATTTGTCTGATATGGAAGTACAAAATGTAGAATGTTCGTTTGCTATTGTCGTTACACTATTTTATAATTATTTAGAAACTTATTTATAGAACTGAAAATTTTACAGGTAATTAAGCCTAGTGTTGATAAATTCTTGCAAGAGTCAGTGAAAAAAATGTTCGACATCGCTGTTATTGGTGGTTCTGATCTTAACAAAATTAAGAAACAATTAGGTGGCGAGGAGATTTTCAAGAAATATAAATATATTTTTTCTGAAAATGGATTAGTGTCTTTCAGAGATGGCAAACAATTGTCATCAGAAGTAAGTATTCATTTTTCACTTTTTGTTTATTGAACTTTATTCTTAAAACTATATAAATATTAATTAAAAAATTATTTTTAATAATATTGAAAGGATAACTTTTCGTCTCTTCTTTTATCTGATCTGCCTTTTTCTCCTCTGAAATTAACAAAATCCTTCAAAACTTTTTAAAAATTGTCACTTTTATTAAGTCATCAGAATTTTCAGTTTATGTGGAAAAAACAAATTTTCTCTTTTTTCAAACTTTAGACATAACATTTTTTGAATCTTAAAAAAATTTCTCCTTTAGTTTTTCTCTTTTTTCAAACAGAAAATTTATTTCGATTTTTTATTTTTTTATTTTTTTTATTTTTTATTTTTATTTTTTTTGAATTTTTTTACCTGAGTTATATTTTGCAATATTGTAAAAAAATATTGTTTAAATTTTGCAAAGTCATATTTTATTTTTGAAACTATTTTAGACTTATTTTTGATGTTTTTTTTACAAAATTAAAAAAAAATAAATAAATAAATTCATTCTCTAATTTAAATTATTTGCAATTTATGAAAATGAAATGGTATTTTTGAATTTTTTTAGTCCATCCAAAGTAAGATTGGAGAAGAGGTTCTACAGGATTTTATAAATTTTGCTTTGAAATATATTTCCGAATTGAAGTTGCCATTTAAGCGAGGAACATTTGTGGAATTTAGAACGGGGATGTTAAATATTTCTCCTGTTGGAAGAAATTGTTCACACGAAGAGCGCCTTCAATTCTATGAATATGATAACGAACATCAAATTCGCCAAAAATTCATTCAAGCCTTGAAAAAAGAATTTCCAGATTTAGCATTGACGTACAGTATTGGTAAGTTTATTTCATTTATCTTTGTACAATCAGAAGCATAAGAATCATTTATTCAAGATAAACATTCGTCTTGCCAGACCGTAAAATTCTCAAAATAAAATTTTGAAAATAAGTCAAAGCAAACGTCTATAAAAATTGAAGAAAACTAAAATGTTTCAGAAAATTAAAAATAGTTAAAAAGATTTTTTAACGTTTTAACTTTTTAACTATAATTTTCATTTCTCTATTATACAATGTTTCTAATATAATAATTTCTTATATTTTGATACTTTTTTTAACAAGAAATGAAATTATTAAAATTTTAAAATTAAATTTTAATTGTAAACTAATTTTCCCTCTGATTTTGTAGTTTAAAATATAAATTTCCTTTTTTAAATCAGGGTTGCCACAGGTCAGGGAATTTGGGGAAAAGTCAGGGATTTTTATTCAAAGTACAGGAAAATATTAAATTTTTAGAATTTATAAGAAAATTCTGAATTTTGGTGTTTTTTTTGTTTGTCTCATAAAACTATGAAATTACCACGAATTCTAATACAAAACCTTCAATTTTTTCTATTTCTGGCAATAATTTCATTTAGAATTACTTAATTCTTAAAGAACTATCCAGACTTTAAAACGATTCAATTATTGTCAAAAAGTATTCGAAATTCAATTATTTTCAATATCTAGTATTTTCATGAAATTTCGCAAAATTAATAAAATGATTAAATTCTAAGCAAAAATTCAATTTACTTTCATAAATAATAAAACTCATCGAAGAATTTCAATTATTTTTAATACTATTTTTAATTAATTAATCGAAAATTCAATTATTTTCACAAATAAAATTTTTAACAAGAATTCAATTATTTAAAAAAGAATTTTTATAATATTTATTATATTTTAAAAAAATCAATTATTTAACACAATGTTCATAAAATTGTTATGAAGAATTCAATTATTTTCAAAAATAACAAAATTTTGTACAGAAATTCAATTCTTTTTGAAACAATTTAATAAAATTTTTCGCAATAATTCAATTACTTTCATAAATAATAAAATTCATCTCAGGAATTTAATTAGTTTTGAAAATTTTTATAAAGTTCTGAGCAACTATTCAATTATTTTCATACATAATAAAATTCATCACAGGATTTCAATTATTTTTAATATAATTTTACAGGAATTGCTCAAAAAATGAAATTATTCTTAAAAATTTGATTTCAATTCCGCGAAAAAAATCAATTATTTAAAAAAATGGTTTTTTAAAATTCTTTAGAAGAATTCAATTATTTACAAAAATATTAGTATTTTTCAAAACAATTAAATTATTTTTAAAAATTCTAATAAAATTCTTTCCAAAATTCAATTATTTTCTTAAATAACAATATTCATCACAAGAATTCAATTATTTTTAAAAGTAACGAAAAAAAATTGAATTTTGGAGAAGGTACAAATGATAGTAAAAATTCAATTATTTTCAAAAGTAAAAAATTCTTTCCAGATATTCAATTATATTCAAAAATTTTTAAAAATTCTTATCAAAATTTCCATTATCTTTATAAACAATTATTTTCAAAAATTCTCCTGAATTTAATGATTTTTAATATCTAATATTTTAATAACATTTTTCAATGGAATTCAATTATTTAAAAAAAAAATTTAATAAAATTCTATACTGACATTTAATTATTTTCATATATAATAAAAATTTCACAGAACTTCAATTATTTACAAATTGTTTATAAATTTTTTTTCGCAATATAATTCAATTATTTTCATAAATAATACATTTTTTTACGCAGGGATTCAATTATTTCCATAAATAATAAAATTCTTTTTAGGAATTCAATTATTTTAAAAAATAATGAAATTCATCGCAGAATTTTAATTTTATTTTTAATACAATTTTAATCGAATTCCTCGAAAAACATAATTATTCTTTAAATATTTATTAAAATTCGTCGAAAAAATTGAATTATTTAAAAATTTGTTGATAAAATTCTCTATGAGAATTCAATTTTAAGAAACATTTATTTATTTAATAAATTTTCTTCTCTGCATTTAAATAATTGAATTCTCGTAGAATTTTTGAATTTTCTAATAAAAATTGATTTAAAAATTAATTTCAGTTAAAATTTTTGATAATAATTGAATATTAAAAGCATTATAGCGTGAATTTTTAGAAATAATTTTAATTTTCAATGGTTTCAAATTAAAATCTTTGAAAATTGGAACTCTGCATATTTTTAATCATCAATTCTGTTGATTTAATTTTTTTGAAAAAGTTTAATTGAAATTGGTTTTGAAATTATTTGAAGTTTTTATTTTCTATTATATGTTTAATTAAAGAATTGCAGAATAATAGAAATTTCGTAAAATTGAATTGAGCTCCCGCGGGCAATAACTCGATCTGCGCTCGGACGCACTCTCTAATACCAGTCGGGTGGCAGTGAGTGGCGCAGAGGCGCTCACTGCTCCCCGACTGGTACTAGCGCTTGCGTCCGAGCGCAGATCGAGTTATTGCCCGCGGGAGCTCAATTGTAAACAAAAGAATTTGAAAATTTTCAAAGAAATTTTTGCAAAAATTATTAAAAATGAATGAATAATTAATTTAAAGGATAATTTTAGTTAAAAATTCTAGAAATTAATATAATTGAATTGAAATGATGAAAATAATTTTGAAGAAATAACAGTAGTAACAATATTTCTATAATATAAAATAATGATTTTATCACTCGGTCATCTTTAATTATTAAAATTTGTTAAATTTCAAAAAGGTTTTGAATTTCAAATTTTTGAAGAATTTTAATTCCTATGGAAAAATAATATTTAAATACTTATTTAAAAATTTAGTTATTGGTGTTTTCGAATAATTTTACAATTAAAGAAATTCGTAAATAAGTAATAGAACATTTTTTTGAGTATCTAATCATTTTTTGAGTGAATCAGAATATTCTTTAGGGTCAGAGAAAAAGTTAAAATTTTCCCTGGAAATCAGGGAGAAACAAAATCCCATTTTTGTGGCAATCCTGAAAATGAAAGTGGATTTCAAATTTTTTGTACCGAAAATTTTTATTCCGACAGTAAATATTGCTACTGAATTAAATTTTCAATTTTGCGATAAATATTATAAATTAATTTATAAAAATAAAAATTATTTTTAATTTTACTTAATAATTAACCACCGAGTGTTAAATTGAAATATCACTAAATTTTTTTATTTCACTTCTAGGTGGACAAATCTCATTTGATGTCTTTCCTAATGGATGGGACAAAACCTATTGCCTAAAGCATATTGAGGGTTACGACGAAATACACTTTTTCGGAGATAAAGTGAGAGAAGGTGGAAACGATTATGAAATTTATGAAAGTGATCTTACAATAGGACATCGCGTGACCGGTCCCGAAGATTCGGTTAATCAATTAAAAGTTCTGCAAATTTTGGTGCAAGACACTCAAAACAAAGAGTGTCCAAACGCACCAATGCACTGCGTTTAATTTGTATATTCTAGAGAGTATTTTTCTCTAAATTCAATTTTTATGTAAATAGTGTTGATTTATTTATAGTCTAAATATACCTCAAATGAAATGAATAAAACCAAATTAAAGTAATTTTTCTCTTTTTCATTTTCAATTTAAAGTCAGTAAATATTTTTACAAATTTCAAATCGTTGAAACTGAAATTAAAAAAAAATTAAAATTAAAGAAAAAGAAAGATAAAAAATAAATTTAAATTAAAAAAATTAAATTAAAATTTTTTTTTATTTATTTTTTTTTATTTAAAGATAAAAAATATTTTGTCCAAAAATTTGTTGGACAAAATCGTTTTTTAATCTTTTTTTATTCATAAAATAACGATTGTAGTAAAAATAACGCATTTTATTTAATAAAAAATAATATAAAGATTTATTCTTATAAAGACAGGTCATAAAATTTACAGTTTAAAAATATTATTAACAATTTATAAAGAATTAAAAATTTTACGAATCAACAACAATGATATTCTGCGATAAAAAGTACAGCGTAGAAAACAATTTTTACAAATATTACAATAATTACCAACTCCCTCGTTAATAAAAAGTACGTTTGTGCGATATTATAAATCTTGGAACTTTGGTTCTTGAAAAATTACTCTTTGCGTGGACAAAAGTCGGTTCCAAATAATTAACGAATTTTTCCTTTTGGTCCACTTTTACAAACCCCTGTAAATGGGAACTCGTTTAGCAGTAAATGCCGCGAGACCTTCGAGTCGATCCTGCGTTTCCAAAAGCTGAGAAACACATTGCTTTTCAATTTCAAATCCATCTTCAATTGGAACTTCAATTCCTTTGCTGATGGCAACTTTTGATAATCTGAAATAAAAAATAATTTATTAATTTCAGAGTTATTATAGTATTATTGAAATAATAATAGCAAAGAGAGAACAAAGCTTTTCCTTCGATTTCAACCCTGAGAAACGTAAGCCACAGAGTTGTTGATTAAAAATAACTACTTGAGTCATTAATTTATGCTAATGAATACATTGTCATAAGTTAATCGATGAGTTTTAGACAGACCTTGGGTGTCGTAATAAATATACAACAATTACTGGCATTTTCTAAACATTTTCTTTTTAATAAGTGATAAAATTAACCGCAAAACGAATTATATAATGAGGTATATGGGAAAAACTTGATTCTCTTTTATAGTTTTTACTTATCTTAAAAACATTTAATTTTTTAGAATTTAATTTTAAAATTTAGTTTTAGAATTCAATTTTTTAATTTGAAAATTTTTTTTCAAATACATTCTCTGAATTTAAGGCTGTGTCATAGTCCTGAGAATTCTTTCAATAAAGTTTCATGCTATTGATAAATTTAATGTTTCTTATCAAAAAATGTGACGCGCTCCCAAGAAAAAAAGCAGCAAAAAATTTGAGGTTATGTTTATAATTTTTGGAGTAAAAATACAGAAAGAGAATCAATTATTATTGGAAATTATTGATGCTCAATTCTTCCTTGTATCCAAAATATTCAATGAAAACTGGTTTCAAATTTACATAATTAAAAAGAAACTTTTAATCATAATGAATCTAATATAAACATAACCAATAATTTGTTTGTTTCTTGGAAGTGCGTCACATATATTCCTCATAATTTATGATTTAAATGGTTTAAATAATAATTTATGGTTTAAATGAACGGAATTTTTTGCCTGTTGCAAATATTTTCAAAAATTACTGACTGCATGCGTTATATTATCAAAAGCAAAAAAATTAAAAAAAAATTAAACATTTAGAATCTTTAAAATTTAGTTTTTAATACGTGACACAATATAATTGCAATAAAATTTCAATTTGAGGAAGAAACAAAAAAATTTCATTCATTTGAAACGTTCAAAACTTTAGCGACATCATTAATTTGTCAGAAATGTAAAAATTGCAGGCATCGTACACTCATCTACTAAAATCTACTATTCACTATTTATTTTAACGATTTGCTAATATTTATCTGAATTCATCTAGTTTTAATACAATTATAATTTAATTCCTGAAAAAAATTGAAATATTTTCAAAATTTAAAAAAATTTTTCAAAACTTTTGAATATTTAAATAAATTTTAATAAAATTCTTTGCAAGAATTAAATTTTCTTCACAAAAAATTTAAATTTTTCACAACAATTCAATATTAGGATTTCAAAAATTTTTAATAAAATTTGTATAGGTAATAAAATTTATTTACTTACAAAATAAAATTTACAAATAATTATCAGTTAAAATTTTAGATAATAATAGAATATTAGAAGAGTTACATATATGAAAAGAATTCAATTCTTAAGAAGATTTTTCCAAAAAATTTTTTAAATAATCGAATTCTGTTTATAAATTTTATGAAAATAGTAGATATTGAAAATCATTAAATTGCAAAAATTAATTAAATTTAATTTAAAAATTAAAAATACAAAGAATTCTATTGAAATTTTTCACAATAATTGAATTCCTAAAAAGCATTTTATTATTTGTGAAAATAATTGAATTCTTTTAATTACCTATTAATTATTTTTAAATAATTAAATTTCCAAGAAGAAATTTATTACTTTTAAAAATAATAGAATTATTGCTAAAAATTTTGTTATTTTTAAAGATAATTTAATTTTGCAAAGAATTTTATTAAAATGCTTCAAAATAATTGAATTTTCAGGAATAATTTTGTTATTTATCGACATAATTGAATTCTTTTGAAGAATTATTTATGTAAATAATTGAATTCTTGGGAAGAATTTTATTAAAATCTAAAAGAATAATTCAATTACTTCGAAAAAAATTTATTCAAATTGGATTTAAAATAATTTATTTCTTTCGAACAATTTTATTAAAATAATTGAAAAGAATTGAATTCCTGTGAAAAATTATAATATTTTTGTAAATAATTGAATTCTTCCAAATAATTTAAAAAAACATTATTTTTAAATAATTGATTTTTTCGAGGAATTGAAATCAAATTGTTAAGAATAATTAAATTTTTTGATCAATTACTGTAAAATTTTCAAAAATAATTGAATACCTGAGAAGAATTTTATTATTTATGAAAATAATTGAATTATTGCGAAAAATTTGATTGAAATGTTTAAAAAGAATTGAATTTCTGTAAAAAATTTTGTAATTTTTGAAATTAATTGAATTCTTCTTAAAAATTTTATAAACATTGTTTTAAATAAATAATTTTTTCGAAATATAATAAATATTATGAAAATTTTATTTTTAGTAATTGAATTCTTATAAAAAATTTTATTTGTGAAAATAATTGAAATTTTTTATTAATTAATTTAAAATAATATTAAAAATAATTGAATTCCTGTGACGAATATTGTTATTTATGATAATAATAAATTGAATTATTGCGAAAAATTTTATTGTAATGTTTAAAAAGAATTGAATTTCTGTAAAAAATTTTGTAATTTTTGAAATGAATTGAATTTTCCTTGAAAATTTTATAAACATTGTTTTAAATAAATAATTTTTTCGAAATATAATAAATATTATGAAAATTTTATTTTAAATAATTTAATTGTTATGAAAAATTTTTATGTCAAAATAATTGAAATTTTTTATTAATTAATTTAAAATAATAATATATTAAAAATAATTGAATTCTTGTGATGAATATTGTTATTTACGAAAATATTTGAATAGTTGCTAAGAATTTTATTAAAATTTTTTAAAATAATTGAATTCCTGTAAAGAATTTTATTATTTATGATAATAATTGAATTCTTACAAAGATTAAAAAAAAAATTTTTAAATAATTGAATTCTGATTGGAAATTTTATGAAAATAGTAGACTGAAAATTATTGATTTGCGAAAAGTTTTTAAAAATAGTTAAATTTTACAAAGAATATTCTATTCAAATTTTTGGATCAATAATTGAATGTCTGTGTGGTATTTTATTTACATTTTTTTGAAAATAATTGCGAATAAAAAATTTTTTTTAAAATAATTTAAGTCTTGTGGAAAACTTTATTTGTGAAAATAATTGAATTTGTTGATTAATTAATTAAAAACACATAGTATTAAAAATATTTGAAATTCTTCGATGAGCAAATTGAATTGCTTTGGAAATTTTATTATTTATGAAAATAATTGAATTTTGGATGAATTTTATAAATTTTTTTTTAAATAATTCTATTCTTTTGCGAAATTTTATGAAAATACTAGATATTGGAAATAATTGAATGTCGAATATTTTTTTAAAGTAATTGAATCTTTTTAAAGAATTTGATTATATTTTTTGAGAATAGTTTTTTGAATTCTAGTATTAGCGAATTTACAGTAGTGGCCCAACGTAAAAAAGGTAGTAAATAGTATGTTTTAGCAGATGATGTGCGAAGTGTGAATATGTAACAATATCCAAAAGGAATTTTTGCAATAACTATAATACATTAATTATTGCTTACTTCACTCCAATAGGCCCATTTGGTAGAATTTCTCTGGCTATGGACAGAGCAGCTTGATAGGCAGCATCACCATCCTTATTTTGTGGAACGACTTGATTCACCAGTCCAATTTTGTGAGCTTCTTCGCCATCGAGGACTTTTGCTGCAAAAATAAGTTCTTTGGCTTTCGCAGGTCCCACAACTCTGGGCAGTCTCTGGGTTCCACCTGCGCCAGGAATAATGGCCAATTTGGTTTCGACTAGACCCATTTTTGCTTCAGACGCCGCCGTTCTTATGTCAGTGGCGAGGGCAAGTTCTAAGCCTCCTCCGAGTGCAGAGCCATCTATTGCCGATATAACAGGCGCCGGTAATGATTCCACATTGTTCATGAGACTCCTCAATGAAGAAACGAACGGATTTACTTCGGAATTGTCCATTTTCAATCTCTCCTTTAAATCTGCGCCAGCACAGAAGATTTTTGGTACCAAGCTCCGTACAATCAGGACTCGAACTTTATTGTCTTGACGAATTGTTGAAATCGCTTCGCTCAATTGTGACACGAGGGTTTTTCCAAATGCATTCCGAGCTTCTGGACGATTTAATCCTATGACTGCAATTCCATTGTCCTTTCCATCGAGGTATTTTATTATCACTTCTTTAGTTTCGTCTTTTGTACTGAGCATTGGCTTTGCCGAGAAGGCTCGAATCGATACCATTGTCAAATTATTGAAAATAGATGTAACTTTAATTTTACTTGCTAGAGACATTTTTAATTGACTTCTCGTTGACGAAAATTAACGAAAAAAACTGTAACAAATAATTAAATTATTATTATTTTTTTTTTGGTGAAAAATATATTTTGAAGATTTTTTCTCAATTTTTTTAAGGAATTTTAATTTTGTCCAAAAACGTGCATGTTGTGCACGTGAATGGTCGCGTTTCACGTGCAGAACGCAAATATAACCACAAGTGTGATTAAGTACTTATCTTATCAGATTGTAGAAAAATTATGGATAAAATCTTTTGAAAATATAATTATCTTTTTAGCGGGTTTTACGTCTTTTAAAATTCTTGTTTTCTTACGGCAAGGCAAGAGATTACTATCACGATGATTCTATCAATATTTTTTTTCATTTCTAGTATACAAAGTTTACACAATCAAAATCTTATTGCAAACAAGTGAGGTAGGTTTCTGCAAACTTGCATACAAAAATTGCATCAATCCAAAGAGAAATGGTTCATCAATTTGATGATTTCATCAATTTCATCAAATTGATTACTTGAATATTAAATTAAATTTTTTATAACTATAAAACATGAATAAATCCATAACTCCGAGTCTTCGACTCGGAGTGATCGATATCTTCATGTTTTATAATAATTAAAGATGACCCAGTGATAAAATCATTATCAATTCAATTACTATCTAAAATTTTAACTGAAATTAATTTTTAAATCAATTTTTATTAGAAAATTCTACTAAAATTCAATTATTTAAATACAAAAATAAATAATTTATTGAATAATTGAGTTCTTTCGACAAATTTTAATAAAATTTTTAATAATAATTACATTTTTCAAGAAATTCAATTAAAATTATATAAAAAATAATTGAAATTCTGTAAAAAAATTTTATTATTTGTGAAAATAATTGAATTACAAAAATGAATTTTGTTATTAATAAAAATAATATTGAATCCCTGTAACAAATGTTACTATTTTTGAAAATAATTGCATTATTGCGAAGAATTTTATTACTTCAGAAAATAATGGAATTTTTAAAATTCAATTATTTCTGAAAATTGATGGCCTTTAAAATTCAATTATTATTTAAGATTTTAACTGAGATTCGTTTTTTTATCAATTTTTATTTGAAAATTCTACTAGAATTCAATTAGGTATTTAAGAATAAAAATAAATAAATTTATTGAATAATTGAATATTTTTAAAATTGAATTTTCATAAAGAATTTTATCAACAAATTTTTAAATAATTGAATTTTTTCGATGAATTTTAATAAAAATTTTAAGTTACATTTTTCGAGAAACTCGGTTAAAATTGTTTTAAAAATAATTGAAATTCTGCAATGAGTTTTATTATTTATGAAAATAATTGAATTCCTAAAAAAAAATTTTATTATTTGAAAAAATAATTAAATCCCTGTAAAAATTTTATTATTTATAAAAATAATTGAATGATTGTGAAGGAATTTATAAAAAAAATTTGTAAATAATGGAATTCCTGTGAAATTTTTATTATTTTATAAAAATAATTAATGGTTTGTATAGAATTTTCTTAAATTTTTTTTAAATAATTGAAATCTTTTGGAAAATTTTATTAAAATGGTAGATATTAAAAATTATTGAATTTAGGAAAAAAAAAATTTTTTTTTTTTTAAAAATTGCGTGTATAAACAAACTAAAACAAGTTTTAGTTTTTTTTTTTTTGAAAATAATCAAAATTTTGCCAAGAATTTTATTAAAATTTTTGAAAATAATTGAATTTCAGAGAAAAAAATTTTTTAAATATTTTTAAAAAATCTGATTAAATTAAGGTCTGAAATAAGTTAGAAAAATAAACAAATGAATTTTGTTGAAAAATTGAATAATAATGGTATTTTTTAGTTTTTTTCAGCTTAAAAACAAAGATTTTTTTTTAAAAATGCCTCAAAAATTATGAAAATAAATTTTTTCATTTGTCCATTTTCTTGTAAATTCAAAAACATATATTCTACAAAATTAAACATGGATTTCAAAATCTATCAATTTTTAAGATAAATAGAAATTTAAAAAGCGTCAAAATATTTTCCCATTTCGTTTATTTTTTTACCATTGAATTCCTCATAAAAAATTATTATATAATTAAATATTCACTGGGATCAAATAATATTTATTGGAGTCAATTAAAAGGTATTTGAATCAATAACTTCAGTATATTTGAAGAAAATACAATTTAATTGACTCTTAAACATTATTTCATTCAATTATAAATATTTAATATTGATAATAGTCAAGTAATCGGTTATTTGAATCTAATAAAATTTTTTTTTCAGTGTAGTTTGTAATTATTTACTCTTTTTTTTTTAATTGAAGTCAGAAGTGTGTCTTTTACAACATATTTATTTAATATTTTGTAGATTTATAAACAAGAGGTACAATATAACCTATAAGCTATTCATCAACTCTTTACATTTCTTGAAAAGGAAACTGCATTTCCACTTAAAAATTTAATCAAATCTTTAGAGTAGCTCGAAATTTATTTAAAATTTAATTAAAGTAAAAAATGTTCAAAACAATAATTTCTTGACAGTGCATTTCAGATGTAAATATAAACTGGACATTTATGTAAATTACTTTACACAATATATTAAATATTTAAAGCGTATTGCACTTTAACCTTTTGTAAAATTTGCGTGTATAAACAAACTGAAACCAGTTTTAGTTACTATATGAATGGCTTTATTCAACTTTTTATAGAAATTAAGGCATTAGTGATTTACATATTATATAGAGAGTTGACTCCCCCCCCCCTCAGTGTATTTTCATTATAAAAAATACAAATATTTAAAAAATATCTTAAAAAAACGTGTAGATATTTTTTTTTACAAAACTCATTTACGAGGACTTTTTTATATTGTGTATTGATATAGTTAATATAATTAAAAACTATTTTACAAAAAAACTTATTAAAAATCTAAAAACTATTAAGATAATAAAATAAAAAAATTCGTTTAAAAAATGTTGAAGTTAGAAAATAAATTTTTGCGCGTAACTTATATATTTATTTTTGAAAATTAAAAATTTTATTTTTTCAAAGAAAACGGATCCTTCTAAGGAGAATTGCCCACATAATAATACTGACTATTTGAGTCAAACAACTTTTTTATTTGCCTTGTAATAATTTAATTTTTTTTACAAAGAAAATTGAAAATTTATTACTGATACAAAGTTCATAAGTTTCTAATTATTATTAAGAAACTCAGTTTCTAGCTAAAATAAAAAAGTTTACTTATCAGACAATTACATATTATCAAAGCTATTGAAACAGTACATTTTCCAACGCAAACGATTATAGTGTAATAAATTTAAATATGCAATCTTTCAATATATGTGACCCTGAAAATATTATTTAAAGCTGAAGTTCAGATAACTGATTTTAAATAAAAGTAGAAATGCGTCTAGTCTTTTTTTAAAAATGAATTTTTTAACGAAACTATAAATTTATTATTAATTTAATAAATAGAATAAATAGAAAAAAATATACGAATATATTGTTCAGATTAATTATAAAACTAATTCTCCATTTTGTAAAAACGTTTGTTGAAGTATAAGTTAACATACTGCGCTCATAAATGTTAATTCATGTTTTTAATTATTCTCATTTTTCACACTATAAAGAGAATTTTTTCTAAAATTTCCTAATTAAAAAGCAAGGGTTTTTAATATGAAAAATTTATGAAAAAATTAAGACTTCTTAATTAAATTCCAGAAGAATACTTTTCTGAGTGAAACTGAAAGATACCGCTTTCGCATTTTAAAAAGTCATTACTTTCTCATATATATGACATGACAATAATACAGAATGTATAAATAAGTGAACTTTGTGAAAAATATATTTGTTATATATTCAGAAATTACTGTGAACACAGTTGTATTGATATTTCAGTGAATTGTACTTACATTTTAAAAAAAATAGAACAGAGCGTAACTCTTCACATTCCACAAGATATTTTTGTTTGTGTCATGATTTTTCGATATATTATAGTGTGTAGGGGAAAGTGATGAAAGTTCAAAACAAGTCGAACTTTACTGCGACGAAGAAACCTCCTAAATGTTTGGAGTTGCGAGCATAACTGAAATGAATCGTAGAGGAGGGAAGGGCGTGTGGAGGAAATGGAAACACATATAGTAACCGGTGCCGTACGTGCCGGTGTTCTATTGAGAATGTTGAGATCCATAATACATATCAGTTTCATATCAAGGACGTGTTTTTTTCTTATAAAATTTCTGTTTCAATTTCTAGGCGTATTAATTTTTTTTATTTCCTCAAAAATACTTAAGATTTTCTTATAAAACTGCGTATAATTATTGTAGTCTTTGATTTCATATAAATTTTTACAGATACTTTGTTGATAGAATGAGACAACTGATAGAAATGACTTGGCAGCGTAGGTACTTTGACATCAACTGGGTGTATTAGAATATTATATATTTGTCTTAGAGTTGGGCCAAAATAAGTGAAATCGGCTACTTGAAAAATTTTTGTCTCCAATTTTCAAGTTATCTATGATTTATTCAAAAAAAAAAAATTTATTTTTGAAGTAATCAGGTGTTGAAGTTTTGGGTCATTTTATTTTCATTTTATTATTACTTTGAAACAAATAAAGATAGTTAAGTGAATTTTTTTTTAAATTAAAGCTTAAAGTCTATACTTTAAGGATTAAATAAAGCGATTGCTAAAAAATGAAAATTTATAATTGTTATTAACAATTCTTTTAAACAATTGCAAATTGAAGAATGTTCTCAATGTTGTTGAAAGATTAAATTACGATGTATTGATGCGCAAAACTCCAAGGATTAAATTAAAAAAAAGAAAAATCAGTAGCCTCCAATATTATATAGAAATTATGTAGATTTTTTTGCCAAAATGCAGGCGAAAATCGACTTTTAATCTTAAAAATCCGCTTGTTACTGCTATTATAGAATTTGTTTTGAATTTCATTAAAAATCATAGGGTCAATGTCCCAATTCCCGATATAGGTATTTAAAGTTCTCCAAGTTTTTAAAAAAATTTCTAAATAACTGTTTGTCAGAGAAAGCTAAGTTTTCTTTTAATTTGTTTCTATGTATCAAACTGAAACATTAAATTTTTAAAATTTTTTATAATAAAATAAGTTTAGAAATTAATTAAAAATTTATTATATGTCGCTTGAAGAAAATTTAGGTTACTTTTCGAGGCTTATTTGTAATTATATGGTCAACACGAAAATTCAGGTCGCAGTTGTCTAAAATATTATTTTTTTAAAAAATCTTACATTCTAATTAAATCTAATTATTTCTACATAATTATAATGCACAATATACATAATATATTATAGAAATATTTTGCTTTAAAAATCTACAGTTTTAAAAAACTTATATTTGTAATAAGGTAATTTTTTTAATTTACGGTAAGAAAATAGTTGATTTTCGCAAAGTTTGACATGAATTTTTCTATAATTTAATTAAACAATAAATAAATTTATTTTTGAGTTGTGAGAGAATATATATTAAATTTTACAAAAGTATTTTACAATTTGTGGAAAAATGTTACAAATATAAGCGAAATTTTGATATAAAAAATACTAAACTTTACACTGAGAAAACTGGAGGATTGGACTAAACATTTGGAGGGACTAATCGTTCATATTTGAGAGTTGACTATTGGAAAACAATCTAAATATTTAAATACACCATTGACATACATATTCGTGCCATTTCTCTTAATTTTTTCATTTTTTCAATGAAATTCCGAAATTATTTCTCATAGAAAAAAAATGATATTTTTAGTCGAGATAAATGTTTAGGTTTATTAAAATTTTATTTAAAAATTAATTAATAAAATTGACTCAATTAAAAGTATTCTGTTTATTAATATTTATTGTTGTAATAGAAATAATAAGGTAATAATAATATAAGCAATAGTAGGGTAGGGTGGGGCATTACTATTCGCGGGGCGAAATTATTCTTTAGTCCTGGCGAGAAAACTATTCATCCGATTAAAGTCCCTTTTACACTGTATACTTGTCATGTGAAATGAACATTGTACGCCACATTTGAGCTTCTGGCGCCACCTATCGTAGGAGTTAGGTACTCAAATGTGATTTTGATATACTCGCTTGCTTGTTTTGACTCATTTAGTCTGCCATTGTAAATAGTGATAAACGGTCGGAAAAATTATTTCTAAAGTCAAATTTAATGCTGAACACGAATATCATAATGGATTTTTGATATTCTATTGTATTTGGACAAAACAGTGTTAAATTCCTCGAATATACTGTAAGTGCAAGTGGTACTCAACCTTTACCGGGAAAGGTTGAGGCGATTAGAAACTTCCCGCGTCCAGAGACAGTGAAACAACTTCGGCAATTTTTGGGCATGATTAATTTCTATCGAAGGTTCATACCAAAAGCTGCAAAAATTCAAGCTCCTTTGAATGAACTTCTCCGCGCTAACGTGAAAGGCAAAACACCAGTTTCATGGACTAAAGAAGCTGAACTTTCTTTTGACGAAACTAAAATCGACTTAGCGCAAGCTGCTTTGCTTGCGATTTTTTGTGATGCGTCCGACTTTTCGATAGGAGCATCACTTCAGCAATAGGTGGATGGATCTTGGAAACCGCTAGCGTTTTTCTCAAAAAAATTGAGTTCTTTTGAACGCAAATACGCTGCTTATGATAGAGAATTGCTCACAATTTACCAAGCTGTGAAATACTTTCGACACATGCTCGAAGCAACTGCAATTTTCACTGATCATAAGCCAATAACGTATGCGTTTAAGAAGAAGCATAAACAATGCACCCTGCGTCAGTTCCGATATTTAGACTTCATCGGACAATTGTCAACTGACATTCAACATGTTGCAGGGGAATAAAATGTCGTCGCTGATACTTTATCCCGCGTCCACGAAATCGAACCAGCATTGGACCTTAAGGAACTAGAGATGGCACAAAGGATAGATCCGGATCTACAAAGGATGGAGAAGGAAGATTCAGGTTCCTTAAACTTAAAATAAATTTAATGTAATATTACTGTGTTTCAACTTAGACAATGTTATAAAAGAAATGTCTATTTAAGATCTGAAGGAATGTAAAAAAGACGTCTTCTAGACGTCCCTTTTATGTCTTTTAGACGTCTTTTGGACCAAATATAGATCGTCTTTTAGTTGTCTTTTTGATGACTCAGAGACATTACCATCATTGTCCCCGAATTGTCCGTGGACAAAAAGGGACCCAGTAAGAAAAAAGTATTCAGAATAGAGAAAAAGTATTGGTGGAGACGTTCGGTGAATGCGTTTTCGCGACAAAACCGTATTGGTGGGTTACGGTGAATACATTTTGCTTACCGTGAATACTTTTTTTTTTAAACTTTCGATTTAAAGATTCCTAAGCAAAGTTGAGAATATTTATAAAGAGCGTAAGTGACCTGAAGTATAAAAATGACTATTGCGAGAAGGAAATAAGAAATTTTGAGAAAAAACGAAAAATTAAATGTGACAAACAGATTGTCAAATGTTGATCAATTACCAAATGCTTTTCTGTGCCTATAACGTATGATGATTAAAAGGAACTTTGACGTTACCGGCGGAACTTACTGTTTCACCTGTTTCACATACATACTTGGATTTCTCAAGTTTTTGTAGGTATCGTCAATGTTCCTTTTCATCATCATACGTTGTAGGTTTGTCACATTTAATTTTTCGTTTTTTCTCAAAATTTCTTATTTCCTTCTCGCAATCGTCATTTTTATACTTCAGGTCACTTACGCTCTTTATAAATATTCTCAACTTTGCTTAGAAATCTTTAAATCGAGAGTTTAAATAAAATGTATTCACGGTAAGCAAAATTTATTCACCGTAACCCACCAATACGGTTTTGTCGCGAAAACGCATTCACCGAACGTCTCCACCAATACTTTTTCTCTATTCTGAATACTTTTTTTTTACTGGGGACGTTTTTTAGACGTCCCTGTGCCCTCTGGGAAGAATTTAAAAAAAAAATTTTAAATACATTTTTTATACTCAATAATACAAACAGGAATAGTAATGCCCCACCCTACCCTATAATAAATGTTATAAATATCGAAGATTAAGAGTGCAAAAGGTATCAATTCAAACAGGCAACATTTTAACCAATAACCTAAATGAAAATAATCAAATATACTGCGTTTTAATTTATTAATAAGAAATACCCAAATTTTTTCTATTTTGAAATGTGAGTATTTTTTGTTTTAAAAATTTACTGATTTTCAATGAAAATTTTTATAAAGCAAAAATTGACTTTCTAAAATCTTACTGGTTCATAATATTTCTGTCAATTGAAGATAAAATATTTTATCAAATAAGCTACAAGGTATGATAAAAGCTTAACCACTTCACTGGCGGGGCGTTCCAAATGGCGTTCCACGCGCCGAGGCCCAGACTGGCAAAAACACCGAAATGGCGTTCCTAATAAAACTTTATTTTTAAAGAGTGTACACTACTTTTTACTACTACAAAGCAATATTTCTATAGTTTAGACATCAGGGAACAAGATTATCACAATGAAAATTTCAGTTTTTGAGATTTTCAATGTTTCTTCGAACGTTGAAATAGTCGATTTTTAACACTTTTTAACAAATGGCGTTCCACTTTTGTTATTATTAATAATTATTAAATTTTATTTATTAATTATTTATATTTATTTTTTACTTATTACATTATTATATTATAATGTTTTGTATGTAAATATATTTTTTAAATAAAAAATATTAGTTTTACTGTGTAAAAATTAAAAAAAAGTGGAACGCCATTTGGTGAAAAGTGGTAAAAATGGACTATTTCAACGTATGAAAAAACATTGAAAATCCCAAAAACTGAAATTTTCATTGTGATAATCTTGTTCCCTGATGTCTAAACTATAGAAATATTGCTTTGTATAAGTTAAAAGTAGTGTACACTCTTTAAAAATAAAGTTTTATTAGGAACGCCATTTCGGTGTTTTTGCCAGTCTGGGCCTCGGCGCGTGGAACGCCATTTGGAACGCCCCGCCAGTGAAGTGGTTAATTATATTTGAAAAAATGTTAAACTTAAAAAACATTATTATAAAATATGAGGATAACCATCTTTACATTA